GAATTTGCTGCCTGAGGGAAGAACAGCTAGCTCCACCTTCAAACTGAATATGAGAGAAGGGAATCGCGAATGCACCTTACGTCGTGAGGCTAAAGAAGCCACTCCCCTCAAAGAAACGGATATCATCATCTGAAGCGAGCATGGTTCCAAAATGTTCCCTTAAGGCAGTCGATCGTCTGTTCAGGATCTGACGTGCAATGACAAGCCTTTTGGCGGCAAAATAATTGTCTTAGATGGTGACTTCCGACAAGTGCTTCCAATTAGAGCGCGGTAGTGAAAGCGACATGATTGACGCATGCTCAAAAAACTGTCGTCTCTGGAGATCATTTCGCAAACATACGCTTTCGACGAGCATAAGAGCTGCAGAATCCGGCTCGTCATGGTGTGATTTCTTGCTGAATGATGGAAATGGAGAGGCAGAAGAAGATGAAATGGGTCGGATCCAACTTCCATCTGAAATAGTGTCCAGCGGTAACCTTACTGATGAGGTTTTCGGTGATCTGCTAACCGACTTCGACACTTTGAGTGAACGTGCGATACTCGCTCCACGCAATAGAAGTTGGTCGAATCAATGAAGAAGTACTGAGTGAGCTTCCTGGGCAAGTTCATGAGTACAAGAGTGCTGATGATGTGATCAGTGATGATGTGCAAGCAAATGAATACACTCCGGAATTCCTGAACAGTGTGACACCGGCTCGACTACCTCCACACAGTCTGAGGATGAAAGAAGGCTCAATAGTCATGCTATTAAAGGCAGCGTCCAGGCAGATTTGGACCTATGGGATTTTACGTAGAAAGTACTTTTGGGGCCCTAACTAAGGCACTGCCCAAGTGGCAGCGCAGGTAGTGCTCTAACGGCTGAGATATTCCCCTCGAAACTGGACCCCGCGATCGTATTCGCATGGATTCATGGCAGTTTTGCGCCAGGATACACGCTTTGCGCCATGAATCCATGCAAAATACGATCGCGGGGTCCAGTTTCGAGGAGAATATCTCAGCCGTTAGAGAACTACCTGAGCTGCCGGTTGGACAGTGCTTAGTTAGGGCCCCAAAATTACTATCCACGTGAGATCCCCATGTGTCCAGATTTGCCTGGACGCTGCCTTTAAGAATATCTTAATGTTCGAAATGGGCTATGCAATGGGCCTAGGTTAATCTTCACGCATTTCGGACGTTTTATCTTGGGATGTCGATTCGCATCTGGAGATCGGAAAGGAAAGTTTGCCTTGAGTCCTCGCATAGACAACTATACCGACACAGGAATTCTTTTCCGTACGAAGAACGCAATTCCCGTTCGCTTATCCTTCGCGATGACGATAAATAAGGCTCAAGGACAGAGCTTGACTCGCGCAGGCATCTCCCTTGGAACACAGGTAATCTCACAGGGACAACTTTATGTTGCACTATCTAGAGCTAGAACAAAGGATGGAGTTAAAGTGCACAAGAAGGAAGAGAGGATGAAGAACGTAGTGATAAAAGCAGTGCTCAACTAGCAAAAATGTAGAAGAAAATTGCACACAGCCATGCGAAATGATGACAGCTCACGAAAAAGTTGAGATGGAACCATAGCAAGGAAGCTGTTAGATCTAGATCAGAACTCACTGTACTCTTTGGACTTTTTTTGCTTTTCCGAATTATTTGAAAGTAAGATCACATAATTATTTCTATTCTCAGCTTAAAGTTATTCGCATATATCAGTTCGTCTTCGCCTTTCATGCCTGACGACGACGATGAATAACACAATTTTGTCCGCCCTATTTATCAAACAGTAAGTTCCGACACTCAACATGTTTCTTTGTGCAAAGCTCATGTACATATCAAAAACTCCTTCATATATTCTGACTCGTTTTCCTTTTATTTAGCGCTCGATAACGCATTCATATGTACTTAGGCCTGTAATGATTTCTACCTCACTTCAATTCGAGAGTTTATCGCAACTTTAACTTTACATGTCTTTATGTTCAAAGCTCATGTACATACGCATTTTCATGTAGTCTGAAGTATTATTTGTGCTCATTCCCCTGTTTATTTAGCGCTCAATAACGCATCCTGTTTATCATATGAACTTTGATCGTGGTTTTTTAAAAGTTCACTTGACTTAAGATATAACAGCGTCCAACGGTATCTCTCCCAAAGCTACAAAACTTCAATCCTTGAATTTCTAAGCATATAGTACCGTAACGAAATCTTTTGATGAAAAAATTCCGGTTCATTTAAAATCAGAATTTGGAAAAGAATTCGGTCATGCCGCTGAAAGCGAATGAAATCCTATGGTAACTTGGCCGTAAAAACCAAAAAGAGTTAACAGGAATCTATGGAGATTTGTGCATCTACTGCTTCGCATATTTTCCGATTCAAATAATTCTGCATAATCTATTACGTATAAGAATCAAATACGACATCACCCTGCATTGTACGAAACCGGGATTTCATTGAAATTTGAATTCAAAGTTCAGTAGTGAAATTAGTACTACGGTAGTAATTTGTAATTAGGGGTAATCTGCCATGCTGGTTCCAAATATGATGGTGGTTTTGTGTGAAAACTTGAAATTTTTCTTTTTGAATTTTAATCTTGTTTTTAAAATCTGACAAAAAGCTTAAACTTGTCATTTGAGGGTTTTCCATGATGCTGTTTTCGAATACGCTAATGTTTCCGCGGGAAACTTCGGAAACTTTTTCTTTTGAAATTTTGACTTTTTCATAAATTTCACTGCAACTTTGATAAAACTGGAAAGCAAATGAAAAAGAATGCTACTTTCCGAAAGACTAGAAAACAATGATATAAACTGCGAAATAAAATTTGAAATAAGGTAAGAGAAAATTCAATGAAACTGAAATAAGTTTGGAGGATTGGAAAAAATTCCCAGCTATCATTAAAATCTGTGCGTTATTAAAATATTTTGGACACTACAATTAGTTCCCTTGAAGAGCAGCTATTAAATTATCACTTAATTCTTGAAAAATGATTAAACATTTGCTTTTATCAGCCTTGATAGGCATGGCTGTTTTATAGGAAAATTTTAGCCTTAAACTGTTTTTTCGGCCTTTCATTCCCATAGGCATTTTTTGGTCATGTTCGCACATGTCAAAGACAGATATTATGATGTGCGAACACAGAGCCGACGAGTACGCCCAGAGCGATGAAATGACCAAAAAATGCCTATGGGAATGAAAGGCCGAAAAAACAGTTTAAGGCTAAAATTTTCTTGTACATAGGAAGAAATTGTCAGTCAGAACACCTATCGTGTATTCGATACTCTCATCACGTCTTTTGATGCCCTTTACAATTTCGACGCCCTTTTCAACGTTCAAATGCAGCAATTGGTGCAGCAATTTTATACAACGGTGGATCCTAGCTCTCAACAGCTGTCATGGGGATCTCAGGTAAATAAAGGCAAACGTCAGTCTCAAATTCAGAACCGATACTCAAAAATAATTTTTAGCCATTGATTTGTTCTAATGATACTGGCTCTAGTGCACAGTTTTATTCTGAAAGTGGTGAAAGCAATATTTAGTCTGTACCGCCATTTATTTCTTCAAATGATTCTGAATCTAATGGACAACTCTATTTTGAAAATAGTGAGAGCCGCATCCAAGCAGTAGCGCAGCAGGCTCCTGAATAAGTAGCATCCGATTTATGAGCATATAAATAAAGAATTCAGAAAAAAAGAATTCAGATTTCCATTGCGTTGTAGCAGCTCTGCAAATGAAATTGGAGAAATATATCAGGCAGCATAGCCTGTCTACCGTGGTGAGAAGCAGGTAAGTAAAGAAGGAGCGAATTTCGTCATAGTATACGACATTCCAAATTCTCAACTATATTATATTACCACCACAGAAGAGCAAGACAGCAAGAAATAATCATCTACCGCTGTCGTGGATGCCACCAGCAGAACGATAAGTTTAATCTGTTCAGGTGAGAAAAAAAACTGCTCAAAGGCAGCGTCCAGGCAGATCTGGACCTATGGGGCTTTTACGTGGAAAGTACTTTTGGGGCCCTAACTAAGGCACTGCCCAAGCGGCAGCTCAGGTAGTGCTGTAATGGCTGAGATATTCCCCTCGAAAATGGACACCGCGACCGTGTTTCGCATGGATTCATGGCGCAAAGCGTGGATCCTGGCGCGAAACTGCCATGAATCCATGCGAATACGTTCGCGGGGGCCAGTTTCGAGGGGAATATCTCAGCCATTAGAGCACTACTTGAGCTGCCGCTTGGGCAGTGCCTTAGTTAGGGCCCCAAAAGTACTATCCAGGTAAAAGCCCCATAGGTCCAGATCTACCTGGACGCTGTCTTTAAAAGTCACATTTCACATTTCAACTGATTGGTGATTTCAAATAAATCTTGGAGGTGGAAAACGATATATTTGCTACGGATCAGTGCATGTTGCAGCACAATTGTCTCCCTTTGAATCGATATGAAGACGAGGCAAATCGTACAGGTTACCAGGTAGTTTTTCTCTTACGTGCAACATTTTTATAATTAGGAATTTTTCTGTGCAGGCTTGCCAAACGTTGCGAAAAGACAAGAAAGCTTACAAGACAACACCGTATCGGCATTACTCGGAAACAGCACACTCCATCATGACTGACACGTGGAGAAATGAATTTGACAAATCTGAGTCAATCAGCTGTAGCAATAGATTTATTGTGAAAATTTCAGCGATAGAAGAAAGGGAAAAAATACTTGGCAAATTCCACGGAAGGACCGGAAGAACTATGAACAAAAAAGGAAAACATTCTTCAAGTTTGTTTGGCGACACATGTCTTCATGCTTACATCTGCTTTTAATTTATTAAATTTGTTACTTTTAGTGCAGCAAACGCTCACAAAAGGTTTGTGGAGCCGAACGTGTCCCCGAGGATCTTAGACATGTCCCAGGGGGCGAGACTTTCTTGCAATTACAAACTGATGATCTACACATTTACTTTTGCAAGAAAGTTGTTGAGGTAAGGCTGCAAAACCCTCATAGTTCAAAATTTTTTCTCTAAAAATTATTCTCGATGGCTCGCGATCATGGTCTTTACGCCCTCATTGGAGATGGAGTACGTAAGCTGAATCCTGTTACGATCCCGAACAGAATTGACAAAGGACAGCTTTATGTAGTGCACGCGGCAATTCAGGGCGGCATCGAGGTATTAAATAATTTTTGAAAACCTAATTAATGAAAAATTCGCTTAAGGTGCCACTACTCTATGCTGTTACTCGTTTTGAGACTGTTGGGACTTATAAAATGGTATTGAAAATCTCCGGGAAGTGCTGGGAGAATATAAAGATAGGATCGTTCTAGATTTCGAGAAGGTAGTATTTAAAAAGATAATTTGCTCAAATAAAAAAATCCCAAAAAGTCCAATTTTTCTAGTCATTTGTGACTAAAAATTGGAAATAAATAATTTTGATTATAGGCGGCCATTCGAGCGGCAAGGGAAACATTCCCAGAAGCTGACGTACAAGGATGCGCATTCCGTTTAGCGCAATCTTGAAATAGATCTTCCGTAAATTTGGGACTGGGAAAATTTGTGAGGGGGCCTAAAGCGGTTTTAGCAGTAAAAAATTGGTGGGAAACTTTAAGAAGGGTAATTTTTTTTGCCAGAAGAGCTTCAAAGCAGAGTTGAAGCTTTTTCTGTACTTCCGGTAAGCGAATCTCATGCTGCATTTGCACCATGCAATGATTTTTTGAAATATTTGAAAACTGTTTATTTTAACGGTACTTTTAAAGGCATGTGGTGTAAGTGGGACATACAAGATTTCAGGACAACAAACACAGCTGAAGCATTCCACAGGTAAGATTACAAATTGGTCTACACTGCCACATTAAATTATTTACTTCAGCAAATTGCGAGGGATGCTTTCAAGGAGGATAAATCCACCTTTTGAAGAGCTGCTGGAGTTCATACACTCTATCAATTCGCTAGCATTAGGGATGCTGATGCACGTCAAAGAAGTATGATTTTGTGCTTGAATTTTTTATGTTTACTAACTTGAAATTGCAGAATGTACGCGCTTTGAAACTTCTTCGCAGGAAAGATCAGGAGCGACGCGTAAAAATCGATCAGGCTATGAATGAGTTTAAAGAATTGCATTTTTCTAATGATTCATTGGACAATAACATTATCAAGAATTATTGCAGGAAGATGTCTCAGTTCGTTAGTGAGAAGACCATATGGAAGCTGCTTAATAGACTATAAAGAAGTACAAAAATTTATAGATATAGATTATAGATATATAAAATATAAGCACTTTTCATGCACAATCAATCATCAATCAACTGACGTGACCGACATGGCCCTCTGCCTCTGGACATGCTTGCGGCTGTTCGCACCAAACTCTTCAATCCCAAACTCGATCAATATTATTAACACTTGCGGAAGGTTGCGGCGGCGTGGCAGGAGTTCCCAAAGCCTAGCCGCTTTTCCTCGCAGGGGTACTTGGCACCTCCAGAAATCCCTTGAAGGACATCACACCTTCTCGGGGCCAAAGAGCGGCTCCGCCCATCACTCTTCCCTCTAGGTACCCTCATTCTAAATTGTGTACACGCACTGTAAGACATGCTTTATTGTATATGAGGATAATGGAATTCGAATCGAGAAACAAGAAAAAATTCTAGGTTTTAAAAGGTTCAGAATCCGCGGGTGAATTGCAGCATTTGGAGTTATGTTTACTCATGTTTTCGGATAGATCGACGCTTCCTTAAACTTATAAGTGCTCGCGCCTGACAAGTTTGTGAAACATATCGCATCAGTTTAAATTAAGCAGAAGTTATGAGTCTTCCAATCACGGTATATAACAGAGAAGTTAGTTTATTTTACGCAAGTTCTGAAACCATCTAAGAAGATAGCGAATTACCATATCTTGTAAATTCATTGTCGTATCTGGAACTCTTAGTTAACTGCGATCATGCGACGAAGTTTGGTAATCTATTATAGTAGATCGATTGTAGGAAATACAAAATTTCTTTATGATAATTTTGGCCTTACTGATCATTAGAGTAATCGGAACGAAAAACTCTTCGAATATATTATGATGACGATGAAAAAGTATGTGTTTAGATATCCCCAGTAATGTACAATTTATCGATTAGATCCTCTAATGCGAATGACCGCATTCTCCACTCAGAAAATTCTCTGTTATTTTTCTCTTCTTAGAGTAATGTTCATGTGCTCTTTTTCAAAAGGATGGCACAGCAGAAGTTCCCAAGCCGCCTCACTTAAGAAATGATAATTATGTTCCGTTTTTTTCTCCATTTTTTTCTCTTATCACCTTAATAACTGAATCTACGTTCTCGCTGCTTGTACGCCTCACAATGAGACCAGTAAATGGGAGGAGCAATGGGCGGGTCCCGACCTCTGAGGCCCGGAGGTGCTAGAACCCTCCTGGGTGCGAATGCCGGTGCGAAGTTGGTGCGAGGAAAGGTGCTAGGAACTCCTGCACGCCCTCCGGAAGGTTGCTTACAAAGAACACAAAAATTCAAACAAGATTGCTGAAAATTCTGCATTTGGTGCTTCCAGAACTCAATTTGGAAAAAGGATTTGAGGATTTTGTACTAAACCGTTATCATATTCGTAAAGAGCGCCCTTAGAAACCCCCAAATCCAAGTTTTTATTCTGATTTGCCAAATATCGCCACTAAACATTGATTTTAATCCCATCACGAAGCTCAATGTCATTTTTACGCAAAACCACCATTAGATTTGGAATCAGCATGGCAGATTACCCCTAATTACAAATTTTTACCCTAGTTGTACCCACTTCACTACTGAACTTTGAATTCAAATTCCAATGAAATCCCGGTTTCGTGCACTGTAGGATGATGTCGTATTTGTCGTGAGCAAAATCTGCTTGTCTTAGGTGCAAATTGTTTGCAAATTAGCGTTGCTGACAGTTCATGACCTCTTATGTCCCTTGTTAATTATATGGCAGCATACCTTTCTGGGTAGATAAATTCCCGCACCCCATTAGGTGGGTCGAAGTTCCAGATTTGCTCAAAACCTTACCTGTAACGGTTCACAAGCATACTGCCTATAAATATGATGCTTGCTCGCTTCATAACGCATTATTGTGAAGTTATGGTGAGCTGCAGGATTTGAATGGACATTTTTTCGCTTTCGGGCCAATCTAAATCCCAGATATTCACAAAATGGGGAAACGGTTGTTTTGCATGGCGGTTTCCAGCGCCATCCTGATAACCTGTCCCAACGCGTAACGCACGCGGCAAATCTCCCTCCCCCTGTTTTTGCTTAGGCAAAAGCCGCCGAAGGGTGTATCGCGTGGGCAGTGGTCCTATAAGGAAAGCATTACGGTTGTGGGAAACTTTTATACCACACGAACTGCCATTATCATGGGGATTAAGCACGATATTCTTGAAACAGCACTTTAATTCCCTGCCAAGGTTTCACGCAGGTTCATGATTTTTACCCGCTGCCACGCGAAATGACTACCATCGTCATGAGCGGCTTGAATAACCCCCATATACCGAGTTTGAGCAAGACACACCACAAAAACATTTTAGGGCCCGGATAGCCGAATAACGCCATCAGTTTTTAGAATTATCCTTACTTTCATCGATTTTCCTGTTTTTTTTTGCAAAGTTTGAGCTACGGGTCTGGGAGGTTGGTGAGGAAGGTAGGTGAGCATACTGATTACTCACACAGCGGGAATAGGGAATTGCATGTAGAAGTGGGCACAGGTAAAGGTGTACAGGGATAGAAATGGAGCCTTTATCGTTGTTGACAGGGCCGGGCGGAGCCGAGTAAGCCAGCTAGTATATAGACTAAAAAATTCGAAGACACTGAAAATTTTTCCTAATTCCGTTTCTTCTCAACTATGGTATTCTTCTTTGGTTAAGGATTAGCAGCAGAAACCAAATGAGATGAGCTAAAGCTTTGCAGTAGTTGAAGGCACGATAAGGAAGAGCAGTTTGAAGAATTTTCGTTGCGGAAAATTCAGATGAACTAAAACTGGCATATGGGACTCGAGTAACTCGAAAATGAACGCCCCAAACGCTACTTTTGCACGGGGATTCGACAGCTGTCAAGGCTGGAAGTGCACACATAAGGCGAGGAAATGCTTTGGAACGGTTTTTTCGCAAAGGAACATATTGTTGAACGCGCAAGGAGAGCAGGTGAAAAAGTCTAGACATGTGGATCCGTAAAAATGTTCCACAACACGACTTACTTGTGTAATGGTCGAGCTTGGAAGACGGCTACTCTGAGAAAGGGTATTGTATCACATAAGTCCATAATGTTCTTCATTCAATATTGTTGGAAGTATTCACGTGATATTTGATTGTGTACAGGCCATCTCTCTACATTAAAATTACATTTAGAGTTCGCGCGCTTGTGAGAACATGTTAAAGCATGTAAAACGTATGCTGACGTGTCCTTGAAGTAAATGAGTGTGCTTTAGAGGTTCGCTATAGACGCACAACATGTTCTAGTCCCCATTTCTTTGGGTATGGGACTATGGGTGTATCCCATTACTTGGGAGTTTTAATTACCGGACGCCGCGCGCGAGACTGGCAGTACCCTGCAGGCTGCACATCCGAGAAGAGAAATCGACCAGCAGAACTCGCATCGCTTAGTGCTACATTATTTTCCAAGGTTTTTCAATCTCCATGTTGTTTTCACCAATTTTATGAAGTTCGGGCCACAAAACTTGTGAAAGTAGAGTTTTAAAAGTTGAAAACAACGCATTCTACCAAGCGATCATCATGTAAGAGTTCTTTTATAACGTCTCCAGCAGATTAGAACTGTAATACACCTCGGAGAATTTACAGTGATCAAAAGGTTAATGAAAGATAGTAAAGACTATTACTCAAAAATCTCGAAGTAATCTCGAATTACAAGCTTTGTTCATTACAATAACTAGTGACTCATAGCATTTCCTCTGGAGTTCCGCGATTACGCTTGTGAAAAGCCTTTACTTTGGATGTTCCACGCGGGTTACTTGTATGGCCGCGTCGCGGCGATTTATAATTGACACCAACAAGTAGTGGGTACACCGGCGGGACTACATGTCGCCGGAAGGGTTGGTCCCACGCGGACATCACCCCTTCGTTTTTGTCTCGAAACGAAGTCCAGCGTTCTTTCATTCTCTACGGGACCTGAACGAGTCAGATGCGACCGAAGTAATGCTGAGTCGCGTGAGGTATGCTCACTACCTTGTGATTGTAAGGTTCGCAAGTGTGGATTCTTTACGATATAGTATTCTTCCTGCATTTTTGACAAATTCATTCGCGCTCTAAATGAAACAGAGACAGCCTAAGCATAGCACTGTGCATAATCGAAGCTTAATCGGCATGATTGAATGAATTAATCACAAAAATTTCGTGAACTCGTAATAGAACGTGAGAACCATAGCACCACCGGTAGACCGCAAAGAATTTGTCATCGCTCCTCGATAGAAACCCTTTCGCCCGGAGGTCCTAGAAAAGTGTCCTCAAGGCGTTAGTGGTTAGAATTGGGAGCAACTTACTTTGCAATGTGACACCAACAGCTCCACGAACTTTGCATGGTTTTTTCAACTTTTCCAGCTTGCATCATCATTTGCCTCCTCACTGTGTCGAGAGGATAACACAGTAAGCCAGAGGTGATCAAGCAAACCTAAAAGATAAGAATCGTTCTTAATTTATGTTTGAATTAGAATGCTACGCAGTATGTGCACTGCTTTTTCCAGGTTCAAATGAGGGCATGGAAAAGATTCGAAGCTTTTATTTTCTGCTTTGAATTGATTTAGTTCAAAACTGGAAGAATATAAGGCTCATGTGCTTTCGACTAACAGGCATTGCTTGTTAGTCGAAAGCACATGAAAAAGCTCTCAAATACTCATAGCTACAGCTAGCTGTGGAAGTTGTTCATTTGATTTTTTTTATTAAACTTGATTTTTATACTGTTTTCTAATTCTGAGCTCTGTCATACTTTAACACGTTGACGACCGCGCCATTTTGGGCGAAACTCCCACTAACGTCCTTCGCGCATTTGGCCCGTGCATACGCGCGGATGCACGAAAACATTATGTGGGAGTCCTTTTGACGCTTATTCATAAAACATGTGAACTTTGTTCAGAGATACATGTATATTATAGAGCCTTGTTAGAACTTACACAAATCAAGGTTTTTGCGTGGATTTTCCCTCCCAATAACCGCGCAATTGCTATATTGGAGGAATTTCTTTTCAAAAAAAAAAACACTGTAATACCAGGTATTTTTTGCTTGATACATTCTTTTTTGCTTTCAAAACAGCTTTACAGAGTTTTAACCTTCTCGGAAAAACGTAATTAGCATGTGTTTACCTCACCAAAAACCGACTGATTACCCAATTTTGCGGCCCAAACTTCTGAACAGCTGCCGTGATGCCCTGTGTTCTGTAAGACTATCAGGCCACCAGTAGTATTACTGCATAGAAGTTACCTTAAAACTTTTCGTTTACACCTAAAAAACTAGCGTGCATATGCGCGGGTGCACGAAAATGCTAAACGGGAGTTAGGGCGTGCATATGCGCGGATGCATACGGTCGTCAACGTGTTAAAGCTCTGCTGAAGCGGCCTTTTTTGTCCGTTTTATATTAGGTTGATGCAAAATCAATGAGCATTTTCTAGGACTTTATTCTGGACAACTTTTCTCAATTAAACTTCTTCCTTTTAAACAGATAACATATTATTGGGAAGCTCTTTTCATGCTCTATACAAAGCTGCTTGAAACGGACATTTAGCCTAGTCTGTTAAGAATTTATAGGGCTTCAAATGACCGCAATCAGCCAGATTTTTGTTGCATTCACTTTTCTGGCCAGAATTCAAGCGCAATTAAGGCGCGTTTTCAAAACTTTAGCCACTATATGTAATAGAAATTGTCTACACTATGCAGACTTAACCATATTTTTTGAGGTTATCTAAGCTAAGCTATCGGCGCCTTAGCATGCGTAATGGTTGCGATCATTCTATAGCCCACATCTTTCTTTTGTAGAATACAACCCTGAAGTTTTGCTCATTTCTGTAAACGTGAGAGTAGGAGCATTCTTTGACAGCCCTAGCGAAGGCATTTAGCTGTTCAGCACGCAGAAAATCAGAAAATTCTATGATTCGGGATTTTGAGGCCTACTGGAGAAATGCTGAAAAGTTGATATTTTCAAATTTTGATTTTTCCTTTCCGCCAATCTCTTTTCTCCAAGCTCTTTCCATGTTCGTTTGTACTACTGACTTGCGGCTACAAGATAGGCTACATATAATCATGCTAACAAACTGTGAAGGGGGTTATGTTTTGTCAAAAACGAGATTCCAGAAAAAAACTTGTTTTGTTTTCCAATTCATATTTTTATGCCCATGTGAGGTATGAGTACAATTTGATGTGCGTTGTATTGCGAAAGGTTTGCTGCATCCGATGGTCTCTACCACATGTCAAAATGTAGATTGTATAGAAAGTTATAGCAAGTTGAAGTGAAAATTTGAAAAACGCTCATTATTTTTGCATCAATTTAATATATACATCATTCGAAAGAGCTCTTCAAAGGCTGAAGGATATACAACAAGCTCTGAGTTCTTATTGTTCTAGGGAAATGAAAAGATTTCGAAACTGAAATTACACGCTTTTTGGTGGACCTTAACTGCGATATACAGTGTCCCAAGAAGATGTGCACACTGTTTGATCGTTAATACTCTCTTGCTTTCATGTCTTTTGCCGAGTTTAAGGTAACATTCTGTAGAGCGAGGATAAACTTAGATTTACAGTATGAAGCGAATCACCAATCACTCTTCGTTACTGTAGGATCACGGTATCAACTTTCAGCATACAGCGTCACAGTGGAATAAGCCTTTTGATGAAATAATTTGAAAAAAGTCTGAAAACATTGTGTAGCAAGTTTTTCAGGCGTGCGGATTTCGCCAAATTACTTTTCACCGGTTTTTCGAGATTTCTTGGTGGCTTTCACATTCACATTTCTGACGGACATTGGAAAAACAGCTGTCACCCTAGATCTGAACTAACTTATGAAAGAAGCACTATATTGAAGTGCAGATTTCATATTTAGAATCAGCGACTTCGATTAGCTCAGCTCAAGAGTTTCTGGCTTGTTTGTCTTCGTTTTGAGGCAAAATACCGCTTGCAAGGCTTAAGATCCTACTCGAAGTTCTTACCGTAATCCTACAGTGATGAAGATTGATTGGTGATTTGCTCCATACTGTAAATCTAGGTTGAACCTCGCTCTACAGAATTGTACCTCAAACTCGGCAAAAGACATGAAAGCAAGAGAGTTATTAACGCTCAAACAGTGAGCACATCTTTTTGGGACACCCTGTATTAGTTCTTCATGAACCATTTCTAACTTTTTGTACTTTTAGCTGCCTTATTAAGAAGTAAATCAAGAGTTAGTTACTAGCTGCCTCCAGAGATATGCTCTTGATACCACTCTTTTGCGAAAATATTCTTACTACCGCAAGTGCACTCATTACGCTGATTCTGATACTCAGATTTAATTACTGTTACTTTCAATTACTTCAACTACTTATTATTTCCGAAGTCTGTACCTGCGCTATCAACCACAATGTCATGAAATGTAGCTGTTTCGGATCAGTGACACTTGTTCGCAGCACATCAAAAATACCAAAGAAAACAGCTCGAGATGCGAACACAAACTGAACGGAGGGCGAAAATCCCCTAAAACTATTGCAGTTGTTTCTAGGCTGAAGCTCTGATAGAATTTGGCGTTCACACCTGTACCAGCCCAAGCACCCTTCCCGCTTTCGCACTTTGTCAAGACAGTCGAGCATTCCCTTGAACTTTCTTGTGCCATTTTCATTCACGTCCACGGCCAATCGTGTACGAGCGAAGTCAAATGGATAGAGAAAGAAGAGTGCCGTCACTCCACCAAGTCCACCAGCGGCAATTGAACCTAAACGAGTGCATCTCATTCGAAACGGCTACGCTGATTCAGCATTCTCTTTTTGCTGGGAACTTGCTGTGCAGCAATGCAAGGCCAACTGGTCTGCACAGCGTTCTCACACATTTCGACGATCTGCAGGCGAATGTCAACGACACTAGGTGACGCAAAGCACTTTGATGTCCATAACATTGTGTACAACTAGGACAAATTGGCACTGACTGCAGAGTTCCACTGGCACGTGCTTTAATGGCTTATCTATGGAATGAGATTCCTACTCTCTTCGCCAACAGCTGTTCAGAGTATTTGGAGTTGTCACGCTATTTAATAACTAGTTCTGCTGGGACTGTTTGCACATATGGAATTTCTTGAGGATTCAGCGCATTGAACATTTTGAGCGGCAATGGCGCACCATTCAAAACATGACATTACCGAAGCATGCTTACTTGCAATACTATAGAGCATGTAAATTGTGTACTATACTTACTTACTGTGTACTATACTAGTACTTATTATTGTCTCCTTTCTCCTTTCATAATTTGAAGGGCCAGTAATGCCTTGTGCATAACTCGCGCGATTTTAGTCGCCATGGGATTTGGCAACTTGGCAATTTCCTTGCATCCAGCGAAAGTAGGCCTCAAATCTATAGTTTCCAAAACCTGTGTAAGTTGATGGAATCTTCATATTCTGTGTAAGCAACATGCTCCTACAATAAGTTATCACCTTTTGAAGCACTGCCAAATGCGTAGCGACTAAAATCGCGCGAGGTGTGCCAAACTGACAGGCTGTCGAGTAATTTCGAGAGCTCACCCATTACAAAGCGACAGAAGTTCTTTTTCCGATCAATGCCATTCAACAGTAAATTACGGTACACGTCTCGTAAAGCAAAATTCAGCGCTTGATTTGGAAAACAGCGGAGAACTCCAACTCCGTTTCCTCGCCATAGTGAAAGGACTCCCTGGAACAGAATCGTTATATTTTCACAAATAAAAAAATACGTTTGCGCACTTGTTCCGTACAAACTTTTTTCAGGCAGTCTCTCATTCCATTGTACTGCATCGCGGCAGCTCGTCCATGGTTTTGTAACTGTAACATATCAGTTCTACCGGATGTCTTCAAAACTTTCTTATTAGCACCTGTAAAAGGAGTTTGACTCGGTCAATAGGAGCCATCGTAGTTTTGCTGATTGCAGCTGCAGTTCCGCCAGCCAAGCACTTTTTCATGATGTCGACAGCATCGGCTGTGGATGTAGAAGCGACTTCCATGATAGCCTTCAACGCAACCTTTTGAGCAAAGTTGAAGGTTTTTAAAGAAATATGGGTTGAACTAAAAAAATATATGCAAGCATAGTGAATAATCAATAAGATTGAATACACAATAACATGGGAAGAGCCAAAAATGTGCACTGATTGTTGAGGCTATACATACACTCGTGAATATAATGTGAACATTTTTGTTGAAGAAAATGAAACGCTGGCTAGAGCATGTTATTACGCACGCCCAAATAAAAAAACCTGAATTAGCTGACAAAGGAAGAAAGACTAATCTATATGTTATCGCTTTTTTGCGTGGAAACAAAGCGATCATTGACAAAAAGTCAGAGCACATAAGCTGTTTTGATGAAAAACACGAACAACATGTAAGCTACCGAAAAAAGAGACTGAGATGAACTGAGTGGATGAAAATTCTCAATTTGCACAAAGATCACGGTTGTCCGGGGGTGGAATCTGGGCTGATGAATGCGATTTCTGCAAGCTGCAGGCGGACGCTATCGTAGCAGTTCCTGCACGTGCTGTTCACGGGCGCATCGTACGTTTTGATGGCCTGACTGCTAATCTACTCGAAACCTGTATTTGATATAGTACAGCTGTTGGAAAGTACAGATCAACATTTTAGACACTCTTGTACTGCTAAATATCCAGCTGTCTGTGACTAGTGGAACGGGAAATGGAGCAGAAAGTGCATTCAGTGAACAAAGGATGTATGAGTAAACACTGTTGGAATTAGGAATCCGCAGAATTTCGTTGAATGCTGACTAGCTAAAGCAAGTTCGGAATCCGCAACTAGAGCCGGTGGGTCTCTGTTTTTACGCCACTAAGCGATTTTTTGTGGGACGAACGAGTCGATAGATATAGCAGAAAAAAAAATGAACGATCCTCCCTCAAGATTCTGGGCTGCTTTCGTAACAAAAAGAGTTGAATGTGATACTCATGCGTCGGTGTTTTTTTAAACATTTTTTTACATGATTAAAACACAGGCTGTTAGGTATTAAAAATGAATCAGTCTTGTTTGTATGATCTTCATGGTCTCTTGTGCTCCTAAAAAACCATTCCTGCTTCTTTACTCACGTAAACGAGTGAGATTTGGTTCATCCTCGAGTTTCTACTTCAGCAGTTTAATCATTTTTGCGTATAGAAAATACGAGGAGGAACTTGCCTATCACTTTGACATCATTACTTGAGCGATGAAACCACCCCCACCATAAAAGTTGAAAGACTATGTCAATTCAAATTCGCAGCAAAAGAGAAGTACGAAAAACGATGTTGTGTAGGACACTTTTTACACTTAAAGGTTCGTAGGCTAGTATAATTAGTCTGATTGGCTTAATATACAATAAGGAAAAAAATCTGTTTTTTCTACAGCTTTGCTTTATCGAGTATAGGTGGCAAAGCCTGAACACATGAAAAAGCTATTTCAGTTGAACGAGCTAAAAGAAGTGGGAAGAAGTTTTTTGCTTAACCGTCAGTTCGATGTTAGGCTTTTATATGGACACATTTTTCCGCATGTCATGTGTCTGTACGCTGAACAATCCTCGCCAGCCTATCTAGAAGTTTTTGCTGGAATATTGACAGCGGCAGCACTAGAGTGTAGTAGGAGAATGAACATGCGTGCTATTTTTAGAGCGTTGTCAACTTCTCTTTTTCAGCTTGAAAAAGGACCGCGCTCTCTGAAAGTGAACTTAGCCTAGTTTATAGTTAGTGGCAGGAGAAATGTCACGTACCCCCAGATTCTGTCATAATTATTTAAGCGCGAGACAAGATTCCAGGTTTTTCAATTTAAGCATTCAATGAGGCCGGTCCATGAATACTTTAAGGTTAGTTTTTTAATGAGGAACAAGCGAGGAGAAAGAATCGAAGCAATGAGGACAGTGAGCACTCCCAGGATATCATGTCCTAGGCAGCGAACAGTTTTTGAAATCTGATATCTGATAGGAAGGATGAACGAAACATTCAAACAGAGGACATCTGCAGTAAGACGGATTTTTCTGTCGCCTGTAATTAAGAACTTGGTTATCTGATAAGGTAACAGCTCCAGGTACCAGGCAGTTCGATGCAAACAAGTACTAAGCGTTTTTCACAGCCAGAAATAATGCTCGCTCTGATAGTCTCATCTAACTCTGGGCACAAAAAAGTGGAGTTGATTGAGACTGAACATGGAAGGATTTCAGGATGAAAGCGTCCTTGAAAAAAAAACCTCGTTGAGCTAAGTGTTCTAGCATTTATTTTGCTCCTACTAGAAAACTGTATGAATTTCAATGTCAAGTCCGAATCATGTGATGAACGGTTTATGGAAAAAGCAGGGATTGTCAATACAGTTATCCTGAGTTTCAAATTCAAGTCTATAAAAAGATGTAAGTTCAAGAAAATTTGACAAGGAAGATTCGAGAAATCTGTGACAAAAACGAAACCTCCACAACATTGTTTAAAGGACCGCTAGAGATAGAAGAGGAAATGAAATCCATTGTTAGAAGAAGCACTTACGAATCATAGCCGGTAAACAACCGAAGTCGGATCCGATTTCGGAGGTAATGAGATAGTTTCGAGTTTTGGCTTTAAACTCTGGGTCAATTACCGAATACTGGGCCTTGTATATTATATTTTTAGGGCCGTCTCTGACAATACCTGATTCTAGTGAAGAAAATGAAGCAAACAGACCAGGAAATAGCATAGAAGTGTCAGATAGTTCGTACTCAGCCTAGGCTCCACAATCTCCAATTTTTGAAAATGTTTCAGTGTGTTTCATGCCAAGAACCAAAATATATATTCCTATATCGTTCGTGCATGAACGATGCAGAATGACTCAGTCAAAATGACCACCTTCAGAGTTCCTGCGTTCAGACGGGAGCAAACGAGAATCGTCTTGACAAATTTTATACAAGCTAACATCAATAATTTACAGTTATTATAAGATTGCAAGTTGTTTTACAAAATAGATTGCAGTTCGATTGCACAAATATGAGTCGCATAGCATACTTTTCACATATGTAAGAAATATCAAACAAAGTCTCAAATACCATTATGTCGTGAATAGACCTGATACATATGGCGTTAATGAACTAATGACAGAATTAGTTACTCAGTAATGAAGTTTGGCATGGAGAGCATGGGCACGGACGGCTAAAAACACAATGATGGCTGAGATAAGTATGATGGAAACATTGAATAGGCAGATAGTTGATAGCCCGATGTTGCTCATGCAGAGGAGTGCCTGAAATCGTGATAAGTTCAATGAACAAAAAGAAAATAGAGCTTCTTAAAACAGCTGAGATAGATATTTTTATTGTTGCGGAATGAACATCCTGAAGAGACCTCCCACAGAAGAAAAGCTGATATAAAACGCACAAGTACAGCTATTCTATTTTTATCGCAAAAATTCTATCCTTTAGCTCATTCACTCACCTGTCTAACATCGAAGTTCATCTGCAGCCAGCTGATCTTCTCAATATCGTCATTTGGAATAATGAAGTCTCTTGATTCCGAAGCTGAAGCTATATTCAAATGGTGTACAATCCAGAGATACACAAATACACACAATGATTTGAAAAAGTCAAAAACTCAGTTTTTTGAAGTTCGTATCCTACGCTGATCTAAATAAACACTTCAGGTCCTCATCAAAATCTACCCCATCTTGTGCAGATGGGGGTCTTTTGCTGATGTCTTTTGCCACAGTTTTGAGGCTTCCTTGAGAAGTACTAACGAGGGGCACCAAGGAAACTGCATTACCGGCTTAGTTCTTAGCCCCGAAACCGGATATTATCCAAATATCAAACACAAAAAGTTGTTAGAACTCCTTTGCATGTTTCTAGTATTTCACCTATCAATTCTCAGAAATCTTTCGTTAAAGCGTGTCACAGTGACACTTCGGTAGAAAGAGGTCTTTTACCTTCCTGACCCTTGTTTGCGGCTTCGGATAGCAGGTTTTGATGGGAACGGCGTCGGCGAGGTGGATCGGGACAGGACGGGACCTGGAATATGGGGATAGAGACTAAGGACTTAGTCTCCGTACGTAGGTATAAAAACTGCATAAGAACTATGACAGTCTATACAACATCGAGATTATAGTTGGACTGCGGGATCGATCAAAAATAGTCACTCTCAAAAGAAGTAATTTGGTTGCAATCTTCGCTATCCCATGGTCCTCATATCATGCATTTTTAGCGGAAAACTCGCTATTTTGTACGCTATGCAGTTTTTGTGACTACAGCTGTTACTCACTAAAAGAATAAAACACAAAAGTGATTCTCTGTCACCCCACCTCACAGTATTCTACTCCTGGCTCTTTGATTCGAAGAGTGATTTGACAGTCAAAGAACATGTTGTCTTTGTCAGCATACTTGTAGACATGAGCCTCGCGCCCAGCCATCAAGTCTGCAGGATATTCCAAATTCGTAAGAAGGTATTTGTCCAGGGCGCAGCTGAATTTGCATTCAAGATTTTTGTAAATTCTAGAAAAAGTAGGTACCCTTTCTCATTGATGAGCTGGACTCGTTCACCATTCCCATCATCAACAAAGCAGGAATGCACGACCATGCAGAATGTGTCCTCCTGCTCCGCTTCACAAGTCCATTTATGGTAAACCTAAAAAATTCAAACAGAAGCACTGGAGAGGCACAAAAGATGTCTACCATTTGCCCGACTGTAGCATAAAACACCGGTGGCCCCTTAGGTGAGCCGTCGAGAACTTCATATCTGCACACTGGCATCGGAACTTGCTTAGTGTGCATAGTCGGAGGTGGCATACTGATAGATAGATTTTGCAGTTTTATAACGAATCAATTGAAAAAACACTAACTTGATAACTATCTCTTTTTCCAAGCGTCTTTCCATTTCCATGTAGAAACATTGCACTCTATAGATTCTGTCAACTTTGGTGAGAAAATCCAAGTGAAAAGCGACAATTACAGAAGCTGACAGAAACACTCCTCTTGGTGATGTCTAAATATACAAAGAAGAATACACTGGCTATGTTAGGATAAAAAGCGTATGATCACATTATCTAGAAGATAAGTATAAAAAAAACGTAAACATCCTGAAGCAAAATTTCAAGAGAAGGAGTTAATAAATATTAAATTCCAGACAGAAAATGCTTCGATGAATGCCTTCCTGAAAAAACTAGCTACTGCAAGTCCCAACTGTTTGACTTTCTGCGAAGACACTAAAAAGACTTAAATGGTTTTTCACCATTCATATTAAATTAAATGATCCAGATCTTGCGCAACTGCAAACAAGAAGATGAGTCGCGAATGAGGAGCGGTTTTGATTTCTTGATTGTTTAGCTAATGAGCAGTTTCGTCAACATCTAGCCCTCCGCTATCCGTCTGGTCCCGTTGTTCTGGCGGCTAGTCGCCTCCTCAAGAGCAGCTAGCTCATAAGGACTATAAAAGAGATCTCGTTTGATCACAGGACAGGTAAAGCGACGTTTCAGTGTTGCGAGTTCGTTTGAAACAATTTCAAGGCGAAAAGCGAATTTTTCGAGAATACTCTTTAGTTTTTTCTTTCCAAACGTCTGATCTCAAAATATGCATGCAAGAAGCACTCATTCATCTTCATTGTGTTTAGATAATGTCCTATTTGTTATTCATCGGTTCGTTGTGCGTTGCTTCATCGGTTGCTCAGGACTGGGGAGGAATGGGCGGATATGGAGGAGACGGTGGCATGGGAGGTGGTGGAGGTGGATGGGGATACGGTAATAAACCCATTTTTCAGCTACTTCACAGTTTTTTTGCTGAGAAATCCTTGGAACTTATAGCTTCGGTATAAGGTACTCGTCATGCTTCCAAATTTTAGGTGGCGGAGGAGGCGACATGGGCGGCTATGGAAATGGCGGAGGCGATATGGGAGGCTACGGTAAGCGTATATTTCAGTTCACTTTTGTGAAAGTTTTAAGTTTCTTTTTGAGGGATTTATTTTCGTTTTATACTGATAGACAATTATTCAGGTGGTTACGGCGGAGGAGACATGGGTGGTGGTTATGGTGGCGGTGGAGACATGAATGGTGGTTATGGTGGTGGTGGAGACATGAATGGCGGTTATGGTGGTGGTTATGGTGGTACGTTTCAAAACTGTATAATTCATCCGTGAAAAAATTGGGCAGTTTTACACTTCCTGGAATTGATTGAATCACTTCAGGAAAAGATGCATTACAGAGTTTATGTTCATATTTACTGAGAGTTTTTAGCGCTACGGTGCGCTGCTTCCTAACACAAATTTCTCCTTCCGTAACCTGATCACAATGTAGCTAATTCGAACATGAGATAATAGGAGATTTTCGACGATTTTCAAAAGACCCTCCCCCCCCCCCCCCTTCCATGTTTACATAATGTTTCATTCTACGCCTGATTTTGATCCTGCAAATTTTAGGTGATGGAGGCGGTTATGGTGGCGATGGCGGTATGGGAGGATTCGGTGGAGGCTATGGAGGAATGGGTGGCATGGGAGGAATGGGCAATGGCTATGGAGGTTACGGTGGAAACCAAGGTTAGTCAGTCAGAGTTTTTGACGAGTGGAGTCAGCTCGAGCATTCTGGCCCATTCCCAATTTGCTTATCGAGACTCACATGACCCAGACATCAGCGCCCGTCATTTTTGAGGGGGAGCGCAGCCTAACAGCTCCCATTACAGGCATGGGAGTACAACCTGATCAATTCGGAGGAGGAGACAACTATGGCGGACAGCCTTATATGGGCGGAATGAATGGATTTCCATAAGTCAATCACTAATGAGCATTTCTGTAAATACTGAGACGTGGACAATGGATAAGTAAATAATAAAGTAATTATTTATGGTCTTGGCGTGTGCAAACCTGAACAAATTTGTCAATATAAATGCTCACCGATATTCGCCTTTCCACTCCACAATCCTTAAATGAAAGTCTGAGGCTGGCATTGTGTCGTGCCCCAGGAATTACTGGCGGGCTACGACAGCGAGGATCTTCCAGACGATCTTGTACGAAGACTAGGCCTTGAAACGGGTTCCTAGTCTCGAACCGAACCTTAAAAGCATTACTTCTGTGAATGATCTTAGAGCAAAGACAAAAGTATTTAATAAGATGAGGCTTACTTCGAAGTAACTGTCAGCACAATCAACAATGGGGTCTCCAAGAACACCATTATCTTGTTGTGTGGATGAATATCGCTAAAAAATGGTTCCAGCAATGTAAAAAAAAGGCTTAACATTTTTAAGGGGATAATAACAGAACACAAAGTCGCTTTGTAAATATTCTTGGTGTACTCAAAGAAAAAATAGCGTGAAACTGTGTGAAATGTAAAACCTCTATTCATGCCTTAATGCTATACAAAATTGAAAAAAACTGTATTAGCGCTTAAAAACTCACAACTTGAACGAATAGTAGTAACACCAAGAACACAGGAGGACCCATGCCCTAAAATCAAGTTGACATCTTGAATAGTGTTCAAATCGTAATCAAAAAAGGCATGAAAACGTCACTGTCTATACCAGAAATGCATTATCTAGATCTAGGTGAAAGAGGTTAGAACACCAGCAGATGTTTGTTATTGAGGGATAAACATGGAGATTAGGACGGATCAAACACTCTGATGCGCCTCGAAGAGGAACTGTCAGTCTATAACCAAAACTGGCTGAAAATTCAGCAATTTTGCTTTATTTTCCATGCTTGTTACAAGAATTAGTAATCAGTTTGTAATGTATGTTATAATCAACCATGTAGAATCATTTATAGCATGGAACATACGATTGCTTAGAAGTTGCTAACTAAGAAAAATGATTGTGGAACATTACATTTGAGGGGTAACAGGGATAAAATAAACCTGGCAATCTGTTTTTTGCATATAATGATCAAATAGTCTCAGAAGAAATAGAATGAGAGCGAGAAGAAAAATAAATCGTACATAATAACACGAAATTGCGGTTACAGTAAAAAAGCGACAATGTGTTATTTTGCAATATTTTGTTACAGAAGTAACATTGGACAAGGATGAACTGCTTCCACAGAATTTCCGTAGTTGTGGCTTAGACAAAAAGTATTCGAGAAGATTGGACATGGTGGTCTTCGGAAAGTATCAATCTTCATAAAATTGAAATTCGCGTGTGGATGCGAAAGGAAGATTGCAATCTATGTGTGTTATAGACTTCACGCATGCACACTCTCAGGTCTAATGGGGTCGAAAGAAAACGCGGAGTGCTGAGTCATAGCCTAGAGAATGAAGCTAGGAATCCACTTAACTAGTTTAGAGGCGACCTTGTGGTCACTATAAGCTGCGCTAGGAAACTCTGCTGTGTACATTTACTTTTTTGCGTCCAGACATATCAATAAATTCAAACAGAGGGTTGAAAGGTGAATTATACTCAATGTAATCAATGAGAAGCTTTTGGAAGTAGCATTTTGTACTCAGTATAATAAATGAAGTGCTTTCAAAGGAATTATTTGTAATTCAAGGGCTTAGTGTTACTCCACCCTAACCCCAATTTCAATATATTCGTGCCCTTTTTTTGGATAAACTTTTGTCTCCTTATAGCAGGGCGTCACGTTTATGGTTAGAAACAAAATAAAGTCGTGTCTATGTCGCTGGATATAACTAAAATAGGTATACAATATATAACATTGATGGAAATCATCATGTACTGCGTCGTGCTCATTTCACATCTTGCCGTTTGTTTCATTTCATAAGTCAGTTTGAGAAAATCGAAGAAGGAATTTTGGACAACACATGAACCAGCCAGTCCTGAGCTGTAAGCAGATAAAGAATATACGGATGAAAAACAAAATACGAAGGCCTAGACTATTAATGACATAGATGTATCCGCTCGTAAAGTTCAAAGGTGGAGGAAAGCGCAGTTAGTCGAGAACAATAAAGGTGTCCCAAAAAAATGTGAACACTGTTTGATCGTTAATAACTCCCTTGCTTTCATGTCTTTCGCCGAGCTTGAGGCACCATTCTGTAGAGCGAGGTTCAACTTAGATTTGCAGTATGGAGCGAATCACCGGTGCTGCTCGTTACTGTAGGATTACGGTATGAACTTCTAACATGTGGATCTATTGTGAAAAATGCCATTTGACAAAAAAATTTTCAAAAAATCTGAAAAATCGTATACTGGGGTTTTCGCGCACGCTGATTCCATTGCACAACTTTTTGTAAGTGTTTCAAGCTTTTTTTACGGTGTAATCACCTTCCTGACAAATGCTGGGAATTCGGTTATTACGGTTTACCTGAGATAACTTTGGAAAGAAGCATCACAGTAAAGTGGAAATTTCATATTCGAAATCAGCGTCTCCCATCACCGTAGTATAAGAGTTTTTGGCTTGTTTGGCTTTGTTCCGAGTCAGAATATAGCCTCCAATGGCCTAAAATCCTTGGCGAAGTTTGTACCGTAATCCTGCAGTAATGAAGAGCGATCGACGATTCCCTCCATACTGTAAGTCTAAGCTGAACCTCGCTCTATAGAACGGTGCATCAAGCTCGGCAAAAGACATGAAGGCAAGAGAGTTATTAACGATCAAACAGTGTTCACATTTTTTTGGGACACCCTGTATATTTCGCTTGAAAACTAAGAATGCTTATAACAAAAAGAAAATTCTTTATTGAATACGAAATAGGAAGTCAGCAGCTTGTGTGGTTCTTTTATAGAACTTTGCTTTCACTGTGATAGACATGTGCGAATAAGCGCTCGAAGAACACTAGTGGGAGCTAATTCACGAATTAAGTGGCAACCGCGTAAGGTAAAACAGAGATGTGTCACGACAAACTTTTCGAAGTCTCGAGAGAGAAGAGGAATGCGGCTCTTCGGCCAGATACAAGTGTAGATATGCGTGCAAAATCTTGAATTTACGGCTGAACAAGCCCTTGAACAATCGGCGTATAATCATAGCAAAGCGAACCCCATCGCTATGAAGCTTTTGCCTAGACTTTCACTCCTGAGCGCATCATGGAGGGGGGCGGAGCTGTAGTAGTAATAAAAGTTATTTACTCCATGAAACCGGATTTTCCTTGATACAGGAACAAATACCTTGATTGCAGAATTCGATTAAAAAAAAACTTCATAATCATTGCTTCCAAACCTTTCCGATATATGTTGTTTGCCTGTAAAGTTAAATTCCACATAGATTTTTGTCATATTACGCAGTACGCTCCATTGGTATTATTTTCCAAGAAAAGTCTTCACAGCCATGTGAAGAATTTTTGAAAAATCAAGTCGAAAATAATTCTCGAAAGGCGTAAAAACTCTACTGAAACTATTAGGCTGTCCCATAAGTTGTTTTTTCATATTCGGACCTTCAATTCGATTTTTCTCAGAAATTACAGCACCTAGTAGGCTGCAAATTTTTGGCAGTAATTCTGAGCGAATAAGCTATATAATCACCTACTTGCGGGGGATACAGAAGTGATACAGGCAAAGTTTGAAAATTGAGCGCATTATTTTTTCTTGGTTTCTAGCCATCAGAAAAATACAGCAAATGCATTTATAAATATCCGATGAGGAGAGTATATGCATGAAAAAATAGGAAATTTGCAGAGCTGTTTTGAACTGAGATATGATGATTTTCGTTTTTTCGGAAATTCGGGAAATTTTTTTATTTTGGTTTGGAGCATGTTGCGGATTGGACTTGGTGCGAACTTTTGAAAGCCATCTTGTAGAGCTTACTTTGTTCTGTCGAATGGTACCCTGCAATTTATCAGGAGTTCACGAAGAACTGATTTATGTCGTTGAAAAGTCAGGTATGAAAAGACTTATGGGACAACCTAATAATAGCAATAAATGATAACATTTTTATCGAAAAATGTCTTATGCTGCGGATCGATTTGTAGTAAATTGAGTCAGATTTTTGTAAGTACACTAGATTTAGGCGGTGATACACGATCGAAACTTATGGTGAATATTTATCAACAAAGTTTGATTATTTCTCATTCTACTTTATAAGTGTTGCTGTCTCAGCAGCCAAGGTGAGCAGTATGTATGGTTAAGCGGTACCCATGGTTTAGGCCATTCGCCTTGGTCACACCCTCTTGATTTATATTCTGTTGAAAGTAATAAGGAGTAGCGTCAAAAGTAAGTAGTACACTATGAAAGTAATTTTTGAAAAGAAGTGAAAGCTAGGGTGCCGAGGTATACAAGGTACGGCCCATTCGAGTCGGTCTCACACTATCATGCTTGATTCTGGTTAAAAGAGATATTTAGATAAATGTGAGAGCAATTATCTATAGCGTATGCATGGTATTAGTTTAGATCCAGTTTTTGTTATCTATCATGATGCTTTCCATGTAAATTATTTGTAAAATTACCCGATTAATGGATGCATTAACATCTTGCAGTCTATACTTGCTAATGATACTCGGTGTCACCAAACGTAGAGTGACCGTTGGCTATAATTCAATGTCATATTCTGTTGTAGTAAGAGAGTGAGTTTCAAAACCTGTTTGAGATTATTTTTGTATACTAATGTTCTTATATTCCTGTCTTGAAGTCAAAGCTTCCTCTTCTTTGCTCATGGTTATTACATTCTGACCTGCGATGGGCACACTTTGCGATCAGTAAATGAACAAATAGACAAATGAATCAATTTATTAGCAAAACATTAGATCTTCGACAATCCCATGCATTCATTCAACATCGAGGAATGATTCTGTAAGGCAAATTCATTGTTTGAATTCGAAACTAAAGCCCTTTCTGCAGATACTTACGCGCATGACAATCCTTGCACAAAGTTCATTCCATTCGTCATGAGATCATCCACGTTCTTGGCTTGATACATGCAGTCTTTTGATACAGATGAGAGCAGCTTTTGCGATGGTGTCTGGACAGCAAGCACAATCAAGTTCATTGAATTCAAGATAAGCTGTGGTACTCACAAGCCCCACAGTCACTATTGCTATTTGGTAGGTTCCCTGCCGCCTAATTGCGTAGATCCTGCTTGCCGGATCATCGTCGGTAGGGCTAGAATATTGAGCGGTACAAATTAATTCATCATGGGTATCATAGATTATCGTAACCAACTTTGTGCTAGTGACGTATATAAGTATATGTTTAGCCGCTGTACGGTAACCTTGGTTCGGAGTGCTGTAGTTCGTTACAGCTAGATCCATAGCGCTAAACAAACATTGATAGGCATCTTATTTTGATAAATATCTTATCGTACCTCGACAGGTTTTGACCTGCCTTGTTTAAGAAGGTCAAGTTGGAGAGCAGCATTTGAACGTTGTCGAAGCTATGCTCTGGAGCGTTAAACGAGAATCCGCCTTTAGGCGTGTCCGCCAATGTCATGGCCGCGACCTTAGTAGGGGTACATAAATTTCAAAGAGAGATACGAGAATAACGGCTGAAACCAAATATTTTGTCGCTCAAGATGTTCGCTGCATTTCTTGAGGTCTCTCGAATAACTTAGCAGTTCCTCCAATTTTTTTTAGTTTAGGGGAGGAAACGTTGGAATATTAGTTCTTTCGACCAGCCATTGTATTGGGCTGAAACACGAGTCTTGCACCAAAAATTCCAAAAGAATTATTTGAAATTTCTTAGGTAAACATTTTGATTTGTAAATATCTCGTTGTTATATGCACCAAATGTAGTGTTTTATCATGCACATTAGAAACTCTAATCTGAACGAGATCAAACTTCAAAAAAAGAAATTTGAAAATCATAACTTTTCGCAGAGAGATCCATTTAGCACAAATTCTTTGCAGTAAAAAGGAGTATAGGCTGTATCAGCCAGCATCGGTCCCGCGCCAGCATGGCGACGACGCACCGTCGTATGTGACATGCCTTAGCGCGTGGGAGAGTTCGCACGCGTCACATCGCATCGTCGCCGCGGGCGCGACATCGCATAACCGATTCTGGTTGGTACAGCCTACAGGTCGTAACACATAACTTGAAAATGGAACTAGAGGTTGTTAGGCCTTCCAGTCATCTTTAATGACTGAAAAAAAAAGATGATATTTGTGAGTCTGTGTTTATCAGTATTTACCACAGTCACATTTCAACAACAATTTTTGTTCTAAGCACTAGCAAAAACCGCATAATTTTCTCTTTCTATCTTATATTTTAATAAAGTTTCATTGCATCTAAAAGAGTTTAGAGCTTTCCAAAAATTTTGGTGCAGGACTTATGTTCTAACCTAAGTAAAATGGGACCTATGGTTCGCTGACACGGACCGCGGAATTCGTTTCTGTGTTTAGTAGCAAATTAATCTGCTCATTCTTAAGAAAAGATCGAAACATTAAAGCAGAAAAATTTAGAAATTTATAGCGATTACAACTGTTGTAATTACTTATGGAATATTCTCAACAATGCATGTGGCGTGATTTTTCACACCTGGATGGTTTAAGAGATTTTTTCTGGAGGAAGAGCGCGATAAAAGATTTTTCTGTATAAGGTTTGGATTAGCCAGTAATTTCGTCAAAATTTCGAGCTGCTTTTGAAAGGGTCTGCCGGCTCACAGTCCTGGCCTTTTGCTCCAAAGAATTTTTTTCTCAAAAGCAATCGGGATTCAAAAACTTAGAAATTATCTTAATTATTTCCAAGTAGATTCATTACTTGCACAAATAAATTATCCATGTAATCTGCTCCTAAAAAATTTGCGTTCACCAGAGGGAGAGCGTACCTCCCCCACTATTCGTCGGGTCTAAAAATACCTATTTCATGAAAAAGAAGCCGAAAGAAGCGAAAACTGGAAACTTGACAAGGCATAAGTTTGGGCGGAGCAGGCGATGTGCAATCGCACACATCAATTGAAAATGACTTAACTATACCTGGGCGGTATCGTTTGCGAATCTGTACGGTAGCTGAGAGTGAATGGCAAAATCTCGTAACTGCAAAAAATCATCATAGCGCAAGAACGAAACACCGCTTGTGCTTACACTTTTGAAGTTGTCTTCAGAATTAGCATTCTGGTAAGATGCATCGATGATGAAGAGCGTGTCTTGCATGACTGCGCCCAGGTCGCAAGTTGGTACAGGGGCTTGAAAATGTAGATCATTTTGTTGAGCAGTAACAACTTTTTTGTCTAGGACATTCCATGAAACCCATTCGCAAAATGTCATACAATATCTGCAAACAAGAACTTACGTGGTAGATCGGGACGAAATGGAACACAGTTGGTGATATAATTTCGTCGAATAGTAGCACCCATCGAATCACGACCGTAGATCATGACGATATTTTGCTAAATTAGATGAGTATAACCTATGGTATTGGTGTGAAAGAACATTTTTTTACCTCATAAGTGCACACAAATGGTACTGGTGCATAGTATTCGTAACTGCAACTGTTGCTTCTTCTCATCAAAGTGGAAGTGTACTGTAGTCCCACTCCTGCATTGGCAACTTGCACATACGTAAGTATACCGTCGCCAAGTCCATCAGCATGGACAACGATCGTATTGTTTTCGTCTAAAGCATATTTATTTATTTCTGAGACGGACGAGTTCAAAAAAAGCTCACCCATGACAGGCGCAAAATGAGCCTTGTCATTAGTAGCACCACCCCAGGCATCATCTGATGTGCGAACATAGGCTGGATAAATCTGAAAACCCTGTTTAGCATTGGTCAGAGCCTAAATAGGTACGACCTCAATTGAAGAGCGTCCTCTGATGTTCAGCTGACAGTACTGTCCACCAGCTCCAGACATAGTCATACAGTATGTACCAGCTCGAACTGCACCACTATCGTTTACCTAAAGATTTTGTTTGGAAGGGACGCATTTTTCCGTTCAGTAAATCTTAAAATGTAATCATACCCGCAAGACTCCCAAATAGTTGGTGTCACTGGAGATGAGATTGGGTGGGAGAGAAATGCTGTCACCTGGCAGTTTATCCAGTATTAGCAGAAGTTTTTTTTTAAATATCTTTTCATGACTTGATTAAAGTGAGCCATTGTCGACAGCAAAAAGCAAGAACGTACCTGCTGGATCTGTCAAGGTCACAGCTACTGGTGGATTCACAACTGGATGATAGTAGCTAAGAGTGAATTCGTACATACCGTGCTCAACCTAAATAATGGCATGAGAAGAAATCCTGAGGGACGATAAGGAGGATAATTCTTCTTGGCAAAAGCTATTTCGACTTAAGCCTTACTTGGAACAGAAACTCGTCATAGTTGCAGTTTGGAGTGCCTCCAACATCCAGACCTCCTGATCTGTATAATGAAGGTACGTACTGTTGCAAAAAGTTCATTGTAAAGTCTGTGGGCGACATCTGAATAGTAGTATGTTTCTAGTTTTAGAGTTCGCAGCCTGATGTTCTCAAGAAAGGCAACTCACAACAAAGACATCTCCATCACTGTAACTGGTGGCCGTGTATAAAGAATTTGATGCTGGAGTATTCCAGCCTTCACCGCATGGCGAAGACGTTCCCGTAAGCACGAAGTTGATCTGTATAATTGCCGATATCCACTACATTTTCAATGTCGGACTAACCTGTGCTCTGCTCTCCATCAATTGTTGGATCATGCCATTGACAAGATTGTAGTCCTCAGGAGTGGAGCGAGTCACGACAAGGATGACAGAGTTGGGTTTGGCCAGTTCTGTCATGTTAAGCACTTCTTTGAGGGTTGCCATAATCGGACGGGGGCAGTCTGGAAGGAGACCGCTACGATTGCTGCGCAGTTGTAAATCTTTATTTCCTCTTTTTAGCATCTCAAAGGAAATGTCTAGGATGTCTGGGGACCTGTGCTTGCTATGTGCACCTGCTTGCGGAGTCCCAATTAGACATTGCCCAAGCGGGAGCTCATACAGCCATTTGTGATTGAGATATCTATTCAAACTTGACCGCTCCAGGTGGTGAGCTCGTAAAGGTGCGGTGTGGACGAGTTTAGAGAAAAGTTTAGAGAAAAAATTCTTGTCGTGAACGAGCCAGATGAGTTTCGCTCATGCAAAAGCCAAGGCCTTCCAGTCAGTAGTATATTGAGTTGAGAAATCCAGTAACCAGCGGTCTTTCAAGAGCCTCCATATCACTGTTCGCCCGGTTTGGATTGTTTTGATTATTTCCCATATATTTTTTAGGGGAGATTTTTTGTAGAGCATGATAATCTCGGCTACCTTGAATCTGCTTAAACAGTGCCCAAGGGAGACTGTGCACGCTCCCTTGTCCTGTTCGGATAAGCACGTAAAGTAAGTAATCTACATATACGTAGTGACCCTCGATAGGGCCAAAGAAAGGCTCTCCACAGTGGCGTACCCAGGATTTCGGCTCGGGGGGGGGGGGGGGGCGACAAAAATTTTTTCCAATGAAGGTGCGTGGCATTAGCCACGCACTCCGAAAATGTTTTTTGGGATGCTTCCTAAAATTTTTGCGGGCTCAGAACCCCGAAATTTCATAAAAAGGGGGCTGGAGTCAGCCACGCCCCGAAAAAAAATTTTTTATGGCTAAAATGAATTTTTAGAAAATTTTAAAAATTATTTTAATTGTTTACAAGTGCAGACAAGCCATTTGCACAATTTTATAACCCATGTAAGTAGCTTTCAAAAATTTCGCGACCCGTTCTCGGAGCGGAGGGGGGGGGGCTCTCCATGGTGCCATACTTGAACCGGAAGGCATATCCTGCATAAATCAGGTAGTGACGCAATTTGAAACTTCACTCATTCGAAAATTTCTTGCAAGCGCGATCCTACTTTGCATCAAAGGAATTGGTGCAAAAAAATATGGTATTATATGGTCCGAACGCCTGCGCGACAAAATATGAACACCGGGGTACAGTCGTGCGAGAACCAGTCAGTCATATCGCCATAGCGGGGAGCATTAATATCCAGTAAGCTAATTGTTCATACTTCACCATGCGAACGTTCCGACTCTTAAGTCCTCAGCACAACTGTTACAAGTTCAACCCTTCTATCCACATGTCGTAATTGTACTCGCTCTTTCTTCCGCGTATCAACTATAGAAGGATATTCTGCTAAACAAAAAAGCTGATCCTGACTTGGTGAACATCCATTCGGTCCTGGACAAGCCGTTGTTGTGATATTATTTACAGCAGCTACAATATCATCCGAATTTGTCGATATAACAGGAGGATACCAGTAGATCTTGTTTGATTCTGTAAACGCATAATAAACCGAACCACACCATATTCTTCTACTTCGTAAACTAACCGGAATCAAATGGGTAGAGAATGAATTTTGAGAACCATCCCTTCGTTGTGGGGTCAGTATTGATTTTTTCAAATGCAGCTTTCAAGCTTCTTTTCATTTGGAATATTGTTGCGCCCATGTTGTAAGACGTTTCGAGCATAATGACGAATGTGCGATCTAGTACGGTATTGATAAAAAAATTAAGCCTTGAAGGGAATATACTTACCGATATCAGAGAAGGTTGTTGGATAAGGTGGAAGGCAAAGTGCTAAAAAAACAATTAGTGGTAAATCAAAGTTCACTAAAATGGTTTAATAAATGATGATCTCAAAGTGAGCGGTATGCGAATGAATTTTTACCTTGTTCGCAGAAGGTACCCGTATAAGCAGGGAGACATTCGCACTTTGTTCCATCCACATAACCGTAGTTTTGACAAATTGGAATTCCACAGCTAGAAAAAAAAGGTTCTCGTGCATCCACTAGGAGAATTTGTTTGAGGATGGGAAGATATTGATGCGCATTGGAAGGATGCATAGATAACCAATTCGGATGTCGTTGTGAACAACGTATATGATTAGAAAATCTACCATCAATTTTCTCGGAGGAAGCAGATGATAGTAGCTGATCTCCTGTTCAGAAGCAAAATATAAACTGAAGAAATGATTCTTTCAGAAAATCGTACGTGCTTGATGGGAATGACAGGCACTGACGCAGAGAATGCACAATCTACCGTCAGTGTAGCGACGGGGTTACACAACCACCTCAGTGTTATAGCCGAATGTGCTTTCGGTGACTGAGAGTAGTGGCGGATGAAGATTCTCAAAGGTGTAGAAATAACTTACTCTGCTCCAGTATATCCCGGATAGCAAACACATTTCTCATTGGTAGGGAAACCATTTTTACAGTTCAGGGCTGAAATGTTTACTTTGAGCATTTGTAAATATGCCGAACGATTCTAGGACTTGGTTTTGCGCAAATGGCATTGGTAAATCTCTCGAATGCATAGCCATACTGGTCGATCCCAGAAAACTAAAAGCAAGTTTTATTTGTTCCTCATCTTCCAAATAGAAGATGCCACATACTTTGATGAAGAAATCTGTAAATGAGCCTTGTTGCGGACATTTGAACGCGTTTGACACTTGAGGATAACCGCATTGCCTAGAATTCAATTCAGATTTGGTACACTATTTACGGTTACCTATTTACCATCTATCTGCCATAATAAGAGGAGTTGTCATGTTGTAATTGTATCCGAGAATGGCATAATTGAGTCGTCCTTCCAATGATGGCAATACATCATAGTGGAATGGGGACAAACCAACAGCATCCGCTACCAAGTAATTGTTTTCTGAAAAGTGATTAGCATCAGATTATTAGCTCTACAACTATAGGGAGGAAGTAATGGGCTGATGGGCTAGTTCTGCGCGAGCAACTAGCACGGTTGAGTGCTGACAATGAGATGCATGGTTTGTGGCAGATGTCCGCACGAGGAGATTATCGGCTACCATGTTTTTTAACAATGATCTAGTGACATACGTGAGAGAGAATTGGCGTACAGCTCCGGGTAGTCTCCGTTAGGGTCGACAGTAAAGCCGAAGAACACCTAAAATAGAATTAGCTCTTGCAGCAGCTATATATTAAATTTTGATTTACCTGAATATCAGATTGAGCTCGAACTTGTGCGCCACAGGAGCCTTGACCCTGAATTTGTACCTTCCATAGGCCGGCTGGTACAGTACCTAGAAGTTTTTACTTTTCACAACATCTTAATGAGGATGACCTTATTCCATTACTGACTTGTATTGTTTCCAGGAGTGAAACCTTGACCAAATCGATGTCTTTGGCAAACTGCGTAGTTTTCTTCGTTGCAGTCTGTCGGAACCCATTGTCCATTCTGGTCCAAAGCGACACACGAATATGCGGTGTTGTTTGGATCTACCCCAGGAGCCCAGTTGGTGAAATTACCCTGATGCAAATTCATTATTTACTCTTCACGTACGTGTTAATGAGGTAAGTTAATCACAATGCTTTGGAAACTGTTTCCGTCTGGGACGTCCCATACCCAATCTTTGTTGTTTCTAATCAATCCGATCCACGACTTGGCACCATTGGTTTGACCTGAACGCTTATCGTAAATAAAATAGACTTGCTGATAGTTTCAATATTAGAAGTCTTAGTACCTACAAAATAAAGGCACGAATTCCTGAAGTAATCTTCAGATTTTTTATCCCAAAATGATCATGCTTTTTCAAGCGGACAAGAATAGCGACTTGATTCACTCACTTCTGATATAATCGTCCTTCTGCTGGCTGTGAATATCAACCATATATCCACCAATGCTATGGCAAAACTGGTTCGCTCTCACAAACGTTAGCTTAAGTTCCTTACTTGGTTCAACAATTAGAAATATGTGGAGGGTGTACCTTGTTGAAATTGAACCGATAACAATACTGCTCTCTGTAGTTCCATTGATATCCATCACATGCTAAAATTATATGTCTATCACAAAATCAACATTGCGGTAGGTGCGACATACCTTGAATGAACTGCTGAATGTTCAACTCTGGATCAGAAATTAAAGGAACCGAAAGGATGCTGTTCAAGCCTGCCGATCCATCGGGTAAGGTTATAGTGACAGAGCTGATGTTTGAGGCGCTTACAGCTAGAACATAATTGAATTAAAGAAAGCGACCACCAAAGAGACAAACCCAATGTGAACGCTGCTGTGGATGAGTCAATGGGAACATAATAAGTTGCATTGCTACAGTCGTCAAAGTAGGCACTGGAAGCTATACCGGACTTGTATAAGGATGAGATGAACGGCAGCATCTGCAATTTAGAAATGAAAATGGCGGGAGATGGAAGACGACACACCAACAGGCACTTGAAGAACAAACTACTTGTGATTCAAGAATACCCAACATGATTTTTTGACTTAAATCGTTCATGCACCATCGTTTGCGCATTCGTGCAATAAACTGTGCTACTCGCATAAATGAACAATGAGGGGGGTCGTGTTTGTCGTATGTAGCCTACTTCCACATTTGCGATTCGAATGAAGAAATTTCCTATCGAACAGATTCTTAGACTGCTGTGTAAATGTCTGTTCATGATACCGCCTTATTGCATGTGTGAAAAAAGCGCATGAAGTGCACTGTTCAACGAAAAAAAGTCCACCTCCACCAGATGATCCGCCAACATCCATTTGTGTTATGACCCACACAAATTTTGGAGCCAAAAGCCGAATCACCGCACGTAAGCTCCCGATTTCCCACTTGCAGTCCTATAGTGGATAAATAAAAGTGCTTTTGCTGAACTTACGCGCTTTAGCATGATGTAGAAATGAGCCAATATCATAAAAAATCTTTAGGCCGAATTGCTTCTTGAGGATTCGAAATGAGCTTTTCTAGCATTGTAATATGCGAATAATTGGGGTCGCTGGGTGTATGCCAAGATGAACGATAGCTGGAAATAAGCGTACTGTACGGATGAAAACCTAACAGAAGAACCTGTCAGTTTTCTTATATCTTTTTTTTTGTTGAGAAACGAGAGAGGATTGTAGCAAATGTATGTACAATTGCTTGTACGTCTACTTATGGTGTCTAATTTCTTTAGGAATTGTTGCAACGATCCGCCTTTTGGGAAATAAAATGTCGATGGACTTTGACTTTTCCACATGGATACCATCGAAGCGAATGCAAGGAAACCATTCTATAGAGCTTGCTTTGATCAGCAGTCTGCTCCGATGTATTAGGTTGGCTTGAAAGTTCTAGGACATTTTCGGACTAAATTTGCTATTTCTCGAAACCCAATGCATGTACATCCTCGAAAATTTGCGGTTGTACTCCCCCTTGCCCGTAGCTGATATTTAAGCAATTGGGAAGAGCTTAGGACCAAAGGGGGCGGAGTTTGCCACTTTTTAATCACCTCAATTTTCTTGTTGTTTAAGGTCAAATTCCGCACAAACTGTGATTGTAAGTATATAAGTAGGTTTGTACTATAAATTGGAGCATGCGGGGGTTTCAAAACGTTTATAGAAGCTGGAGATCTGGGTTAGGTCAAAATCCTATGTTTTGAAATTTTCGCCCGAATTTTCACAGAAAACATTGATGTTGCTTCTGCTTATCATAGTTCTGTAGAGATTGCTTTCCTCTATTTAATGTTATGCAGCATGCCCCAATTAATGCGTACATCGAAACAAAAACTCTGTCTAAATGCAATGTCCCAGAACTTTCGAGCCAACCTAATATTTTTCATTGACCCAGCCGCGTAGCATAAATCACACTATTTTTGCGGCAGCCCATAAGTTCAAATGGAAAATGTAACGTTTTCTGACTACGGCTGAGTAGATTTTCCGCTTAATATTGTGGTGTGTTTGCACAGAAGGTGAAATGCGGTAAAATTCGCGCGTGGATAAATAGCCACGCCAGTACTGCCGGCATTTGGCGCGCGCAATTGGTCGGCGTCACAGTCGAAGCTATTTGTTCGCGCAAATTTACCGCATTTCACTCAGGGGGCACAGATGTTCTGGGTCAAACTGGACTTCGTTTTGAAGTTAGAAGCAACGGAGATATCGTTTCTATTAGGTCCTGGGGGAAGCGCCGATAGATGAACGACGAACTTGTCAAGTTATACGAGTTGAACTTGTTCTTCGCAAGCGCGCGAATTTCAAACGCAAGACTCAAACAAACAAATGGCTTGTTTACAGGCACAAACAATCACATGGTTCCGAATCTGGGCTATGTGTTTACAATATTACTCCAAACTATGTTGTGTAAGAAGTTCAAAAAACTCATGTGTCCTAATATCCGTTCCCGAATTTGTTGGTTTCTAGACCAACACCAAACCACCTGGGTTGGTTCGGAGCATAAATATCGGAGACTTCAAATAAGTTTGGACCTTTTTAATTTGGACGATTAGAACGGTCAAAAATCTACCATGTAGTGAAGAGAGCAATCAAACCATTGCCTCTCCTCTTTTTTTAACCAAAAGTAATGTATTAGGATGTCTCATAATTTTTTACCGTTTTTTCTGCAACCGCCGTCTTTTTGTATCTTTCCTTCATCTATGTGACTTGAAAATCATTCGACAGGGCAAAGCAAGCTCTACAAGATGTCTATCAAAAGTCTGCCCAAGCCATATCCCACGTGAAGTTTTGAGCTGAAATCTGATGGTAGCCGAAAACGAACTTTTCTTTCAAAAATCGTATCTCCGACCCAAATTATCCAAAAAATTCCCCATTTATCCTAGCATGTGCATGACACATCGCGTATTCAACCGTACACTTTTCGAAATTTTCCATGGCTAGAAATGAAGAAAAAAATGAATGAGGCAAAATGGCAAACTCCGCCTCTAGACGTCTTGAAATCCTCCCATGCATGTGATCATATAGCTTATACATACATCACGATCATGTATTTGGATCTTTTGTAAGTGTCCCATTTCTCGAGAAATGCTGATGTTTGGGGTAAAAACGGTAAAAAATTTTGAGACACGCTAACAAATCTACGCGTTAATAGATATCGCGCTCCAATCACATGCGGTGTCGTGGCGAAAAATGCATAGTCGGATTGTTGAGGCCACAAATTTTGTCGGCCTAGGAGGTTTTCGACATTCTGAGCACTAAAACGGTACCATACCAAGTGGCAGAGCCCTTAGTCAATCCGAATTGTTTTCTTTTTGCTTTTTTGTTGTATTAGATACCTCAAAATTCCTTTTTTTCTCGCTTTTTCTTGTTATTTTGTTTGAATAAGGGTTCCCCTACTGATTACGTCAAGAGGGGCTTCGTAAATTCTCGCGAAGTCATGAGGTACTTCGTTTCCAAAAATGCTTCAAACCAACGCGTGCCGGGCCCTGACTTCACCTTCTGTGCAAGCACACTATATTGAGCGGAAAATCTACTCGACTGTATAAGTTTGCGAGGAATGTGTTGCATCAAAAAAAATTTTTTGGAGGTCATGATTGACGTCATGCCTGTTCATGTGAACAGATTTTACTCACTTTACCTCGCGAGACTAAAATTCAGTATCATAACAGCGGGTTGCATATGTAGGGCACCTCCCCCCCCCCCCCCGCTGACTTCGGAACCATTCACCAAGAAAGTTTATGGTTCGAAAGCAAAGGTCATTTCGCAATTTGTACTGCTCTTCGTCAACACTTTCTGGTAAATTTTACTTTTACATGCTGCCCACACTTATTGTTTTAATCCACTACGAATGAGACAAGCCTCATTTTTTCAAGTTCTTTCTTGCACGTTCTGAAGAGGATAAGAATAAACAATAATAGCTCACCAACGCAGGTTTTGTTGTCATATATACAAAACCAGATGTCATCGCAGACAGGCTTTGCAAGTACAATGGGAACTGTCCATTGTTTTCTGGAGCCGTGCAAATCGTGTTACCCACACCGATGAGATTCAGCTAAAGATGTTGTAAAACTTTAAAGATGCATGTTGGTAATTTTCTGCTCACTGTTATCTGATATTCAGTAGCGGTAGAGAAGAGAGTGACAAACGTGTCATCGTTGCCACCGTCGGAATCAGCGAAAAGATAGACAGCAGATCGAGGCTGGGAGGCATATGTAGCCAATAAAAGACCAGCTTCGATGGCCACGGAACAGTTCTTGAAATGCATGATTTGTAAGAAATAAAGGGGTTTTTTGTTCTTTACCACAGGATTTGGAGAAGAATAGGTGTTGAGATTGTTTGCAACCATCTGTACGGTCTTAACAAAATCGTTCGGATTTGAACCTGTGTAGACCATAGTTGCATCTAAAACATATCATACTTTCCCCCCTGAGAATCGTTTTAATAAAAAAAATTTTTACTTAGGCTGTTGACGACTACGAGGTTCCATGTCCTGATCCAGTTTGAAGATGAGTCTTGTACATCTCGTACAAAGTCCGTAATTCCATCAGAGATGGAATTGAGAGTAGCCTGCATGGTATCGCGAACGGAAAGTACCAAGGACATCGACTGACCATCGAATGAAACATGTGGTTTACTATTGGTTTCCGTACAGGCGTCTGAACATACCAAGAATTGGAGACAGAGAATTCACAAAAAGCGGCAGTTACGGTAGCTTACGTAATTCACAGAAAGTTCCTCCTGTTCCAGGAACACATTCGCAGAACGTACCATAGCTTGTTCCACCATTTTGACAGATTGCACTTTCGCAGCTGAAATTGAGCTTATACTGTGCTTTGAGCATTGCTAAAATGCAAAATTTTACTGGGCTCCAGAATAGCTGGGTGGGCATATGCATGAGCTGTTGTTTGTCGGATCTGGTACTCCTCCATTCTGACACGCTGAAGGTGGTGCTGGTGTGGTTTCGGCTGAACGATCAGAATGCAATGTGGAGCTTTGTTATTTTTAATTATTACTCATTGAACAGTATCCGGTAGTTGTACGTTGAATGGTGTAGCCATTATTGTCATCAGCATAGACCTGATGTCAAAATAACTTTGGACTGTGAAATGAACAGGTTTTGGTTTACCGTAGCATAAAATTGCTGGTCGGCAAACTCGCAAAAGCTGGCAAGACCGAAGTAGAGATGATATCCGCACCCATCACGATACTTACCTATAATCAGGGTACTTCACTAGACATTACAAAAAAAAATGGAGAAAACATACCACTTGAAAAGTACATTGGTTTGCGTTCTTGATTATCCCTATTGATATTGGTAGTGATAGTAATTTCAGCAAAAAGACGGAAGCGGTCCTGTACGGCGTTATAGAGACCATTCAGCTGGGCAACGATATGCTTGGCTTTCCCTGAAAAATGACTTTTTTACTTTTGATCTTAGAATTGTGTGGTATTGTGTCTGACCAACGACTGGTTCACTGTCGCTTGCGTCCTCATCGATGACGTTGGCGGTGCCGAAGAATAGGTCGTAATCAGAATGCGACATAACTCGATAAGAGCAAGAAGTTTGAGGCTATAACTGCTCAATTTTACAAGGTGGCATTTTAGCCTGACACATTTACATTTTGTGAAGTGATTGACAACAGATGCTCTCCTGGTATGACATTAGGAACTTCCCAAAAATATGATGTTCCCGAATTGTACACAAGTAAAGCAGCGGACTTGTTCCAGTTTGGATCAGTGACGGATAAGATCAAATCTTCTAAAAATCATCACATTCTTTGATTTTGAGAAGAGAAAGATTTCATGGCTTACGTCCAACAGCGAAGATTATGACGGAATCGGCTGAGGAATCGATGAAAAAGATTCGGAAGCCTTTGGTGTCACATTGATTCATGTCATCGGTTAAAACAGAATTCATCTTGTATGATGTGGCTTTCATGGTATATTGGAAGATCTACAAAGACTTGAGAATGCAATGCCCTCTTTGTATCCTCATCTTTCAACACTTCTGTTGTTTTTTCTACCTTTTCCAAAGAAGTCAAGTTTGGCTGCTGCGTGAGGCCACCGCTGAATTCTGAAGCGCGTTGAAGTGCTCGATATCCTTCCGAATACTGGTTAACTGTACAGTTGGCATTTGGCAAGAACATTGTATAAATCTGCAAAGCATTACATCCCAGAAATTTTCGTGATAGTTAGCTCAGGCCTACCGGCAATTTCCTTCTTGTGTTTGTTTCGGTGACTGTGCGCCACTGATCAACATCAGAAGCGACAGCGTCAGTAAATACGTAGATAGCAGATTTCGGGTTTACATTCTAGATTAAGAAGTGTTGCTTTCTGAATGAAAACAAATCAAGAAGTTTTACCTGCACAAAAACGCTGGAGATCGCATTAAATGTTTGCTCTTCACAGCCACCCACATTTGTAGTGTAGATAGCCGCCATTATGTCGTCAATAAACCGTTGGATGTAGTCTCTAGTGTAGAACGTTGTCTGGTACTCTGAACATTTACTCTTTGTGAAGACAAATTCATGCTTTATTAGTTCCCTCATTTTGCTCAAATTTTCTCATGCATCTTATTACGAAATTGAAACGATTAGTCAATGACGGTGTATAGTCCTTCACACAATCATGTAATAATCATGAAAATTCTTTGATTTCGCTCACAAGGGAAGGATGTGGGTCGAAATGGCCTTTCGAGATGAAATGCACATCGCTTTGAAAGGCACGGATCACCGATTCCAAATGTACTTTAGTGAGGGCTTCTCGGGTAGAAGTTATGAAGGTTTCCTATGAGGATTTGAATGCTTAATCAGCGTAAAATCAGTCGCTGACTTTCCCTAGTTTTTATAAGGCAGCGGCAAGTGTGCAGATTTGATTTTGCAATTATTCATCGCACAGACAACAACATCACTGCTCCACTCAAGCCCTGTCAAAATGTTACGACTATTATATTCTAGCTTTGCATTTCCTTCTTTGCTCAAGCCTTTCACGGCATGCATCTCATCTTAAATGGCCAATTCGACTAACCATCCTTTCCTTGTCACTTCAGTTTCTTTTACATTACTTTGCACTTTCTTATTCTTCTCAAACTTACTTCCGTTGGCGAACTGTACTAAGATGTAGTTGTTGTAGACATCGTAGTTGAACCCGCTATGCTGTCCTATCTGAAAAAAAAACATCGAAAATTTGCGTTCTTTAATTTTACAGTAAACATATCACAAGAATTACTTCATCTGTGATAGCGTTGACAATCTGTGACACATAGCCACTCATCGATGTTGTAGTGCGAAGCACTACCACCAGCGATTTGTAGTCTGTCATCATTGGACCCAGGTTGATTTTGCAGGTTACTGTAAAAGGCAAAACTCGCAATTCATCCTGTACATTGAACACCAGCATACCTGACTCGCAGTTGGTGCCCTCAAATCCAGGAGGACACTGGCACTGCAGATTTCCTTGCAGTGGGGTTCCTCCATTCATACAGTTCACCTGAATAGTGATGTTGCAGAATTCATTGAAAAAACAAAGAAAGAATTGTTCCGAACATTTCCAGATTAAAAATGCTATTTCCCAGATCTAGCACATGTGGAAAGTAAAAATTTGCAGTTGTAATCTCAATTTATATTTTGCAGAGAAAGTGAGAGTAGGTTCAAAGGTTCAAATGAGGGCGGAGTTCGCCACTTCGAGATTACTTCATTTTTTTCATGTGAGTTCCCAGCCCATGCATGTATTAGGTTGTCCCGAAAGTTTTGTCGGTTTCTTTCATCTCTCACTAGAACCCACAGAACACCAATCAATGGACGAGCTAGGTATCAATTAATTCATATTTTTATCCTCTTTCTTATGATTATATTTGCTTTTTGATCTACTCTGTCTTTGCGACGTTATCGCCATGGCTTTTTGAGCAGCGCAACGGTAACGCCAAATTTTTTCCGAATTTTAAAAAATTTTCTTTTGCAGTTTTTGAAGAGCGCACATAACTATTATGTGGAACAAATCTTTGGCTACATTGCAGTCCTAAATAATTATTTATTCAAGAAAAACCGCGGCTTTTTGATCACGTCTACCACGTAAAGTTAGCGAAAATTCCAAAAGCTGTTTTTTCAAAGCAAATCAAACTTGGATGTTGCATAATTATTGTTTGTCAGCAATCAAGTTTCAATTCGCCGAAATTCCAAAAGCTTCGCTGCAATTGCGTGTTTCATGACTTTGCCAAAAATCAAGACCTCCGAAGAAATAATTTTTTGAAGCTAAAAACAGCAGGTTAGGAGAATCTAAAAATGTCACCTTGTAGTCCGAGAATTGTTCTATTTGAGCCATACTTAATCACCTCCGGAGCTTTGGAATGAAATTTTTAAAAATTAGCCTAACTTTGAGCAGATAAAAATGACGGGTGAAGAATCGTAACAATTATCAAAAAAAGCGTACAGGATTGTGGCTTGGAAATGTAACCTTAAGAAAGAGAACGAAAAGCTGCATCGAATGCACGTTACAACTCATTCAGGTCTTTATTGTGCCTAGTTTTATAGCGGTTTGAAAAAACCGACAAAACTTTCGGGACAACCTAATATATACGCAAGGTGTGCCTGCTACATATAAGATGTAGGAATATCACAGCACAAAAGACGGAATCTGACTTTGGTCAAAATTCTAATTGCGGATATTGGCTTCTGTTATATCACTGATTCAGCTCTTGCTTGATGTTATCTTGGCTTGCTTTTTCCTATCCAAGGGCGTGCCGCTTGCAATATCTAGTACTCAAATCAAAGCAGAAGCTTTGTCAGGTTCCATAGTTAGAGAACCTTCTTACTGACATAGCACTTAATAAAAAAATTTTTTGTGACTACCTTATAAGTGTCTTTGAACGGCGGCCAAGAGTGGTATACAAGATTCATTGAAGGTCGAACATGGAAATTTTGTGACTATTTTATTTGTTGTATGGACAGGCGCGTTTGAATAAGGGGGAGAAACCGTAAGTCAAAGTAAAAAACAGCTTTTTGAACGATACCTGTTCACATGTTTCTCCAGTGAACAATTCCGGACAAAAGCATGAGGCATTGACTGTGCCTTGGCGCAAAGGAGTACCTCCATTTACGCAGTAGATCTGTGTCCTGGGTGTAGTGGATGGTGCAGCGGTAGTGATTTGCTCTGAAATGTTACTAACAAGTTAGTAAGGATGTAGCAAACTCATCAAGCTTATTATTGAACACTCACGCATGCAGGAAAAAGTTCCGGTCCTTCTGAAAGCGTATCCCAGGGAATCAACTCCATCTATCTACAAGAAACCGCTCATTGATTGCAATAAGTTATTTATTAAATCCGGAGCTACAGCTAGCTTTCATTATGAACTCACATGATACACGTAACGATTGGATTTGTCGCAAATGAACTGCCCAGCATAATATTCGAAAGAACACCCATAACGCTTGGTTAGAAGCGATCTGTAGGTGGGTGTTAGTGTAGCCTGCGTTCGAATTGTCACTGCTCTCACGTCTGCAATTGATGTTTGAGAGGAGCTAAATTTTTATTATTTTTTGATTCTTAACCTCCAGGTGCTGTCATATTATTGACATGACTAATGAAGTACATGGGCACTCCGTCTATGGCTGACTCGTAGAATGGTGCTTCATCGCTCTGCGGAGATGACGAAAATGCTTGTACTATTGACAGAGCTGTGTAAGACTGAAAAAGCCGAGTTCGGAAGGAGTTTGTTTTTCCTCATAAAAATGAAATTTTCTTTTTCGTTTGGCCTGAGTTGTTGAATAGGTTGGCATGAACAGGGGGCGTAAAAGTCCGGAGAATAATTTGTACTACGGCAATTCACTGATGGACGATAATTCTGATCTCGTATACATGCTACTAATTGCCTTGAGCATGCTCTATAGAATTTAGCTCTAGAAGCTTTCACTATCTATCGTAGTAACCAAGTGCTACTCTTCAAACGATGACGAATACATCACAAATATCCTGTATGTCAGTAGCCGCTTCATTTTGAAATGAATTTGAAAGCCATGGATGCGCATGCGTCATTTATGTAGCTAAGGCAGCATTCTTTCTACAATTCTTTTCGATGAGCAACTACAACTCGATTAAAGCTGCCTTTGAAACAGTAATAAAGTCATTTGTGGTTTTGCCTGTCTACATTTGTACACATTATGCGCCTTAGCTTAGATATATCAATTGTTAGTCCAACAATTTTATTTCTATCATTCACGAAAAGTTTCCTTCATAGGAAGCACCGAAAACTTGCTTTAACATAATGTACACACTCTGAGAACATGGAATAGTTCTCTTTAGAGCGTGGCTTCAAGCCATGAGCATTATCCTAATGAAACCATCTCGAAATTTTCATGCTATACTGTATTCGTGACCGTTTGATTAACATGTTTACCAGTTCCCTGTCTCTAACAAGGGAAGGATGGTTGGTCGAAGTGTTTGTACCATGTTGGAGGGCATAAATCGCTGATTCCAAATCTGTCTTCATTATCTGCGGAGCGTTCCTGCTATACTTGGGTCCGAATCGGATAGAAATTCGATCATTCGAATAAAACATTCGAATATATTCGCATTCGAAATTCGATATTCGGAGTTCTTCACTTTTCGAATAATATTCGAAACTCGAATAATTGAGAAAACGGGGTTTCGAATAAAATTGGAAACTCGAATAATCAAAAAATAGGGTTTTGAATAAAATTCGAAAACTCGAATAATCAAAAAACGAGGATTCGAATAAAATTCGCAAACTCGATTAGTCAAAAAACGGGGTTTCGAATATATTTTATTCGAATGTTTTATTCGAATGTTTATTCGAAATCGTATTCGAATGAACTCCGTATCCAGATTACTCGAGTTTGTTGCAGAGCCAACCGCTGAGTAACAGCTCGCTTCGTCTGCGTTTTTTTGCAGAATTCGATAACGCATCTTTTTGCAGCCGGGATCACCTTTGAACTGTATAAGCTGCATTCCTCCAACTGTTGACGGTAAAATTAGTGTGGATTTTAAATGATGCTTTTTCGATCAGTGAGATACTTCGCACTGCTATTTGCACCAAATCGGCAAAAAAAGCTATCAAATTCAAGCTCTGTTCCGAGTTCATATACTGGAAATGAGCTGGCATGTCTCTTCCTCTTCCTTTGCATTGCTCATGCTTTCGCTATGCAAAGGTCCACACTAATGAGCACACTTGCTTGTAAAAGTCATATTGCACAACTGCCTCTATTCTTTACCTTAGAGATTTTTCGCGAATTGGTGTATTTTGAGTAAAGGACAGTTGTGGTGGAGAATCAGACGGTTGCTGGATTTAGCTGTCATATCACCTTGCGATAAAATTTTCCTCAGTAGATAGTACAGGATAGTTCTGTTATCACAGTGCATCCAAGGATTCACGGCACCTGGAGCTATCATCCTGTCAACTATGGTAAAGGCTTAGGGCGGGCGAAGAAGGTCCACATTGAGAGCGAGCTTTGACTATGACAGGCCCCGCACATACTTCACACGATAGTCGTACGCGATTTGCCAGTTACAAGATGTCTTCAAATATAACATTACCACAAATGTATAGCGTGTACAACTTCCTATTATAAATGGATAAATGCCCTGCTTTCTGTGCTTTTAGAATCCGCCTACGTAAGTTTTCGACAATTTGACTATTGCCAAACCAACAGTCAAAAGCATTTCTACATAGCTCTAATTCTACACACATGATAAATCATGTGAAGTTATTCAGATCGGGAAATGTGCGAAGAAGTAGAGATGACAATTATCCAATATTTCTGTTAAATCTTTTTGGTTTCCACGACCAAGATACCATAGCATTTCACCCGCTTTCAGCGGAGTGGCCGACCTTTTTTCCGGCTTCTATACTCATTTGGTCAGCTGCATCGTGTCCCAAAAACTACCTAATTTTTGTTCCTGTCGTTGCTATGGTATCTTGGCCATGGAAACAAAAAGAGTTGACAGAAATCTCGGACATTTGTCTCTACTCTTTCGCACATTTCCCGATTTAAATAATACCACATCAATTATCATATCTGTAAAATTAGAGCTATGTAGGACTGGGACTTTGGCTGGAAAGGACAGGCTACATAACTCTAATAGTAAGTCTCCGATGAACAGAAAATGTATCGCATTTGTGGCATATAAGTACAACGTGGCCGCCGTTACTGCTCCAAAAGATCGCACACTTAGCGCTATGAGTCGAAGATCTTCAATGACATAGTTAGATGCATGCACCAAGCTGCAAGGTTCTTATGCTAAATTTCGGTGCTGGTGCTGATTATGGAAAAAATTCACTTTATCTTTTATTTTTGAAAAGTCTTGAGCTACGAGACCGGGAGTTGGTACGGGGGGGGGGGGGGAGGGGGTAAATGAGGGTGCTGACTAAAAATATAATCGATTTAATCGATCTCAGCGATTTTTTGGAAAATCTTGAGCTATGGGTTGGTATAGGGGATATGAGGGTGCTGATTATGAATGAGTCGGCTTTAGCCGGATATGTCAGCAAGTTTGATATATGGTTGCTCTAGTTATTCGATAAATCATTCGAATATTTATTCGAAATTCGACTTCCAATGTTCGAATATATTCGATATTCATTCATTCGATGTTTTTAATTTTCCGATTTTTCGGAATTCATTCATTCGAGAATTTTTATATCTCGAATTTATTCGATATTCGTTTATTCGAGATTTTTTGTTTTCGAATTTATTCGCTATTCGTTTATTCGAGATTTTTCATTTTCGAATTTATTCGTTATTCATTCATTCGAGGAAAAATTTCAAATTTACCCAGTATAGTTCCTGCACGAGAAGTCATGAACGCCTATTGGAGATAAAAATTGAATATACAAACGATATAAAAACAGTAGTAACATTTTTCCTAGCGCTCATATGGGCCATTGGCAATCTTTCCAGCACTCTATGAAATAAATACTCTCAGATGAAATATATCTGCACTTCGGTTGTCTCACTCAAGCGCTGGGAAAATTTTTGCAACTGCTTTTATCCCAAAAAAACATTCATTTTTTACTCTTTTAAACGCTCATAACTCCTCGTTCAGAAACGCGCCGCAGATAAGGAGAACAGATTTGGAATCAGCATTTTACGCCTTCCAATATCGTATACAAATCCTCGCAAAAGGCGACTTCAACTGTCATCCTTTGCTTGTAAGTATATCTGAATCCTGATAATAAAATATACTAGGCTGTCGGATCTTGATCTACCTGTACGTTGCAAAAAATGAGGCTTAGTTCTGGATGCCTACCGTAATTTCAACGAGACAATTGCTGGTTGGCACGCCACCGTTGTCGATCGTAAGTTGGTACGGCCCAGCCGGTAAGTTGATGTATCTCGTTAGCGTGTAACCGTCATTGACGATGCCCTCGCTTGGCCAAACTTTCCCTTTAAAAGGTTGGCACATTGCATGCAAAGCTAATGATTCGATATCGTCTCACCGTTTGAATCCGTTAAATTAACAAACGCTTTGCCAGCTGCGCTCACCTCCACGCTTATCATAGGGGAGGTGCTGTCGATGGGAACGTAATATCTAGGAAAAGGAGGGTACAGTCAAAGATTCTTGGTGAAGTGATGATTCCTAAATTTTGTTTTGACCACTCACTTCCCTATACATCCAGATGGCAAATTCAAAAGGTCGATGAGTTGATAGTTGAAGGTATTGGTAGGAAGTTTCCCACTAGTATTACATATAGCTATAAAGACAAGGTAACAGCGTTTCTGCGACCACATGTAGGTTGAGTTTTGAAGAAAAGGATTATAGGTTTTTAAACTCCTAGAAAAAAGAAATGGTCATGATCTTTGTTCTCTGTTTGTTGCAGTCGTCTTATTAAAAATCACATACGATTTTCGCAGTATTGTCCAGTCCATCCAGATTCGCACTGAGAAGTGAATCCTAGGGTTGCATATATCGCTCGCTTTATCCTGGTATGTACTGGTTCAGAAATCTCGCCGTAGTAATTCGGCAAAAGCTCATGGTCCGCAGGTCTTGACTGTAGGGGCGAGAATTCTAAAAAATAGGTATTTCTTGTGTTTTATTTGGCTGCGAGACAACTGACGTAGGTTTTGCAAACTTTTATTCAAAAGAAAACCCTGAAATTCCGCAAGTTGCAGGTAATTTCGGATGCAATAACATTTTTATTACAGATATGTGCCATTTCAGCACATATTGTACCAAAGCGGTAACACGTCATTATAGGTCAAAGTGTAAAAAAGTCTATCTGGGCCTAGATTCCCTACCTTGATAATCTACAACCTCCCTTGAAGACGGCTGAGTAGCTGTATATTTTGTTCAACCATGAGTCAGTTACTAGCACAGCTACACAGAGGATTCTCAAAGCCCCTTTCGATAAATGTAGGAAAACTGCGCAGTCGAGATTGCCGACATTCACCTTTTTTCCATATTACGATCCCAAGTTTTGTCCTCTTCTCTTTTTTTTTACTTATAGCAAAGTCTGGGCGGTTCGGCAGCAAGCAGTTTATGAACTTCGGTTTGCTCTTGCAGCTTCGACAGAAAATATCACAATTTTCCTTAGAAGGTTTTTGTAAGCCATATAATGGACGCGAAGCTGGCCAAATTGAACCTCCATATCTCGGCTCCAACAGTTATTATAAAGGAGCGCAACAATCTTATTCTTAGATAACTCTGCCATCTGCATCGGCTACGGTTTCTAGTGTTTTCTGCTATGACAACTGCGTTAAAATGAGAATAGTGCAAGGCATTCTACAAATTGGGTCTGATATTTGAAAGTCCGTAAACACAAAACAGCTAAAGCTAACGGCGAAAGCGTATACATTTTTGGAAAAAAGACAAGAGCAAAAGATAGAGAAGAGAGAGAAAGATTAGCGATAACACGAAACTGGTCTCAAAAGGCCCCAAAGAGGGGTCTTCACAACTGCTCCTGAAATGTGTATTAATTTTGTCACAGTATAATGATTCGTTGCTGGAAGCAGCAGACTGTCTAACGGACTACTTAAAGTTGCAGCAGCTCAATTTAGCCTCGACATTCATGATATACCGTACCTTGGATCCAATTTTTTGCCTGAATTGCAAAAATACCATGAAGAAGGATAAGCAACATCAGCGACCGCATGACGGCAACGCTGGCAAGCAGTGCGACAACTCTTTACGACCTCTGATAAGGTAGAGTTGAGGCAATAAAGCAGTGAATTTTGATCTGAACGAGCAGCAACGATAAGCTCGACTGTCTGAAGAACATTACAGCTTTTTATAGCTTTAGCTTTTGAGAAAATAATCATTACAGTCGGGTAAGAACTTAGTTCGATTTTTGCTTGAAAAATTGTGTTTTGGTTTGCTCAGTAGAGGTTTAGTGGCTTTTCATATACTTAATTTCACTGGAACCTAACAACGTTTGTGCTTTCCCACTACATCAGATCTTAAAACTAGATTTTTAAAGCTATTCCAAACCTTTCTTGGTAAAGTACCAACACTGAACCGCCAGATAACATTCTCATCAAGTGTACAGACAAAGCATTGAGACACTGAACTGCTCAAATCCTTGCAAACAAGCGAGTAGCGGGGAATTTGAAGCACAGTATTCATGTGCTGCCACATACAAGGGGGTTGTCTAATGCGTACTCAACGATAGCGTTTGGAAGTGAAGGGTTATGCGAAACTTTTATTTTAAAGAGCGCGCACAAATCCCTTCTGAGTCGCTGTGACTTCTAAAACCTATCGCTATAGACCTAGTTCAGCTTCGAAATATTGTGTACTAATTTGACTCTTTTATCTTTACATGAGATTGCGTAAGGTACATTCCCATATTGATAGCTAGCACTCACTGACGTATTGTTTAGAGGATCCTTAGAGATCATTCTGCTACTCTTATTAGCAATGGAATCAGGGCCCAGCACGAGGTGGCATATGGAAAATTCAAAAACCAATTGCCCCTTGACATTGCAGAACATTACGAGATACCCTTTGTAGTGTTTGTAAAAGCTTTGAGCTGCAAGTGAAAAGTGAATTCAAGTGAAGAAAAGGCAAGAAAAAAAACTAAACATCAAGGAATGAGTTGCGAAAAAAGGCTGTTTTTTACATCACCGAGAAGCGTAACAAAGCGTAGGGGACGAAACTTGGGTCAAAGTGAGCACTCGAGATAAAGCTTGATCTAACAAGGGGAGTTACCTGACTTAGCTCGGCCTTTTGGCAAGAGACATATGTAGTTCGAATTAGCTTCAAACGCTGATTTCAAATATGCTATTCCTAGCTGCCGAGCACCATACCGATGCGAGTCATGGGCTTTTTCCTGCGCAAAATTGGCATGCTCATCTCACTCGCATCACGGCATCATCATTCAAGTGCTAATGCACTCGCGTTAAGCTTGCAATGAGAAAAATTCAAACTTGCGTTGTAAGGAATAGATTTATGTGGAAAAATTTGGGATTTTATGTATAATGGGGGAGAACTGTGAAGATTCATGATTTTGTCTTGTCCTGCGCAACCTCAGGGTGCCCCTAGGTTGCGCGGGAGCAACCTCAAATCGAAAAACACTTACAACTTATCTCGTTCACATAGTTTTTTCATAATATTTCGTTTTTTCTTTTGGCCATCGCCTCGGATGTACACACCAAATTTGGTGGCTCAACATTGCTTACTCGTTGTAAATAAACCGATTGTTCACGATTTTGTGCGCAAGATTGTGGGTTGAAATCGTAAGCACAAAGGTTTATGAACTGTCGTGTTTGTAACGTGTTGATTTACCTGTGACTGGTAAAATCATGTTCGAGTTTGGGCTTGCTAGTGTTGGAATTGTTAGAGTTGTGTTTTCTAATATTTCGTCAAGTTCCCGAGTGGAAAGTTTACGGGCCCCCTTTGCCTTCCCCTTAAGAACGATATCCAGCCTGTGAAAGCGCCACCTCTGCTGAGCCCTGAATGGAATCGCTACTGGTGACCGTGATTCACGATGAGCTGTATGAAATGTCAATTAGCTGTATGAACCATAATTAATCTGCATGAACGAAGTGCTTTGCGAAGTGTGAGATAGCGGAAGTTATCTATCTGCCTTTTTTTACTCGTATCGGAATGGGCACAATTCATTATGTTACCTTTATGCTCTCTGGATTCGTTCGCGTCTACTGAGAAGAAGAAGGTTGAATCTAATTTGAATCTTCTAATCCTGACAGCTATCGTATACGGAACTTCCTAGCGCAAACATGGTCAACAGACAATTTGCTGGAGCCGACACTGTTCGAAGATGAAGAGACCACCAACTGTCCTCGCATGCAAGACGCACATTACAATGGAGCATAACTTGACGGTTACTGAGTTTGCATTAATTACCTCATATTTTCAGTTTTATTCTTCAATTCCAATCTTGCAACCTTTCAACAGCTGCCATTAGTATCATGTGATGGCATCGAAGCCCATTCTAATCTTTGCACATCGTTAACATAACTTAATTTTGAGTCCGAAAAGTTTTGTTATTTCTCATTCCCTTCATTAGAAAAAAAAAACTATGCAGTTGGGTGAATCATAATTCATCGAAAGACTATCCTTCTCTCGCAAACAGCAAATATTGGGTCGGTGCAAAGGGCTCCTCCATTTTTGAACTCTTTCACGAATCTTTCGAGTGCAGGACTTCATTCTCCTTCTCAGGTATGTTCCCGATGTGATTCGTTGGACTGCTGAAATGATCGCCAAAAGTCACCATCCTTTTTTGTACCTTGTCAACGTCAATTTTTAGAATTTTCGCATTAAACTTTCATAGGAGCTTTAATAACCAGCAGATAGCAAAAATTTTCGCAAATCAATGCTAATTCTTAATCCGAAGTGAGACATTAGGCAAAGGGGGACATTGGGAGGGCCCTATCTATAGACATTTGACAGCCCTACAATTTTTGTATTGTAACGTAACCGATTGAGTTTCAGGGTCAGCACTGCAAGTCATTCAAGCTATTTGATCTTGCGGACTAGAGCATAAGAAACTTTCGATTACCGTACCACAACTTAATGTAACTTCTGGTTAGACAGGACTATCACAGAAATTTTGCCATAACAATACTGAATATAACAATGTTGTAGTTGACATGCTATGAAAAAGAAGAATGTTGCAAAGAATGGTCACGGTCAAAATCAGTATCTCAACACACGCAACGGCATATTCTCTAAGTTCTGAGAAAAGTTTTTCTTTTTGCACATTGCACAGTCCATAGCACTTTATTAGAAAAGGTCGTGAAGGGATGTACTGGTTCTGTGCTTTTATCGGCAGTTTTTCCCAAAAAATTTTCAAGTTTGGCAGGGAACTTCCACTACTCTTCTTGATTATTACGAGGCTGAGCTTTTTTGGAATAGAAAGTGTGCAATCAAATCTTGAATTCTCAACAATCTGCATCCTAAAAAAATTTTGAAATCTAGAGACCCCAGTTGGCTTGATTTCTTCAAAGCAGTCATTTTTGGAACGGGTAAGAGGTTCCATACTTGCGTCATTGTCGTTCGTCTAGTATGAAGAAACATTAAGATGTCAGCTATCATATCGCAGCTAGTGTATTTATTGCATTTACTGTTAAAAAGGTGAATTATATAAGATAGGAAAAAATTCTTTTTTCTTTCAAAAAATTCATGTTCTTCCCTCAGATCCACAATACATGCGCAACCTTGCACTTCCCCTACTTTTGCTGCAAAAGACACGAAAAGTTTTACAATCACGGATGTTTTGCATTACGATTATATGCATGCCAATGACGGCGATCTTAAGCACTCTAAATGATAATTAGTTTACATTAATTGCAATACTCATATCTGTCATAGTTTGCTTTCTCTCCAACCGGTCCACTTTCACTTTCAGTACCAAAAGGAGTAAACCACTTGACCTTGGTTATATTTTGGAATGAATGCGTTCTTACTAACAGTCACTTAAGAATTCACGTTTTCCCATTGCCAAAGAAATAAATGATGGGATTGATACCAGGAAAAAATCGTTCTACCACGGAAATACTCACTCGAAGTTTCCGAAAAGTTACATTGAAGTAATGTTGAATCACAGTTGTCAGCGTGAAGCATTAGTCGAGATCGCAATGACTTGGATTCCTTACGAGAGGAGCATAGATGAATTCACTCTCACGCACCAAAGAGATAAGAATCTTTCCACAAGTTTTTATAGCTATTAGGGAACAGTTGACTGGTCTACTACCTCGAAAGGCAAATTTTTCCTGGAGAAAATTGTTAACATGTCGCAACACTTGAGCAAGTACTTGATTGTTTCGTCTGTCTCGGACCAGACAATCGAATGTGCATCCAATCTGCAAGAAGGTATTCATCGCAACATTCATCGTTGTTGATCTGTTGCCAAAAAGTGCGACCTCGATTAGCGCAGTTCGGAAGCAGTGAAGAACTAGAAGTGTTCGCCATAATGCAAAGCATTTTCAAGTTTGGCAATACAAATGGATTTTATTGGGCTGGATTGGTGGTCACTATCGAATTCCAAGGAAACGAAGCATTGTTTTTTGATAATGCAATAATGCATCAAAGGTCATCGATGTACTCTGGCGTATGTACTGTTTGTAAGTGAGCAAATAAATGAAACTGGGAGACAACATCTTCATTTCAACCTCTCAAAGGAGCTTTTCGACTCTTGACCTGAGAGCCTCCGAACCACTAACTTTGTAAAGTGACGGGTCCCCACAGACCGGGTAGAAAGTCTGGAAATCGGGTTCCTGCAAGGACAAGATTGCAGAACAACGCTCTGGCGCTTCTTCAGACCATGCTAGATTATTCTCACTGTTCTTGTGCAGCCGACGATAAACATAGATATAATGAGACCGACGTGTGCGATGAGGTTTTTGTTCTTTTCGCGTGCGACGGACGCCGCGCCAGAGAGACGGTTTGCGATTTTATCCGAATGTGGGCGTGTCGAGTTTCCATTACCACCCAACACGTTGGCTTCTTCACACACGTGCGTCTTCACCTGTCCTTCTAACCCTTGACTCACGCTCGGCTTTCTCATTCACGGCTTCGTGCGAGTGCAGAGAGAGACGTGCTGCTCGGCCTGTTAAGGCCAATGGACCCACAACGGACACTCTTCCTACTCTGCGGTGTTCTTCTATTAATAGAAGGCGAGGCAGGTGAGCGCCCATCGAGGCACTTCTGCTAATTCGAGTGGCCCTCAGCCCCACTGTCTCCTTGCAGCTAGTTCTTGCCACTGCGAAAAAAGCTTCAAGCCGGTATGTGGCAACGATGGCATCACCTACGAAAACGTCTGCCAACTCGAATGCAAATCTGCACAGGGTGGGCTTTAGCTACCTGTACTAATCGCAAGAATTCTAAAAGTTGATGTGAAAAGTATCAGTATCAGCCCATGAAGCTCACCGCTAGGCAAGCGCAAGCCATCGCCTGATCCCGTTCCACGCAATCCTTTGGAACGTCTTGTCTGCCGAAACGAGACCGTATCTGTGCGAGAAGTGCTTATCTGAGAGAAAACATATTTGACACGCTCTGATCAGCTAGCTGATCATCCTTGAAATCCTTTGCTCTTTCCGCGGCCATACGGTGACAACCTTCACCATTCCATAGTTAGATTTTTGGCCTGTGGCCTCGACGATTACGAGTAGCATCCTTTGATTGCTCGAGTATGTGGCCTTCAAACGAGGTTACACGATAGTTTAGCAAGAACTTGTTAAGAGATTAGAGTGCCATCGCTGCCGAGAGAATATGAATTCGAAAATGACGAACTAATCAAAACTACTTGTCTCTCATTCATTCAGAGTTTACGCAACTGTTTTTTGTCTGTCATATTTTTCATTAGTGACCACTTATTCAACTCCTTCTCTAAACTCACTGACTAGCTTTCAAAAGTTTTCCAACTGATGACCGTACGCATAAGCTTTGTTTCTTCCTCTTCTCCTTTTGCATCTCTTCTTACTTAATTCATTGCAAGCAATTCATCATCTTTTCCGCGTCACTGTATCACGCAAACTACATGTTTGCTTAAATATATTGGGCAATACTGTGAGTGAACGATACGCGCACTTCGTGATCGGTTGTGTGGTTCTCATAGTGTTTTGGTGTATGTGAATGATGCTTTTAGATGTAACAAAAACGGAAAATCTATTTCTCCTCCTTTTTACCTAGCTCGTAACTAGATATTCTTGTTTCTGATAACATCATACTCGCGTTTTTGCATGAGCTTCCGTAGTTTTTTGTCCTATTCATTCATAGTCTTTTCTACGACATCACCTCAAAAAGAAAAGCAGCTTTAACCTTTGTATGGGAGAGAAAACTTTGTTTATCCACAATTACATTTATCATCAAATGACTGACTCTCAATGTTTTTTTTCCTTCGATCTAGGGTCCCCGGTTGCTAAATATCGTTAAAACTGTCATTCTCTCGCTCAAAATCACAGTTCATTCGTGGCAATTTTCAATTCGAAAGCTTCAGTAGCTGCCGATTTAGCAAGACGTACACTGGCCGCAGCTGGCAATGACCTTGTTAATAGCTAATCACGTTTTCTCCTTCACCAATACTTAGAGGTCTTTCCTGTGCAGTTGTTCCTATTACTCGACCACTCGCAACCACTCGAACTCGAACCAGCGTCATCACCTCGTACTCGACCGACTTTCCGTTTCTGCGGCGACGTTTTTGGCAGCAGCGAAAGCGCAACGCAAGCGCAGAGCGAGATCGCAAAGCGTTTAGAGCGCGCTATGTCGCTTATTTCACACGCTTCTGTGCGGCTTGCGCGGACCCGCTCGGATCTGACAATTAGCCGTAGATCATGAGATAAGTGCAACACTTCCGAAGATTCTTGCTTTGAACAAAAATCTGCCGCATGCACGCAAAACAGGTTCCATATTTTTTGCTATTCGGTGGCGTTGCGCAAGCGATCTATTGTGTGCTGCGTAACACTATTTTGAACTGAAACTAATCCTTTTTGAGTGAGCGTATTTGTGAGTAGATGCGCTGATAAAATAACGCAAATAACTTTCGACCACAGTGAATTGTGAACATCAATCTCTGAGAAGATTTTGCACCATTGCAAAGGGTCAAATTGGTGATGAACAATTAAGCTCTTTCATCTTTCATCAACTAAATTCTGAAAATTTCGTTAAAGCACTCAGTATGCTAGGGTTAATGTTGCTTAGCATATAACAAGTAATCCGTTTTCAAAATGTGCTTGATTACCCACAATCATGCAAATTTTACAAAGAGAAACGCGCAACTTCTCCAAAAAATTGTTCCGCAGGTTCTGAGCGCAGATTTTCAATCATTTCCAAGCGTTTCGAGTTCCATCTTATGGTGTATCTTATCTTGAATGCCCACAGGCACCTATAACCTTTCCTTATGGACACTTTTATATTTAAGCCAACAATTTTATAAATTGTTTTAGGAGTGAAGTTAGCGTATTCCGGAACGTGTTGCCCAAGGAATGTGTGTCCGCCACTCCGAAATCCAGTATGTGACAATTTCGGTAGGTTCCTTGAATTTGTTCCTATTTCACATGCATTCGGTCGCAATTTTCAACTTTGTCATATTTTTGAATGTTTATAAATAGAAGCCACTCGATTTTTGTGAAAAAAAGTTAACGGCAGCTGCAGATATCGCATTTAGGCTGCGTTCAAACTGATCCCGAAGTTCGGGAACAGTTCCAGCACAGCGCTCAGCTCGAACACTGTGCTGGAACTGTTCCCAGACTTCGGAATCAGTATGAATGCAGCCTTAATACCGCAAGAGATACGCTTTTGGAAAGTGGCAGAGTCTTGACTTGAAATTCATGTGGATAAGATTTAGTCTGGTTAGTCTGTAACGATCTTTATCTCCTTGATGGAGCAAAGACTTTTAAAATTATAAGAAACGAGCTGGCATCCCGGGTTCCACCCCTTTCTGGAGCCAGTCCATCGTGGTTGATCTGTCGTGTGGCAAACTTAACTCTTTATTTGATTTCGACTCGTCGCTTCCTACCGTCCCTACCATATCTTGATGACCAGCAGATTAAAATGAGCTTCACCGCTCATCCTTCATGACTATGGGAAATGTGCACAAACGCACAAACTCACAGATTTTCTGCTTTATATATAGAGATTTAGTAGGAGTTCTTGTATTCGACCGTATAAAAAATAACAACCAGCATCTTTCTGAGTTCGGGCGGCAATTCTCTATTCTTGTACAGAAATTACCACATGTACTCTCTCTTTTCGTAGATGTTTTCTGTCCGTTAAATTATTGATCCTACCGAAATGTCCTTGCACTAAAAAATTGGGGCCGTCTAAAAATAAAATCTTGTCGTTGTTCTCAAAGGACTGATCACACGTGCAAATTGCAAGTCGCATTTTTAGGTCGCACTCATGTGAACGAATGTGTGTTTTCCAGAGCACAATGTTTGGCGAGAAAAATTAGTGGACGAATTTTGAACAAGGTAGAATTTTGCAATATTCAACTAACACATTGGTATACTTGGCTCATAGGTACATGACGGTGAATGTACGGAAGAAGAGCGAAAAGCCGAAGATTGTGAGGTCGAGTGTACCTATGCTAGTGGTCCTGTATGCGATGAAAACGACATAACACATGAAAATGAATGCAAGTCAGTAATTATGCATCTATTGCCTTCAAGATATCCCTCCAAACTTTTTTTGAAAGTGGGCATCTAGAATTCTTTACGTTTAGACGAGAATACGGATTGAATAGCTTTTTATATGGAAGCAATCGCGGTAACAAACTTGCAATCTTTTATCAAGCTAAGGAATTCATTTCAGATTTGAGCATTTGAATTGCCTTCTAGGGAAGTCAGGAAAACCAGAAATTTTACTACAGCACTATGGAAAGTGCCGTGAACATGCAGCACCAGCTGTAACTGAAGGTGGAAGAAACTAACTTATAAAGGAGGATTGAAGTGATATTTATTTTAAGATACGCCAGACCCTGCGGAGGGTAGCGGTACTGTCAGCAAGAAGGAGACTGCAGTCGAAATTGACAGCAAGGGTTTGCAGCGCAGTTTTTGTCTGCTATTTGGGTAATATTGAGAACAAAGACTGTTTAGATTCTGAACTGCTCAAACCGGCAGCTGAACAGCCGAACAACCTACACAGCGATGACGCAAAGCTTCGCCAAGAAGCGCATGATAGACGAGCTGTCAGGGCGAGAGCGATACCGTCATTGTTCTTCAACGATGCTGACATCATTACCCCGTCCGAGCGATTGGTACAAGCCGAGACCGCTTTGAGCTCATTCGAAAGGGATCTCCCGGTGCTGCCAAGTGCCGATGACGTTTTGTATCCAGCCACAATCACTGACGAACTCTTGGCCAGGCTCAGGTCAGATCAACCATTGCACAGGTAGCTTCATTCGTAGACTTTCAAATGCTCAACAATACTGTGTTCGCATGACCACACCGCGGATTTGAACTGAGTGGAATATGGTAATTGCACTTCTTGAAGATGACCCTCTATTACCTACTGAGCCATTTCATCGTACGACTCCTTCAAAAATTCTAAAGCGATGCGTAATTTAGCATTTGCTTAACTGATACAGAATAATTTTGTCATGAAGTTCGCGGAAAGATCTCATTAGGATATGGAAATCACAGGATTAGGGTAAAAAGAGGGGTTTTGGTCTGGTGTTTGTGAGTGAATGTCTCCTCCGATGGAAATGAAAAACGAGGAGGTAGGAGGAATATTCTATCAATGGTTTCCAGGTTGCCTTCCATCACTGAAGACTCGGAAGAAGATGACTCGAAGTCTTCGTATTCTACAGTCCCACCAGTAATTTCAGGCTCTTCTATTTTACAGGTAGATATAAACGCATAATTGTAGATATATGTTCACTAATCGCAACCATATTAGGTTGGCTAATGAACAATTTCGGTCACCCCCTTCAAATGTGACGACAAATTTTTGTTCAGTGTTTGGTGTCTCTGGAAAGAGCACTTCAAGAGAATCTGAATATACAAGGTGTCCAGGAAAAATGTGCACGTTTCTAGAGAACAATGGAAGAGCAGTTGTAAAACTGTTTTACTGAAATAACTTACGACCGTGGCTTGCAAACTGCATACCTGTGATCAGCGGCTTTAACTAGCCTAGTATGAAAGTTCTTGGCTCCTTTACGGGGCGAAATGCGACTCTTAAGGTTTGAAACCCTCTTCAAGCTTCCTACCGTAGTCATACAGTAACGAAGAATGATAGGATAGTGACTTCATATTAAATCTAATTTGAGACTAGCTCTACAGAATGCCGCAGAAGAACGACAAAAGACATTGAATTAGGAGAGTTATTGAAGATCAAACAGTGTGCACATTTATTTGGGACACCCGCCTAATTTGTTTACGTGGTATTAGTCCAGTGAAAGAAATCCGCAAAGAAATGAGAAACCACTTTCTCAATGTGTGCGAAAATGAGAAAATTTGGTCTTTTCGGTAAAAAAATCTTGGAATGGCAAATCACAGTTTTTATTGTTGTTCGCTAAATAGGGACAACTCGTCTCTAACCGAATACCAAATCACGGTTCTCTACAACCATTAAAGCATGAGAACGACGCTATTGAGCATAATTGAGCTTTTGAATTTTAGTCCTTCTGGGACACAACTGTCCTTACAGATGATAGAAACATCTGAATAGTTGATATATGATAGACAAAGCTTTACGCTACTTCCTCTTCAACTTTGGAGTCATAAAAAAACAAGGCAGTTTTTTTATAAAGATTTTCATGCCAAGACGAAATTATTTCTAGCCAGCCTAATAATACCACAGCGTTGCACCCTTTCCCAATACCTTTCGATAGTAACAAAACGGATATAGTGAAACTATGGTTCAACTGGTTTTTATAGCCATTCGACTTGACTCAACCATGCTCAGCAGCCGATTGTGACAAGACGAGAAATCCCGTGTGTGACTCGAATAACCGGACCCATAAAAACATGTGTTTGTTCAAATTCTTCGCCTGCAAGGTACAGTTAGAATCCGAGACCAGATCCTTGCAAAAACCGAAACAATTAAGGTCCATAGAATGGACGGTACCGTCGTCGAACTTGCTCATATGGGTGAATGCAAAGATGGTGCAAAAACGGTATGTTTCAGAAAACAAGATGATCCGTAAGAGAATTTGAAAGGGGGAGATTCATGTAGGGTTTTTGGAACAGTGCTTTCTTAGTACGTACTTCAAGAATTTCAGAAGTCTGTATCCTTTTGCAGTTTTCGTTTTTTTTCCATATGTTTTATTCAGTCAGCTATAGCTACATACAATTATGCTAAGATGCATACAACTGAGAAAAATCTTTAATTTTTGATCTTGAAAAAAATTGGAAAAAGATTTTATTTGATTGACAAAACGAAATTAGCAAAATAATACGTACCTATTTTATTCTTGATCTATTGCAATCAATTCAGCCAGAATCTATTTGCCCTCCGTGTCCCGTCACAGCATCCGACACCCTTGTATGCGACAATCTGAATAAGGCAAGTTCAGCCGAAGCTTCTAAAGAGCCCAGATATCCTTGCTTTCCGAACAATCGTTTTCAGACCCATGAATCTCTCTGCGCCTTTGCTCGCTTCAATTGTATGCAAAAAGTACTAGCTGAAGATGAAAGAGTTCTAATCCATGTTGGACGCTGTCATGCCAGAAGTCTCGGCTTCAAGTTGGAGGTCGGTCGCATACATATTTTTCCCATTCTGACCGTTCTTGTTTGATTTCAAAGAGTTATAATGCTGTCTATCTCTCTCTTTTTTGACATCTTGGCAAGCCGCATTTGCCAAACATCAATTTTCTTCAATTTTGCGACCTTTTCTAAGAATGCGTCTATTTTGATTGGCCTATAATATGGCATAGCACAATCTCAGGGTCACAGTTTTTAAGTCATTCAGAGAAAAGTGAATTCTGTACCTTCTAACAAAGAAGTAATAACCTCAATTTCGCATGAATTATCGTTTTTATAGCCAATTCATCTCTGGAAAAGACAGTTTTACGAAGTAGAGCCCCGATATCCTTGGCTGTTGAAAAGACCGGAATGACATTGACCTTCGTTTTTTTACAGAACGAACAGTGCCCACCGAAGTGCTCTGCTGAACAGCATCCAGTGTGCGATACGCAGGGAAACACACACATAAATCTCTGCCAGTTTCAGAAAACAAATTGCTTGCTAAGAAAGGTATGACCCGAAGAAAAGCGTGTTGCATGCAGTGATTTATTACTCATCGTAAAGAGTGGAGATCTTCTTTCACGCGCGTTACCTATTACCGAAGACTTGAGTGCATGTGAATCATGAAACTTCGACCCCTCATGGGGCACCTCGCCAGGGAGGAACGGCTCGGGCGAGGTTCCAAAAACTTCGCGTATAAATAATTTCTTCTAGATTCAAGATTTACGTTTCGCATGACATGATCTGGGGAGGAAACCATGAATCTTTCAGCGATGCCGAAAGCAAAGGTTGCATTCGTCATATCGCGGTGATAAAATCTGATGAAGAAAAGCGCTCAAGATTTGTTTTTGCGAAGTTTTTATAGAGATTGTTTTTTTTTTGGATAGCTAAAGATGCTGGAAGGTTTGACAATTTTGTTCTTCATTTGGCTTTCGTGTCTTATCTGACATTAGAAGGTATTTGAATCGACTCGAAAGAGACTTTTCTAATGAAGCTGATTTCGTAGCAATCCTCCATATCTGCTTATCGTTCACTGAAGAAAGGTAAAGGCATTTTTCCGCTTCCGAATTGCATGTTACTTATTCTCTTAATGATCTAATTCCTAATAAATACGAATTTGCTCTAAAGTTAAATGCTTGAATGTCTGAGATATGTCTACTGTACATAAAAAAAATCAATGAGAATATTGAAGCTACTCCGCTGCCTTAGTTTTGCAATAAGCAACCAATTCAGAGTCATCCTTATAGTCAAACAAATGCTAAGGGAAGCACTTTCATAATCAAGATTTAAGGGGGTCATTATGATGTACATCTTGCTGGGGTAAGCCACTAGTCATCCACCTTCCTTGTTGAGCCCAAATAAACTCATGGTGGTCAGACCTTCAAACGAAAAGGTGTAATTCTTTATTCTTTTTCCAAATCTTGATTTCAATTAAATTTTTCGTTGTTGACAAACTAGATCTATATAAAATAGAGAATATTATGCTTATTGCAGTTGTTATCTAAGCATTTTGAAAATTTTTTTCCGATTTGTCATACAAATGTTTCAACCTATTAAATCGGAATCTGCAAAACATTTCATACACACCCACCAGACAAAATTTGGATCCTATCTCAACTTGAATTTCTTCTCTCTCTTATCCAGCCTCTGTACTAAGGCAAGTGAAAAGCCTTCTACTTCTTCGTTTACATAAAAAGTATTCAACAAGGAAAAGAGCAGAAATGTACACTGATAATGTTCGAAACTTAAGTTCGCTGGGAAAACCCGTTTTATGAGTGTGGAAAAGCACAAGCTGCTCTCAAGTGCTTCGCTTGAGTTGGGTTCGTTGAAACTACTTGCCTTTGAATCAGCGCGAAAGAGAACGATGATCTACCAAGCTAATTTGTCCTATGTTCGCGGTCATATCGCATACTTCAGAAAGGTCAACCTGCTCCCTCTCTTCTTGAATTGAAACCTTGCAATGCTCTGAACCTGTCCACTACGTTGCGACATAGCGAAGATGAAAGTCGAAAGGTAGCTGCTCTATTCAACAATAGCAGTTCAATCCTTTATATACACTTTTTCGTAGGACTCTCCAACCCCTAGTTCCGTGTTTCTCGTTACGGACGAAGACGAGCAATCAATTGTAGGTGAGGTTTGAAGAGTCGTTAGATGCTCTGAAACAACGTTGAACATTAAGAAAACACAACACAAAAAGCAATCTTCGACTGTCCCCAACCATCTTGTGGAGTAGAAGGCTTACCGGTGTGTGACAGTCAAGGAACAATGCATGAGTGAGTTTTTGAATGGACGGTCATGTCAGAAATAAGTGTCATTTTCATTTTTCATTTCGCTAACGTTGTTATGCTCCTACGTTTACAAGTCCTGCACGAATAATCTCAAAAATAAACTCCTGCAGTGTTTCAATGAATTACTGTGGATCCTCATTTATTGGACAAAGTAAATTATCAGCTTAGCGGTGCTCAAATCCAAAATTTTTGCTGGCAAATCTCGACGAGCGAGCTGTCAGAGGAACTCGATATTTTCGTACTCCGGTAAAAACGCTGAAGGCCAATAGAATTCTATTTTTGTAGTTTCGTAACTGCTGTTTCTAGCCATAATAAATAAAATTTGTGATCAAAAGTTCAAAAGCTGTGATCTTTAAATTTTCACTTTTCGATTCCGTGGTAAAAACTCTCTCAATAAGCATAGTGAAGCGCACCGTTTGTCATACATAAGATAAGTTTCATAATAAAAAGTCGAGTCGCCTCAAACTATTAAGAAATTTTTATGAATTTTTTGGACAAGATTCGTAAGAGCACATTATTTAAGCTAGAGTATTTGAAAAGGCTAGAGCGTTTTTATGCACGATTGTCACTAAATCTAGTCTGTCACTATTCTTTTTGACTGTAAAAGCTGTTCTGAAATTATTCTAGAAATGTGTGCATGTTTTTGCATGCGCGATGCTTGGCAGCCAAGGACGGCATAAACCTTTCCACTCAACCTGAAGAGTACTGTTTGAAAGCACTATGTGACAAGGTAATCTCCATATTCCACTTTCAATGGTACTTCCTGCTGATATTCTTCAGAAGAACTGCTCATCAGAGGAAAAACCAGTGTGTGGAAGCAACTTCCTCACTTACACGAATTTGTGCCATTTAAACGCCGAACGATGTAAAGACGACACGATTTCGATCTTATTCTACGGTTAGTTGCACAGCTATCGTGCATGCATTGTTGCCAAGGCCTATACTCGATTGAGACACTTGCGAAAAACTCGATAGCTAGTGATTGCCTGAAAAAGCGGGACAAAACTTGTTGGCTATTCGAAACGCAGACGTCTCTCGGCTTTCGTCACTTACTGTTCAAAGAACTGCTGTTAGAGATTTCAATCGGTATGATTACAATCGCAAAGGCATGTAAACTGCAAAGTGTAGCGCAGGATCAAATTTTGCATCTAAAATCTCAACTATTTTGCTCCACCAAGCACCGCATGCGAAGTTGAAGGCTACTGTTGCTGTACTTCTATAGTCTCACCCGCATAATCTACTGTGAGAAAATGCCAAAGCACGAAGGTGCGAAAGTGCAGCGGATGAATTTGATGAGGCAGTAAGTTGAAAATGTAACCATATAGCATAGCAATTTTTGAAACAGATGTATGCTCCCATATGTTCATTTTCATGTATGCTCCCATATGTTCATTTTCAGTGGATTTTCATTGGTAAACTGGCGTAGATAAGCTAGAGAAGTACGCAAGTTTTGTAACCAACACATTCTTTGGTTTATTATCATCTTATCTGCACACCTTAATATAAAGTTTTCCTTAGGTTATATCATAAGGTGTTATTCTCATCATCCCTTCTTTTTTAGTAACAAGAGTTCCATGGGAATCTCGGTACCCCTATGCCCCACCTCATTAGTATACTATTACTCCTGTTTTTTCGTCGATACATGAAGCATTTTTTGTTTCAGTCTGATCTTCAAATTTAGCAGACCATTTTGTTAAAATGAAATGTGATTCTTGTTCAATGTTTAAATTTTGCAAGCCACTATCATCTACGGAATTTCTTATGGATCACTTCCTAATAGACTCGACTACTTCTTTTTATTTTGCTAGCGAGTACAAATTCGATTCGAGCTGGATTCGAGACAGAGTATTCAAAGACCAAATTTGAAAAGAAGATTTTGGTAAGACTGCAGTAGTCGTAACTTTGTGAAAACCTCAATGACAAGCCCTCTTTGTAGTTAACCCTCCAGAGGCTAAACGGACGAAAAGTCAGCAAACCGGTCGATGTATCAACATGATGCAACATGCTTCAAGAATTTCTTCTGCTATATTTTTTTGTAACAAGCATGCTCCTTCTCTCGAATAGAACCTCGTTCCCTTACCTTTATGCAACACTTTTCGCATCCTAGCAAGAATTATGAAAATACCTTTTTTTCATTTTCATTTGTACGCTCAAGGCGTTCCAATACAAACAAAAGAAAAAGAACACACAAAACACACATCGGAAGTTAGTAATACAGCGGAATAAGCGATAAACGAATGCAGACATCATCATATGAATCCGAGTCTAATCCTAGTCAGACTAATGTAAGAAAAATGAAACGGCTTGCACTGAATAGGTTGATAGGCTAATAGCTAGATATGTACAAAATGTAGGCATTGATAGGCATTGATACTTTATGGTCAAAAGTAGCCCATGTTTTCATACTTTATACATGATACGGTCCAGCTCAACTATCCAACTTTTCTATCCACAGCAACCACAAATATGCAAAACTCGGTACATTACGGTATAACATAATTTGACGGTAATGTTCTCTGTTTATAAGTGCTATCTATCTATTTATCTCAGGCTCTTATCTTTTGAACTCGTTGAAAACGAACTATGGATTACTTATTATCATGTGTAATAACTATTTCTAAGGAAAGTGCGAAGAATGTTTGCCGACTCCTTGTCCACCCATGGAACAAGATGCACCAGATGAAGCCTTCGTCTGTGACCAAGAGGGATTTACCCGTTCTGTCTGTGAATTCCAAATGCTCAGTTGCATTGTTGAGCGAAGTTTGGGAGTGAATATTACTATCCAACATGTGAGTATTTCACCATCTCTTGTTTATCCTCCACTCTTTTCCAAGACGAAGTCCAAATTTACAGTCTGGTCGATGCTGTGAACCTACAGTGCCGTGCGACATGGAGCCGCCATCACCGCTGTGCGGATCTGATGGCAAAACCTACAGAAACAACTGTTCACTCACCGTTGAGAACTGCAGAAATAGAAAGCTCCAAGTACCCGAGATCGAAGTGGCCTATTCGAAACCGTGCGAGGAGTAAGTTTGTTGAAGTTTCAAGTGCAACAGTTCACAAAGAAAAATACCGCCACAAGCATTGGAGTTCGCCGAAATTTGTGTCATATCAAGTTAGCTTTACAGGGCGCATCTTTTGGAATGTAAATAGAAGTGCCTGTCTGGGGTAGGTTGGTCTACGGTAGGTACTCAGTTTTCATCAGATATTGCATGTGCGTGTTGTAATCCGCACACTGAGTAACTTACTGTAAGCAAAAGTCTGGAAAAATTTGTGATGACGGAGTACCGGCTACCTACCGCACCTACCGTATCCAGAAAGGCATTTCATTAATCTGAAAATGTTGAATGGTGCCCATGACTTCCGAAATCGTCTACTTTGAATAGTGATATGGCGAAACGACTCTATAAGGGTGTTTTCCTACATCAACATTATTTCTGCAGAACATCACCCATTACAAAAGAAGCAAAGGAGGCTTTGGCAGCCTTGGAGCGATTAGTAGAAGAAGGTAAACAGTCTAGAAATACATGCTAGACCTGAACTAAGAAAATCTTCCAGAAACACCGACCACCACCACAACTGAGCCACCACCGCCCACTGACTGTCCTATCGGATGTGACGACATCTATGCACCCGTCTGTGGTTCAGACGATATCACCTACACAAATCTTTGTCACATGAAAGCTGCTAACTGCCACTTAGGGTATGTGCCGATCTATCTCACAACTGCCATGCTAATTGTACAGTGCTTACAGTACCACAGTCGAATTGGCATACAATGGAGAGTGCTGCTCTATGGACTGTCCTAGCCATTTCAGTCCTGTTTGCGATGATCAAGGTATAACTCACCAGGTACGGCAGATTTTCGAATTCTCCTATTGCTTATAACTCGAAAGAATTTTTTTTGTAGAACCTCTGCTTTTTTGGAAGGGAGCGATGCATTGTGGAAAGGGTCACTGGAAAGAATATAACTATCGATAAGTTTGATGTTTGCGAGGACAGCACTTGCGACAAAGACTGTCCAAAGACTTACAAACCTATTTGCGCTTCTAACGGTAATGACTCAAGAATCTGCGTCCAGAGTTTCCCGCGCCAGCGTCAAACCAGTGCCGTGCCAGCGGCTTGTCAAAACATCGATTGATCAGCACTTCTCACGTGCACGTGGTTCCGGCAGCGTTAGCGCGGCGCTGGCATGGTCCTGGCACAGCTCTGGCACATGTGCAACTTTGAACGCTGGCTTACAAAAACACTGCTGTTACAGGAGAAACGGTTGTGAATGAGTGCTACCTCGACAAGCTTAACTGTTTCCTTGCGAAGAAAATCACATCCACACCTATTACAAAACTATTTGACGGTAAAGCTTATTCCATCCGAACACAACATCGCTCGTAATTTTTGGAAAATCCGTGTAATACAGTGCTGGCCAAAACTATACGTCCACCCTGAAAACTGCCGTAGCTCATCTGCTTCTAAACGAATTGTTCTGAAATTTGGTACAGCTGTGTGTTTAACAGGCTACCATCAGTAACCAGAACGGATCCCGTTTTTGTTGGATTATTCATGAAAAAATCAAAAATTTCGAAAAAAGCAGGCTTGAAGGTTGGCCAAAACTATAAGTCCACCTAAGGTTTCTGTCCACTAAAGTAATCTCGGCTTCCAAAGTCTTTTGTGCATATGCATAATCAAAAGTCAAAACAATCGCTTTAGCCCAGCTGTGTCATATCTTATAAGAATAGCTCATCTGCTTTTTTTTCGCTTGAAAATACTTTCGTGCCTATTTTGATCCCAAAAATGTGTTTTTATGGGTAATTTGAAGTTTTTTGTGATGGGTAATTCGCAGTTTTTTGACTGGTTTGGAAGCGATAGGGCTCCGTCTATCTTATAGATGCTTGGCGAAGCGAGAACTAGAAAAAAAATTTCAGTTTTCATATTTAAAGCGCACCCGACATAGACCTAGCCGCAGGCCGGCGCTCAAATTTATGTCCTCAAACTCTTTCTGCAATTTTCCCATGAGGAAGTAGAATAATAACATTGTTTGTACGTATGAGAGTCCGAATGCAGTGATTGCAGATTTCCGCAGGTCTTAGCATGCAGGATAAGTGAGGAATTCTTCCTTCAAAAACTGATTTGCAAAAAGCCTTAAACTTATTTTTGGTTCTGACCGTAATGCTCATGTGAGTCACGAGGCATCATACAATACAGGGTGTTTTCACTATCTAAAAGCCAAATAGTGGCAAAAAATCAGGAAAGGTACCACTTGGTAAGTATTTTGGGACTGCCTAAATATTATCATTGAACCGAGAAGATTTATGCTTTGAAAACAAAGCAAAAGTGACTTGGCCAACAATCGCAAGTATAGTGTACAAACTTTTTTTTATGTAAACAATGCTTTACATCATTTTGAGCTTATAAAAGTAATATAAAACAATTTTGAAGGCAAAAATTTGAGCGCAGGCTTGCTGTAAGGTCTATGTCGGGTGCGCTTTAAATATGAAAACTGAAATTTTTTTCTCTAGTTCTCACTTCGCTAGGCACCTGTAAGACAGATGAAGCCCTATCGCTTCCAAACCAGTCAAAAAACTGCGAAATTACCCATAAAAACACATTTTTGGGATCAAAATACGCATGAAAGTATTTTTAAGCGAAAAAAAGCAGATAAGCGTTTCTTATAAGATATGACACAGCTGGACTAAAGCGACCGTTTTGACTTATGATTATGTATATGCACAATAGACTTTGGAAGCCGAGAATTATTTTAGTGGACAGAAACCTTAAGTGGAGTTATAGTTTTGGCCAACCTTCAAGCCTGCTTTTTTCGAAATTTTTGATTTTTTCCTGAATAATCCAACAAAAACGGGATCCGTTCTGGTTACTGATGGTAGCCTGTTAAACACACAGCTGTACCAAATTTCAGATCAATTCGTTTAGAAGCAGATGAGCTACGGCAGTTTTCAGGGTGGACGTATAGTTTTGGCCAGCACTCTATTCCCGTGGCTTGGCTATACCTCGCTTCAGAATGGATGAGTTCTTAATCCAAGGACATTATCCGACTAGCTCAGCGCGGCGTATCTTCTGGTGTATAGAAGTGCCCGACACGGTGGGGGTCAGATTCCACGAATCGTTTCAGATATTTGCTTACGGTTCTTTACTCTGTGTGCTTATTCATTGCACACACTGGGTTTCCTACCGTAAGCAAAAACACAATTCGTGGGATCTGAACTTTTACTGTGTCCAAACAGGCACTTCTATACACCAGAAGATGCGCCGCGCCGAGCTGAATCGAAGGGTGCTCTCGGATTGAGAATTCGTCGCCGCGCCACGGTGATGTCACATGAATCGGGCGACTTTGCGTCCTTTTAAATTATGAGCGGTATTGTAGTATCACGGGCATTTTGTATCAGTTTACTACATATAGATTTATTTTAGGCGAATGCTGTGCAAATGAGAATTGCGGCTATGAATTCTCTCCTGTGTGCGATTCTCTGGGCGAAACGCACGCGAACGAATGCGTGTTCCGAAAAAATGCTTGCTTACAGAAGAAGAAGAATAGCATCGACCTCACTATTCAGTACAGGGTTTGTTGGCGATTAGACTAAAGTGTTTCATACATATATACAACTGTTAAAAGGAAAGTGTTCCTCCCCCTTACATTCTGCTCCTTTGAGCAGCTCTAGATTACAAAACTTTCGATCAGTTCCTGACAAAAAGCTTCTTTTGTTAAAATCTGCAAAAACGTAATACGACACACTTTTGTTATGGATCAAAGCAGTAAATCCAGGACCTGCTGCATTCAAAAGAGTTGTCAAGAGACTTTTCTTTGATGTTACAAATGCAAGTCTGGTCGGTGGCATTTATCAGTTGCTTTCTTGTCACAATCGAATCTTCCGCTTTGTAATTATTTCTCAAATGTTCTTAGCAAGCGTAACTCATGTAATAAATGCGAAGTCAGTACAAGAAAGAACATTTTTGTAGTTCTCATCAGTGTTTAGCTTCTTTCTTTGTCCGCGTGAGCCCTATCAGAATTCTTCACTTGGAAAAATTGAGACGGTACCACAGTAATGCTGTTCCATGTCTATCTTTCAAAGTTCACTACATTCACGTAATTTCCCCATCTCTATATACCTGGTACGCATAATACTATTAGGTTGGCTAATAAATAAGTTCGGTCGCTTTTTCAGCTCTTACAAATGCTGTAGACAAATTTTTGTCCAATGTTTGGTATCTCTGAAAAGAGCACTTCACTGGGTAATGGACATATATTCTGTTTGAGTAAAACTTATCTTCCCAAGGAAAAAATTCCGCGAAGAAGTGAGAAAGCGCTAATTTCTCATAATGCGCAAATATGAGGAAATTTGGTTTTCTTAGTAAAACATTTTCAAAATGGCAAGTCACAGTTCTTTTTGTTGATCACTAAATAGGGAAAACTCCTCTGTATCCAAACACCAAACTGCTGTTTTTTACATCCATTAAGCATGAAAACGAAGCTTAGGAAGTTAAAGAATTGAGCTTTTGGAAATTTCGCCATATTAAGGCATAACTCTCTTTTCTGACGATAGAAAATCCCGATTATTTGTGATAGAGGAAGCTTCTAATTTTAGAAGCTTATAAGGAAGCTTTTAACTACTTTCCCACGAAGAATCATAGATTGAAAACAACAAGAAATCTTTTTGTGATGATTTGAATGCCAAAACGAACTGATTTTTTAGCCAACCTAGTACTATAGTACTTCCAAAATTCTATATTGCCTCATTGAACGTGTGGCATCTGACTAGTACTTGCATCACTATTACGATTGAAATTTGCCTTACAAGGGAAGTCACTTCACTTAGGTCGGGCTTTCGAAATGAGACACATATGGTTGGAATCAGATTGAAACGCTGATTTCAAATCTGCCTTCCTTAGCTGCGAAGCATTCCTTTGAAGCGAGTTATGAGCTTTTTCCTGAGCAAATTTTGCGTGTTGACCGACTCAGGCTTGCTACGGTATCATCATCTAGGTAGTGGTTCAAATGCATATTATACCCTATCAAAGCCAAATGACTCAATTTGATGTTATTTTGATTTTCCACCACTTTTTAGGCAGATTTTCATCTAAAGACCTTCTTTCTATAGTCAGTTGTATGTCAATGACACATAATAAAAAAGCTCATAACTCGCTTCAAGAAAACGCTTCGCAACTAAGGACAGCATACTTGGAATCAGCGTTCCGAGCTGATTCTAAATATACGTGTCTCATTTCAAAAGCCCGACCTAAGTTAAGTGACTTCCCTTGTTAGAAGGGAGTACTGGACAAAAATCAATCTCTTATGGCTCTAAAAGCTTCACTTAAAAAATAAGTTTGAACAGCATGTCTTGATTCCAGGGACAATGCTGCAATCGACATTGCGATAAGACACTTGCGCCTGTATGCGATGGCACACAAACTCATGAGAACATCTGCAAATTCAAGTAAATTCACAGACTTCAACTTCAACTGGTTCTTTTCCCATGTGAAGCTGTTAAGGATAGCGCAGTGTGAAGCCGAACGACAAGGACAAGTGCTAACTTTGGCCTACGCTGGGGAGTGTTGCACACTTCCTAAGGGGAAATGCGAACGAAGCGGTGAGTGTTCACTGAAACAATTTTTGATAAAGTTAATGGCACTCTTAGCCAAGTGATGAAAGGAGTGCACTTAGCTTACCTCCATGGACCACTTCCCGAGAAAACTTTCTTACAGGTAGTGTCTGTGATTCGGATGGGCAAACCCACGTCGACGTGTGCCATTTCCAGCAAAAACGTTGTATCATGAACAGATCCATCAACAAGACAATCACGATCGTCCACTCCGGTTAGCGATTCTTATTCTATACCTCTCTTCCACGAATCTAGTCCAAAGAATCTGCAGGAGAATGCTGCGCGATCGAAGCTTGTCATAAAGAGGACTCGTCACCGGTATGTGACACGCACGGTGGTACGCATGCCACCAAATGCCACTTCCAGAATACAAAGTGCATTCACGACAAAATGCATCCAAATAATCCAATCAATCTGGCTTACACAGGTGAGTGATCAAAAAAGACATAAGAGAAAATGTTGGACGACCTTGCAGACTTTCAAGATACGGTACAGCTAGGTTTCAGAGAAATCTTGACAGTGGGAAACATCAAACTTATAGCTTTATTCTAAACTATTTAAGAGATGTCTTATATGTTGCACGCACAGTCACCGGCAAGGGATTTCTTTACCAGTTCAGTAGATGAGCTTGTGAAATCAGGTATTAGGTTGGTCTAAGACCACGTTTTTGGAAAAATCGTAAGTATTTGCAGTTCTAACGAATCTGTTTAATCCAATGTAGGTTATATTAGGTTGTAAAGAAAGTTCCGGGGCAGTTTCGTGAATTTCATTTTCAAATTCATTTTTTTCGCACTCGGTTAAATCACGACGATAAGTATTTTAAACGGTTTTATAGATGTTCAGGTTTTCTAGAGTCACACCCAATTTTTGTCGGTGTCAAGCCGTACTTGACCTGCACACCAAAAAAGAAAGTCTGTGCAACGATGAAAATTTCACAATTTTTCTTTCTGCTGCCATTTTTTCGCGATGAACAATGTATCAAAGGTTGGTCGCTCTGAATAAGGAGGCTGTGCATTTCAAAACCGCAGCTGCTCTCGTATTTTACAATACGCGAACAAATTACGAGCTCTCGAACTAGCTTCTGACCGTACCTTTTCGCAGTTGGCGTCGATTTTGTAGGGATCGTTGTTTCTGGGTAACGGGCTTATCACGACATTAGAATTATGTTCCGAATAAAATCTCTAGCTTAGTAAAGGTACTCGTTGTTGTTACAAAAATATGTATTTTGAATGAGACACTGCACTAGATATGTTTTGAATAAATCTTAGCATTCATTAATGCAAGAGTTATGAAACCCAATAAAAAACAAGGATATTCTTGCTCACCCAGCGCACAGTAATTTTCTGATGTGTGCTGTGGCAGACAAATCAGACTTCCACTTCAAAAGAAAAGGATAAGATGTGAAAAAATATAAATAAGTACGAATAAATTTGCTTTACTCGATCCTTTGAATAGGAGCATGCTGCTCGAACAGCTGTGAGAATGAACCGGATGAACCGGTATGTGACCAACACGGTAACATGTACAGGAACCGATGTCAGTTTAAATACAAGGCATGCGAAAGGAGGAGAAGGTGCGAAAGATTTACACTTCATACTCAATCACGACCCAAACAAATTTTTCAGGCTGAACTCCATATTATTGGAGACGCCCTGCCCTACGCGCCGAACTGCTCGAAGTTCAAATACAAAGTCTTGATCTTACTTGTTGTTGATAATCTTGTCCATAATTAATTTATTTCGACTTTCTTAGAAGTGCTGCATTAGGTGAGATATGTGATTTGTGATGATCTTAGCCGTTATCCAGTGCTTGTTTGTTTGGACTCGTACTTCTTGATTTTGCTTCCAAAACTGCCAGATGACTTTCTACTTCATTAACACGATTACCGAGGACTCTGTAACATTGCTATTAGGAAAGCAACGTTCACTTTCGTAGTCGCAGATGTAAAGAAACTGACTTGTTTGCCCTTCTGAGATGTGTCAAGGCCATTTGCTTATCGTTACACAAATCCAGTAGTATAGCTGTTATTGCTTTGTAGTCATTATCGTCAAGTTTTATAGCATGAGAAGACAGCAATTCGCGTACTGAAATTGCCGTGTTCTTGTTTCATTAATTTATGATCATAAATTTGTAAAAACTCCGTTTTGAAAGTGTTCGCCCTGATCCAGTGCAAGAAATAGAAGATCAGAACTACTTACTCTGCTTCATATTCACAACAGCTACACTGCTCTTCTCTCCAAGTGACGAGTCCTGACTTACAAGCTGGTCTCTCTGCAAAGGAAATGAGGAAGTTGATGAGTATAGTCTGTAAAGGAGTTACAGAATACATAACAACAACAACAACATACTGTTGAAGGCCTCGCTTCAGTCATAGCCCTGTACTTGGAGAGTGTCGCCTTCATGGTTTCGCTTTCCTCATTCGCAGAATCCAGACGAGCTTTTAGAAAGCGATTCTCAGCCACAAGGCTGTCCAAGTCTTCTGCGACCTAAGTACTCAAATTGAGTAGGAAATTATCTCAATGCCGAATGGGTCAGATGGAGCAGACCATTCATATTGGAAAGAAAATATGCATAAATAATGCAGTGTATGCCTTCCTACTGTCTTTGGTAAAGTTTTAGCAACATCACTGTACATTCAATATCGGAATATAACAATCAGCATGTCACTTAGAAACAAAATATTAGCTGCTATAGAGACTTTAGGTTCTCTTGCATCGCTGTACACTCACTCGACGAGGATCGCCATTCAGAAGGAATGCCATTTCGGTACTGAGCCTTTCCACCTTTTTCACTAAAGCGTCACGCTCAAGAACCAGCTCTTCTTTGATGCCGAGAACAGTATGTAGATCGGTTTCGATTTGTTTAAACTGAAAGGAAAGTCATACCAACTACTAATGTGGTACGTCTAACACTGAGAAGAGACCCACTTCCTTGTATAGTTTCTCATACTTGCCAAGTTCGTCCTCCCCTGACTCCACTGTCGGTCTTTTCTGGGAACAATCGTCCACTATGGCTGTTGTACCTCCGTCAAGGCTTGCTACCTGAATAGGAGGAAAGAGTCGAATTTAGAACTTGTCTGTATTGAAGTGTGCGAACCTCATACTTAGCAATCCGCTGCCGAAACAGTTTGCAGTCTTTTTGCAAGTCGAACTTTTCTGCCTTCAGTTCTTCATTCTCTTTAAGTGCTTCGTGCAACTCTTTCGTGAGAGTGTCGACCATATCGGTAAGTCGTTGCTTCTCAATCGAGAAGCTGGTCTTTATATCCACCTCATTCTGTAAAAACTCTCTCTCAAGTGACCTCATGGGACTCGCAAGCATAGACCTACTGCAGCATATTTGTGAACTTCCTGTTCCACCCTCTCCAGATTCCTCTCCAGCGTCAAGGATCTTGCCTTGACAAGCCGATATTCTTCTTGAGCTACCTCGAGATCCTTCCCTAGTCTGACTATAGTTTCCGTCTTACTATCAACTCGAGCTTGAAGCTGCTGGATCTGAACAGGTCTCGTTTCAGAAGTTTTACCTCAATGATGCAAAGATGAGGAATACAGGAGTATTATCGGTGCTAAACATTACCAGCAACTTTGTTGATGTTTCTTAACGAACCTACACAAACGAAAGCCAAACCTCTACAGTGATATCGGGCCATTGCTCTTCTAGGTGAGAACAAAAAAGGTTCTCTTTTTTTCTTCCGATCTATTGTAGTAGCGCTCTGACCTAGTGCATCGTGGAGGTAGAAATTTAGATAATGCTTTTTTAAGGGCACTTCATTCATGGGAAAATGGGAAAAAAGATTCCAATTGGCTTCTAAATCCACAGTTTGGAGGTCTTTTGCAGCGAGATTTTTGAAATGGGCAAAGCAGGAGTAGTGCTTTGTATTGAGTGCCAAAAGGAGATAGCTAATTTACCACTGAAAACAAAGTTAATTATGTACGAAAATGACCATTTCAATCGGATAGCCCAGTATCTAAAAACTTCAGGATTCGCTCAAACTTGATCCACAGGAGCTATTTGACATGCTGATTATGAATACACGTTATCTTATATATAAAGCTGAATGTCTGTCTGTCTGTCTGTCTGTATGTCTGTCTGTACGTATGTGCGGAATAGAAATTCTTGTTTCTGAACCGATTTGGACCAAACTTGGCACACATATACTTCGGGGCAGGGAGCGTGTCACAGGCTACTTTTCGTTATCGATCGATATCGATTTTATCGATTTTTCGCAAAATTTGAGCTACAGGGCTGGGAGTTGGCACAGGGGGGTAATCGAGCATGCTGATTACAAATATATTATTGACAGGCCCGGGCGGAGCCGGGTTCGCCAACTAGTGCTTGATAAGGTGTAACAATAAGTTATGCCTATCTCAGGTATGCAGTAGGTTAGAGGGAGGGGGGGGGGGGGGGAAAGCTTACTGAGACAGCAACTGGGGGGGGGGGGGAGAGGGGAGGTCGTACTTAGCGATCGTGTGCCACAGCTCCTGCTGGACCCTGATCACGATGGCAAAACATAGCACAGCTGCACAAGGTCTCTCATTTGCACACGCTCTGAATTTTTGTAGTGAGTTATTTGACTGATATGCTCTCTGCGCAGATGCACCTGCACGCATAAATAATGGCACATACATACATCAGGAAAAAATTTTAGTTCTAGGGTCTGCACTGCTAGTAGCAGCACAGGCGCAGGCATACTACGGCAATCGTTTCCGAGCAGGAATCATTGTGCAAAACTGGTATGATGCTCGAACAGCCGTTGTAAACTGCACCACACTTGATTTTTCAAGAATTTTTTTCGAATTTTTCATTTTTTTCTTTCACTTTTCTTTTTTCGTAAAAGCTTTTAGCAATCAACTAATTAATGATTTCTCGCAAAATTTCGAAAAAACGCCATCATCCTGTCGGAATATCATTTTGTTGAATGTCGAAAATGAGTAAGGCAATTAGTTCGAACGGATAGAACCCTCTTAATATTTTGATTAATAATATCACGTACGTACACACGTCCTCTCCCTCTGCTAAAATATTTACTGTCCAAACGGTTACCATAGTGTTATGCGTGTCGGAACTATCCAAGAGCAATCATTTTTCAGTCCGAAAACTACGCATGATTCGCTGTGCTTGTCAATAAATATTCTGGCACCACAAGAGCTGAGAGACCCCATTTTGGGAAAGTTTCTTCATCAGGTTATCCATCTATCAGATCATAAAAATCGTACTTGCTTGCTCGCTTGATTCTTGCTGCAAGGTCACGATTGGCCGAAGGAAGATACGAAAGCAACTCTCCTAAATTTTCCCTCTTTTGCACAATATATTAGGTTGGTCCGAAAGTTCTGTCCCAACATTTTCAAAAAATCATAACTTCCTCCTAACACATATTTCTGATGGCTAAAACCTTTTTGGAAAGAGCAATTCATGCACTTTCTAAAACTATCTTGGTGCTATCTATTAAGCTCTGAATGCAGAGATAATATTGGAAAAAGGAAATCACTTCAAGTTCGGAATTTTTAAGCAAGCCCGTTAAGAAATCCAAAACTGTGCCATAAAATCCAAAACAGCCACTATTTCAGACTTTTTGACCCCCTCTTTCCAGCTGAGCAAAATTTGCGCTGGTCGAGCTGTTACTTCAAAAGCTATGGTTTTTTGAAAAAAGTGTCAAAAAATCAATTTTCTTAAGGAACTGATTTGGCATTTTTTCTCGAAAATCATAACCTTTCTAGGAGGGGCTCCATCAGCGCGAATTTTGCTTATATAAAAAGAGGAGATCAGAAAACTTAGGATAATGGTTGTTTTGGATTTTATGGCACGGTTTTGGATAACGGGCCTGCTTAAAAATTCGGAACTTGAAGTGATTTCCTTTTTCCAATTTTATCTCTACAGTGCGAGCTTAGTAGATAGCAGCCAAGAAAGTATTAGAAAGTGCATGAATTGCTCTTTCCAAAAAGGTTTTAGCCATGCATAAACATTATGTTAGGAGGAAGTTTTAATTTTTTGAAAATGGTGGGACAGAACTTTCGGACCAATCTAATATTATCACTGAAAAGACCCCAGAGAGGAACGGATGTCCCTTCTATTTTTGTTTTGTTTTCATTCGACTTTTTACCAGTATAGCTATCCTTATTTCAAACGTCCTCATTTGTGTATGCTCTAGTCTACAAGTGATTATAGTTCCTGACTGACGTGCAGATCACTTCAACGCATATATAAATTATTCGTATAGGTTACGGTTAGCTTTGTGAAGACCGCACGATTTCAGAACCACGAGGCTTTTATATATTCTATCTTTCGACGAAGAATTGGCAAGCCATGTAGAAGTGCGTATCCGATGGCAGTACTGTTAGTTTCGTCCTGATAACAAGTCTAAAAAGATTTATCGAAAGCAGTGTTCAAATTTTCTAACTTCGTTGCATTTAATGAGCTTATGAATTCATCCTCCAACGCAATTGGCTAATGGAGTAGACATTTTTTTCTCGTAGGCATCTGCTTCGATATTGTTTTGTGCACTTCTTATCTATGAAGTACGTATTTCTCTTAGAAAAAGTTGTTTTATTTGTGGGGTTAAGGGTTACATCGAAAAAATGCATCTTAACGCTAAACACGCCAGGAAATCCTACCAAACATGCCCTTCAAACCAATGTCTGTTTGAGGAAGATCATAAATGTTTGCCAAGGCAGTTGAAGGCGGCACTCAAGCTGCAAAGTTTCCGTTGAGATTTGCGCTAGCTTATCATGACCTCGTTACTGATACACTCAAGCTTTTCCCCTGTATTCTATACCCCCCCCCGCCCCCCTTCCCCCGCCTCCGAAAAAAGTGGAAAGGGAGTGAACTGAGGCTCCAAAATCTTTCCAAGAGAGGTGAGAAACTAAAAAAGGTTGAACTCAAAGGTTGACTCACAGTTCAGCTCATCTATGTTTTTTTGTCATAGAGCATCAGTGGCGTACCGAGGGGGGGGCGCCCCCCCCCACCGAGAATGGGCCGCGAAATTTTCGAAAGTTACTTAAATGTGTTATAAAAATGTGCAGAGGACTTGTTTTTAATTGTAAATAATTAAAATAATTTTTAAAAATTTTTAAAAATTCAAAATAGCATTGTAAAAAAAATTTTCGGGGGCGTGGCTCCCGCCACCCCTTTTTCTGAAATTTTGGGGTCAGGAGCCCGGAAAAAATTTGGAAAGCATCCCAGAAAATTTTTCGAAGTGCGTGGCTGACGCCATGCACCTTCATCGAAAAAAAAAGGTTTTGTCGCCCCCCCCCCCCCACCCCGAGCCGAAATCCTGGGTACGCCACTGCTGAGCATATAGAGCAAGAAATAGTATGGCGTGTTTTACTCATAGCTAATCATACAAGGTGTTCCAAAAAAATGTGCCTGTTGTTTGATTGTTGATAACTCTCTTGTAATGAATTCTACCGAGAAGCGTTAGGTACAGTTTTGTAGAGCTAGCTTGAACTTAGATATACAGCATAGAACAAATCACTCATCTCTCTTGAATACTGTAGGATTACGGTACAAACTTCTAATAAGGTTTTGAGTCATGAAAGGCCATATTTTGCCTCAGAAAGGAATCAAAACGGCCTGAAAACTTTTACACTAGGCCAATTAGAGTTGCTGATTCTAACTGTGGTTCCCAACTTATTATGATGCTTCACTGACGAGTTACGCGAGGTAAGCAGTAGCGGCTATTTTCTCAATGTTCCTAAAAAGTGCGGTTACACCGTTTAGAAAGCTTCGCAATCTTGAGAATAGTTGTGTATGGAACTCAGCGTCCCTAAAAACCCCATTACACAAGTTTTCACATCTTTTTGAAAATTTTTGAAACGGCAGCTTTTTCCAAAGTGACACCATATGTTCCAAGTTTCCACCGTAATCCTACAGTAATGAAGAGCGGTCGGTGATTCGCTCTATACTGTAAATCTAAGTTGAAGCCAGCTCTACAAAATGGCGCTTACCGCTTCTCGAAAGACCTCATAATAAAAGAGTTATTCACAATCAAACAGTGTGCACATTATTTTGGGACACCCTGTATTATGACGATTTATGAAAATGGTTTTGAATCTGCACAAGAGATTTTCTGTTGCTCAAGCAGAGGCACCGAGAGGGCCGAATTACTGCTGATTTCCGAAGTGCTGCTTCGCATCCATGTTTTTGAGAAATTGAAATGTCCTCTCTGAATCAACTCCTAGATTTCCGTACTCAACACTGTTATAGGGATGGCATGCTCTACTTGAATGAGCAATTTCAAAGCAAGACATTCTCCAAAGATATCGCATAAATTTAAACGTTGTCCTGCGTACAGAGTACACTTCAGTCGAGAGAGGGTTTAAGATTTATTCCGAGAGTACCAGATTCTGATTTGACTATCGCACTATGATGATAGCGGGTGCGTAAAACAGATGCATGCTTGATCCGCCTTCAAGCTAGTCTTGTATACTTTTGACACTCACAGAAATGCGTCATTTATTTTGGCTCACCTTGTATGTAAATTTTATCTTATTCGCAGTAATGCATATTTTTATCTTACCAAGATTTTCCATATTTGGCAATTTTTTGTCCCCCGCATAAATCTTGACTCAGTCTCGAACGTGAAATAGTTGAACTATGAGCCAAAGGAGGAATTTTGCAGGAGATATATTACAGATAAGGTGAGGTATATCCATAAGTTTTGCTCAGAGCTCAGCGATAAGTGCAAATCACTCATGCAATTGCAAAAAAATGGAATATACGAAGTTTCAGCTGCTAAATTCTTCTTTTTTGTTTTTCTTCCTCCTTCTCACTTCATTAAGATGCAAACAAAACCTTCCAACTCTTGAGTCTATTTGGAAGAATATAACAAGCAAATAGGTCAAATATCCTTGCTTAAAAACGGGTAGAAATGAGACGAATGATGCTCAGCTGATTAAGAACCCTCCTGCGCTAACACACTTATTGACAGCCATCATTCCTTTTGCTCCACAAAATATATGCTAATTGGTGCGATAAGATTTTTACAAAATATCATGTATGCCAAGGCATTCTAAAAGTAATAAAGCAAAGCACAAAAGCTCACCTTTTCTTGTAGCCGCTTAAATTCTTCGATAGATAACTTCTTCGTGTTTGGATTCATGAAGAAGTGAACTGGCAATCATCGAGTTGTCTAAACGACACGTACGCCATTTAAGGGCATCAGTAGATGGTAAGCTATGAAACTGTCAGTTGCTGAGGTTATACGAAATACATTCATAACAAAAACCACAACTCACTGTTTGTTGAAAGCTAGATAACCTTACTAACAAGTAAGTAGAATAATTCGGAAAACTACGATGCTACGCGGCCGAGCGTCACGCTAAGAAGACAACAAGGAAATGGCCTGAGGGCACTGAGCGGACGGCTCCAGTATTGATTACGCCATAGTTAGACAGTTGCGCGCAACGAGCTGGCTGCGACCTCAGGCTCCCCCTCGAAATGCGAGCCCCGAACGTGCGAGCCCTGCCGTCGCCAGCGGTCAGTCACGGACTGATTATTAGCTTGCTCGTCTTTTCCTGCGAATTGCTCAGAAAAAGTTGGTTTTGAGATGTCGGCGATTCCATCTCGTCTAGCGAGTTTGATTTCTAGGAAGTTGCTGGATAAAAGTTAGGTTGAGGCAAATTTGCTCTTCTAGCGCCGTTGTAGCCCAACTGAGGAATGTAAACACCGTGAAGTCGTACGACTGAAACATTGTAAGAGCACGACTTGTATTGTTTGTTTCAATGCAAAATGACCGAATTCGAATGGGCGGGCATCCGTTCGCACCGAGTCGCAGCTTTTACAATATCGCATCCTGCTAGGAAAACATGTCTACGTCTCCTCACAATCCTCGATCACTGATTTGCAAAATGCCGCGTGCGCTGGCAAAGCCTTCAACGAAGCGGGCATCCTGTTCCAAACGAAGTACTTTAGCCCACATCTGTCTGAAACAGACCGTACAATGACGACTTCTACTGGGCAGGCTTTCACCGGCGTTGCTTGCTCCGCAACGGCAGCAGTCCATGCTCGACAACTTGGCAAATGTGTTTTTTCTGATGTTCGATAGGTTCAGCAAACCTGGCCAATGTGCGGAATTGCTCAACCCAGGGGTGTCTCTGTATGCTTAGTTCTATTTCAATGTCATTTAGATTCAAACAAGCGTAAAGACTCCGGTGCACTTCACCTAAGATAACTTAGTAATGAGGACCCAGAAAAATCGCAGTTCTCAACAGTAGCTAAGTTACGTTAAAGTGCGGCTGTCATCTGAACACTTGTCTCTAAAGATCTGTTGCTCTCTCATCATGCACAGATTTTTTCAAACTCCGACGCCCTGCACTGAATTTCCTTTGATGTATGACCTTATTCTGTCAAGCACAACACATTTGCAAACAAGATCTGTCACCTGTAAAATCAAAAACCAATTTGAAGATGATTTCCATCAGAGCTGAATCTGTTTCACCTTCTGCAATGGGACTAACCAGAATCAACCTTTTCTTGAAGACGTTCCAGCAGTATTTCGTATATACCTGACCTACTTCAGAGGTATTCTCATAACCAAACTTTTGTTTTCCGTAATCATCAGAATTGGCTTTGCAGTCACTGATCTGCTTGGTCGTAAAGCAGTACCAGAAGACTTGATCAGGTTATACCTTTTCACATGCACAATCCTTGATCAGGTTATACCTTTTCACATGCACAATCCAGATTTATTCTTGCCCGGCATGGAATACAATAGATCTTAATTCTCTCTCCTACATAAACGAAATTTTAGGACTTTTAAAAAATATGTTCTGCGTGAATGAATAAAGCATTCTATTTTTACCTATACAATGTATTCTAGATACGGAACAGAGGAATAATTGTTCACTCGATCGGATAAGTGACAGCCGAATGCTGCTGATAACGACAGCAAATGCTATTCACTTATTATCACATTTCTGGAACGTACTGAGACAGTTTGGAAATCCCAACGAAAACTGCAAGACTGTTGTGCAGGAACTGATATGTGATTCTCGGGAAGAAGGTTTCGATTTGATTTAGGAAATGAGTTGTCGAAGAATAATGAAGACAAGTACGTTTACACAGAGAACACATCGACCATTGGTTTCATGTTGGTAACTTTCTTCTTGGGAATACCAGACTTCTGCTCGTAATCGGCTCGACGAACGGAGACGGGCACCAGTGTGAACGATTCCTCTTCTTCTGCTTCCTGAATCTGCTTCTAAGGCATTTTCGGTGATACAGCAATACACAGCAAAAAGCTCTAACAGATCGTCAACGTTGTTTCCGCTTCTGAACAATTGTAACAGATGTTCATGCAACAAGATAATCTGTTAGTTGTTTACTCGGAAAAAAAATTGCGGAAACACTGTTGCGGATCACATGAAGCAAGGGATGCCCTATGCAGGGATAGGATAAGTAAAGAAGGAGCTCAGTTTCAGTTATTGTTTCGTACTAAACACTGGATGTCTGTAGCCCACAATAGGGAGAAGTCTATCCGCCATTTACTTTCTATCTGAAAAGGGTTTGGATCTGAGGCAAACAGAGGAAGTCCAAACTTCTAGAGTGGCTCCGACAACTACACAAAAAAAGATTTGCTTGTTTTTGAACCAACAAATTTTGCTTTAAATTAATGCGTTCCCAAATGTTTACGACATGCCCATAGCTGTTTCTTCATAAGTAGTGATAATGACAAATCGAAAACAGTTTTCAAGCCGCTACTGTCAACTGGACACAATTGGTTTTGAATTTTTTGAAGGCAGTGTCCGGGCAAACACTCAATTTTGAGATTTTGTGCTTATACGGGCCTATTCGCTATGCTGAATCCGGAAACTCACACTGGAAAGCGCGAAAACGGCAAAAAAGGCCTCTAGAGAATTAGAGAAATAAAGTGGGCGGGGTCCTCCTCCTTGTGAATTCAAGCTCCCAGCTTCCGGAGCGCACTTCTCGATTCCGCTAGCCCTCCTAACATCGCTACCGGCCAAGTGCGAATAACTGACATGAAACCGGAAGCGAGAAGATCGCTCCGGAAGCTGAAAGCGTGAAATCACAGTGAAGGAGGACCCCGCCCACCTGCTGATTTCCCTCCTGCGTTAGAGCCGTTTTTTGCCGTTTTCGCGCTCTCCAATGTGTATTTTCGCATTCAGCGTAGCGAATAGACACGGGTAAACACAAAATCTCAAAATCTTTTGCCCGTACACTGCCTTAAAGTTACAAAGGCAGCAGTAATGCGCAGTGCTTGAGACCGCCAGCTCATCGGTTCGCAGCGGTCTAGAAAACAAAAGTCATTCCAGCGCAAATTGAATACGGCTAGATATTTCCAAGATGCTCATACAAAGGACAACATCATCTACATTTTGCAAGTATAGCTGCTACTAAAGGAAACTATACGTAAGTGACAAAACTGACAGCGTCATCTAACAAGGAAAGGACCCTCGGTCGAAGTGGGGTTTCCACACGTGATGCATATTATTGTGCTGGCCTTGGGGCACTAATACCAAATCTGTTCCTTCGCTGCTCAAAGATCTTCTGGGAAAAGTACATAAGTATTCCAAACTTTCTACCACTTTCTCCACAGTCTCCACAATTATCCACTCGGCCATCCATCCACAAGTGACATTTCTCAATTCCGCTAACCTAAGCAATCCGTGGTCAAACTGAGGAAACCTCACTCGTAACTTCACCCAGAAGATCACTGAGCAGCTAAGGAACACGGATTCGTTATTAGTGCCCCAAGACGAGCACAATGACATGCATCACGTGTGGGAACCCCACTTCAACCGAGGGTCCTTCCCTTGTAATATGACCACTGAAAAGCTAAAGACGTGCTCGAATCGAACGGGAGAGGCTCACTCTGTGCTCCTCAGGAGGCTGTTGGGTTCCCAGACGATGTTCTTCCACTTTGGGGATGGTAGCGTAGTTTTCATACTTGAGCGTCGGCTGAACTTTTTGTTGGCTCTTGTAAGTCAACGCTTTCTGCGGTGCTTTATAGGGTTGCTGGAGGTGAAGCTGCTGCTGCTGCTGGATACAGTATGGGCACTCGGGTGGGTGTGCAAGAAATTCACAGTGTTGATGAGCATGTGCGCACGGATAGTGCTCATGATGCATGTATGGGCAGCAACAGCAGTGGTAATCGTGGTGGTAGAGTGGATGTTCCAAGACTGCAGGTGATGCTGAACGTGCACGTGCAACAACGACCGATTCCCGCTTGGCCGGCTTAAAAACAATGATCGTCACGGTCGACTCGAATGGAAACACCGACACTAGGTGGGTCTAGAGCGGATTCACAACTTACGACTGGTGCAGTGGGCGTAACGAGCTGCTGATTGACATTAGCATCTCCCTTAAAGAACAATCCTTCTGCGAAATACTATTTATCGTACTGTCATTGACCGCACGGACCGGCCATAGATTGCGGAGCACGCGCGGGCGGCTGAAATGTCGCGAGAGCACGAACTGTGCGATACCGAGTACTAGTACAAGCGTCTGGTCGCTCGGCCCTCTAGGGCCGATCCATGCAGTCGAGCGACAGTGTACAGTCTTGCAAAAGGTTGCAAAATAATTTTCTATGCATACGATACAATCACCACACAGTGGATCAGCACCTTCGCTTCCCACTTCAAGTTTCAAGATAACAAAATTAACTATGAAAATTGTGCCAAAAGACTTTCTACTGGTCCCAGCGAATTGCCGGTTTTACCCTTCCCCTATATTTATCTACTGCGTTTTTTTTGGCAGACTTTGGTGCGACAATATACTGAGTAATCGTGTTGTTCTGCGACACTGAATTTTTCTTTCAAACACTTGATGTTAGGGAGCTGGAAGAATGATAAGATTTTCTGCAAAAGCATGACAAGTACAGGCTGGTCCACACGGACTGTGACGAGAGCGAAAGATGGTGTCAGTTTTTGCTCGTTTCATGCCATAGTTGAAGTAATCTTTGGTCTGAAGCAAACGCTAACGCTGTGAGACTTTGTAGCAGGACTAGTCACCATTGAAAAGAAGATCACCGCTGTGAAATTAATCTTTCACACCTTTGAACAAAAATATTTGGCCTTTCAACTTGCCCAATCTTGATCCCACAAACCCTCTTTATTCGAACTAGGAGCAAAAAGGCGCTCTTTCAAAATCATTTCACTGGATTCGCTAAAAATTGACCTTGTTGAGAGCCTGAGACGAATTTTCTCAGAAAACCGTGTCCATCGCGAAAAATTCCAGGAAGTAATAAGAACTTGTATCAGCCTTTCAGTTCAAGTGCAATAATTCGAGTCACTTGACGAAGAAAGTCGTGCAATTGGGAGTAGCTGACTCAAAACAAGCATGTCTTCTTTAGTCATTATTTAGTGATGTATTGGTAAGTTCGCGGAAAGTCTCCCGTCAATGGAAGACAAAAACGCCTATACCATCGTCCCTCCGCAGTTATATAAGTCATTCGTCTTTTAGATTTTGCATGATTGGGTTTTTCTGGTGACCACTGGCGGCCTTTTGTACTCCGCGCCACTTGAGACTTACCTTGCCAAGTTCTCGTGCTTCTCTGTTTATAATCGTCTGCCTGAAACATTCAGAATATCTGTCATGTAGCAACAAAACCCAAGAGATGCTAGTGTGTAACACTTACTGCTTTGTTTGCGTGGTTGTTATAGTGGTTGTCTGCGCAGGTTGGGTAACATTTTGCTGCATGGTCGACGTGACTCTAGTTTCCGAGAATGTGGGAGAAACCACAGCTCGAGGTGACAACGGTGCATTAGCACCAATACCAGGGGGCACAAAGTCCTGGAACACGTAAATGCTGTCCTATCTTGGCACCTCAGCATGGTATGCCACCATTTTTGTATTGTTATGCGGTAACAGGTCCGTACTAGAAAACCTTTATTGTTGCCTTGCATTTACCAAACGCTCTGGGCCACTAAATGCTTGCTTCTGCATGACAAGTCTGACACTCCAACTGTGTCCCGCAAAGTAAAATTGTCTCCTGGGCTTCCATTCGGGCACCGCGTGGTGTAAGCTTTATTATACAATCTATTGCTACTCGACTGTTTTATGATGTTGTGTCGTGAAATGCTTATAAACCAACATCATTCTCCAGTAGGCGAGCGGGGTGTCAGCTAGCTTCGCTGTGCTCTTTTCGAACACTGATGAGTTGAGGTCAACTTGAGACCTTAAAGGCAGTGTCCGGGCAAAAAGTCGATTTTGAGATTTTGTGCTTACTGGAGCCTATTCGCTATGCTGAATCCGAAAATCCACACTGGAAAGCGCGAAAACGGCCAAAAAGGACTCTAACGAAGGCGTGAAATCAAAAGGGGGCGGGGTTCTCCCCACGGTGAAATCACGATCCCAGCTTCCGGAGCGATCTTTTTGATTCCGCTTACCATCCTGACATCTTCACAAACCAAATGCGAACACATGATCTGAAATCGGAAGCGAGTACATCGCTCCGGAAGCTGAGACCGTGAATTCACCGCGGGAAAGACCCCGCCCCCTTTTGATTTCACGCCTTCGTTAGAGCCCTTTTTGGCCGTTTTCGCGCTTTCCAGTGTGGGTTTTCGGATTCAGCATAGCGAATAGGCCCCAGTAAGCACAAAATCTCAAAATCGACTTTTTGCCCGGACACTGCCTTTAAGACCGCCACAATAGATAAGTCAAATGTATGAGAGATTGGTGACCCAGAGCGTTTGGTTAGAAGAATTAAGTTAGGCCCCTGAAGACGGCGCAACGCCGGAATGTAAGGCACTATTTAAGGTGTTCTAGCACAAACCTGTTACTAATAATTCAAGAGTAGCTGTTAATAGCTCCGTTGGTTTTCGTACCTTTTGGCCCCATTCATTGACGAAAGCGCGCACGTTCTTGACTACTCTCACGGAGTTGAACTTCTCGTCTCTGGACATGCCCGTTAGCGGAACTGGCGTCGGAGACGATACTGGCGCTGCAGATTCTTGGATAAGTTTATGTCTTTTGCCCTGGAATTCTGAAAACTTACAAAATGTCATCTGCCTCTCCTGAGTATCATATCGATCATGCGGTACGTAGCTGGAAGTTCTTGTTGTGTACACTTCTCCCTGAGCTGTTCTGGTGTCCACCGGATTGCCCACGACGCCACTGATATGTACTCCCGTTGGGCGTGTAGTATCCTCAACGTGATGGACAGACGAGGAGCGCTTGTGTGCCCTGTTGTCCTCGTACTGGTTCGCTATTGTCTTCTGCACAACAACCGTGCCTCCTTTCTTGTTTGACCCTTGAGTAAGGGTGTTCTGGTAGGTCCCGTAGCCGGCGGGCTTGTAGGAGAGTTCTTGCATTTCCTGGGCTCTCGCCGCACTCGCATTTGCAATCTGTTTTCCGTGTATGGCACATTGGTTGCAAGTGCACTGCAGTGGTCCAGAATTCTGGTGTTGGTTCTGCCCCGTAGTACGAGTTACCGTCTTTGTGACCTGCTTCTGCTGATATTGCGGTTCACGCTGGATGTACGTTTGCCTTGTAGACGTCTGATTGACTACGCGTTGGTTCGCCTGTTCGGACTGTTTCGACTGGAAAGTGCTGCGCTGCACGTCTGCATAGGGGTCGTATAGTTCTCTCTCGTCGACGCGCACCTCCTCGACCGGTTGATTGTACTGATTCGTGGCTCCACGCTGAGGTGGAGGATAAACAGAACGGATGTTTTTTGTCTGTTGTGTCGTTTCACTCTGAGTGATGTCACGAATGTCCACTTTTTCACCTAAGTAGTGGTGAGGGCCCCCCTTTGTCAAGCCTTCTTGCTGAGGCTTGGTGTATGTAGGGACGTATGCAGAGCTGTGATCCTGAGGATTCTCTGGCTGTGGCTTGGTATATGTAGGGACGTAAGCTGAGGTGTGATTCTGAGGAGTCTCTGGCTGTGGCTTGATGTATGCAGGGACGTATGCAGAGCTGTGATCCCGACCGATTTCTGGAAGTGGCTTGGAGTATGAAGGGACATATGCAGAGCTGTGATCCTGAGGGGGATTCTCTGGCTGTGGCTTGGTGGGACGTGCAGGGACGTATGCAGAGGTGTGATCCTGAGTGCGCTGTGGCTGCGGCTTAGTGTATGGAGGGACGTAAGTGGAGCTGTGATCTTCAGTGTGATCCAGCGTATTCAGAGGTGCTGGCCGCAGGAGCTCGTGGTATCTGTTGCCACTGGGCTCATCAATTCCATATCGACGTTCATCGATTTCGTACTCGTCTTCTTGGTTGTAGTCTGGTTGTTTGTAGACTTCGCTCTAAAGTTTGCAGAGTAGGTAGTCAGTGAAGTATAAAAAAACGAATTCATCCATCCCAGCCTTTCTGGCAACAGGTGAATGCGTGTCTGTGGGGTACATTTAGGCTTAGCGAGCTCGCCACATCCAGAATTTCCTCAGGATAAAGCGCTAAGGTAAGCAACGCCCCTACAGTGGATGCTCTGGCATAAAACCAGTGATTAGAAATCCTCGACCTTAGGGCAATAGTGCGCTCAGCGGTGGAATAACCCGCCAGAGGCCTGAGAAGCTCAAAATGGAGCCAGAATTATGAAAAACATGCAATTACAAAACCTACTGGAAGTGGGTAGAATGAAAATTATCCAAATTTTTTTCTACTTCAGCCTCCAATATGGAACTGAAGACGAGAAATCAGATGAAGTTCAAACGGGAAGAAAATTTCGCTACCAGAAAAATCACTTGACTTTCGATTTGATCGTAGGAAATTATACGTTATTTGAGCGTTAAAGTCTGCAAAATCACAGGATAATAGTTCATAGCTCAAACCGAGCACAAAAAAAAAACCTTCACTGTGCTGATGGCTGAGGCGAGGGATGCCCTTATATTTCAAATTCGAGCACTCTGAAGCAAAATGTAGTGATACTATGCGAATTTCGGTAATATCCGATAGAGTTCGGCGACTTTTTGTTGACTAATTGTGAGCGACTTGTGCAAGTTTGGCGTTGCGTACCTCCAGCACCCTATATTCAAAAAAAGTTCACTGGCGGTATTGCGCAGAACCACCACCATTTTCGTGAACAGCGCCTCAAGAACGCCAAGCACAGTCTAATATTTTACTCAATCACAAGGTCATTGTTAGCGGGTGCGTTTCACTGACTTCCTGGCGCGAAGGGGGAGCGTTGGGAGAGAGGGGGGGGGACGGCTCCTGGTGTGCGGAGAGATTATGCACTGGGTGGGTGCCCTCACCCATGAACTACATAGTTTGTATTGAAAGAGCTTACAGTCTGGTTCAAGCTCTCGAAGATATCGATACGTTTTGTTGTCTTTTTCTGCTCGTTGTTGTTGTTTCCGCTCATTTCTATCCTGTCACGAAGATATTTCACAGCTGAAATGGTGTCAAAGCGTCAAGAACATCCCCACAGAACGTTACGAAAACAAAGTCAAATACGCTAGGTCCTTGTTTGAAGGGCAGTCTTGTCCCGAAGCTGCATCTAATTCAGAGCTTACCTCCAGTGTTTGGTGGAAGATCCATATTAGGGCGTGTTGACTGGCGAACGAGGGTTGAGGCCGGCGAGTCGTGCATTCTAGTGCGGATCTCAACCTCCTCCTGGGTGTCCGTTCGTCCACGATTACGCTCTTCGTATGTGTAGCGAGTCTGGGCCTGTCTTTTTGCTTCGTCATCGATGAACTCTCCACCGTGATCCTGAAAAGAAGCTTTTGGAAAACTTACACGAGTCAGCACCACAGTCGATGTTGAATGTGCATACTTGGTCACTTCTGGACTTGAACTTGTATTCGGTGACCTTATAAACTCCTCGATCGAGTACCACTGGCCGAGGATCGTCGCGGACTCTGGGACGAACCACATGTGGCACTGACACTTCGTCGTCTGATTTGTTGAGTGATTCCTTCGACTCTACCACCTCCGCGTAGGGATTGTATGGTTTTTCTTTGCCCCACTGAGCCTGAGAAGAGCGCTGCTGCGGAGCAGGCTCCTTAATCGAAGAGGCATTCGAGCTTTGAGTCTCCTTCCTATAGCCATTCTTGTAATCACTGGTCTCAACTCGAGTAGTCGTGGTGGTGGCAGTCTAGAGATATTCGTCGGCATTAGGAACAGACGAATAAATTCAAAGGCACCTTCTCCTCGCGATAGACATCCAACTGTGGCTCGTCCGTGAAGTAGTCGGTTCCCACAGGTTCTGCTGGATAGTCGACCTTGTCAAATGTGAAGGATGGTTCTCCCTCGCTCTATAAGGAAAGTATTGGAGCAATATCGGAAGAGTTCAAAAGCGTGTGAGAATCTATACCAGAATTTGGCGACTTCGTCTGAAATCAGGTTGAGATTTTTAACGATGTTCAAAAACTTCAACGTGAGGTTTGGACCGATTTCGTAGAATGACTTGACCCATTTTTCAAAATCTTTTGAAGAATTCTCTTGAATAGTAATAAAAAGATTCGGCATTTGAGAGCGTCGTTGTTCAGCTATGCGCGAATGCGCAATATGATTCAAAAGAACTAGTCGATTCTTCCATCAGTTTTTGCTGGTAACTTGCTTTTCCTAGCAACTCGTTAAAATGATAGGAATATTGCTCAGTTTCTTCTTTGCCACAACAGGTTTTTAGCAACAGTTTATTGTGCTGAGCAATATTCATCAGTTATGCCAAGGTTTAAAGAGAGGAGAACTTTTGAGTTACTTCGAATAATAGGAATATTATGAGATATGGGCCTCATAAGCCCGCTTTTCCCCGCACCAAAGCTACCGCTAGATTTCAAGTCGCAATTAACTCTCACGCGTACTTCATAAATGTACATATTGGCGTACCTTCTACCTACTGAGTGTTGTAGGATGAAGCGCACATTTCATAGCTTAGTTGGCATAGAATGGAACGAAAGAAAGGAAAAATCTATAGTAAGTGGATGGCAGAACCTCGGCATGCACAGAGACGTCCCTGTCCTTGTAGAGCACCCTCTGGGGTTCAACTTGGACGGCGTCCGTTGCTCCGAGCGGTACACCCTCGAACTCCTGGTACACTAAAACCTCGAGCCCCTCCAGCTTTGTTTGACTGTCCTAAAATATGATCAGATCAAGACGAGGAGCTTATGTTTTGCTTTCTCATTCCGCCACATATGAAAAGAGCGACACGAAGCTACGCTCCTTACAAAAATGAATGCGTGCTAAAGCAGTCGATTTCCTCAAGATAGCATGTTGGAACCACAGACCTTGGCGAGAGCGGTATCGGAGTCGAAGCCGAATCGACCCACTTTAACGGACGTCACTCCACGTCCAACAGCCGATTCGTCTTCGACGTATTCAAAATGGCTGAATTCGTCCCCAGATGAAGAAATTGACTGCAAAATTGCTATCACATAAAATTCCATTGAAAATGACCCATCGAGCTCCCTACGAAAGATTCTGTGCTGAGATGGAACACTGATTTGTGCCATGCAAATGTCATTGGAGATAAGGGACTATCACACGTCGAGCTGCCTCTTCATGACTTAAGAGTCTTTCGCAAAGGATTTTGCTAATTATCCGAAAAGTGCATTATATTACTGAAGGTCAAGGGAAAACAGCTCACGTCACGAGACAAATGCAAGAACGTGTCTCTACTCAACTTCAACCGTAGTGTCTATTTTACGATCATTAGATAAGCTCAGTCACTTGTCCAGATCGACAGCGATGCAAACCAATAGGCCAGCGAATTATCAAAACCTGCACAAGCTTGCCCGGATTGCTTGATCTTATGCACAAAGCAATGCAACATCAAAACAAATTTCCAAATTTTCCCACCTCACGTCGATGCAAATTTTTGAACTGCTCAATGACTGCGTCGTGATCCGAGCTGCGCACTGGAACCACGGTCGTAGACGCTTCGCTCTTGACCTGCCGAGGATACAATGAGCACTTTGCGGTGATTCAGATATATAAAACGTTTCGGAAAGCTTTGATATATCGATCTACTTCTGAGATTTCGCTCCAAGAAAGGAAAAGTACACATTTGTGTTTGGCACTTGCAGGGAAAAACGCGTCAAGAGGGGAAATTCTTGATATCAATGGCCATAACGTGTCATACTTTATGGACATCGCATTTAGTTTCAAAAGAAAGTGAAATCTTACGACATCGAGAATGCTATTGTATGATGGTCGAGTACTTCTTTCCTCCCAAAGAAAACATTCTAAGGGGTTAACTGAGAAAATTCACGTATGTAGTAAGTCATCAGGTAAAACCTTAATGCATTTTTTTTATAGAGCCGCACCAAGTTGTAATTACCTGCCTCCCGCTATAATCAAAAAGCTGAAACTCACCGAAAGGCTAGTCTAATTGAAAGAGGGAAAGCCCTGCTAGGAGCCTTATGCCACTAAACGCATTCTTATCAGTCCTCAACGAGAAACGAGACAAAAATGTGTTCGGTCAGAAAAAAAAACAACTCTCTGTTAGAGTAAGGCACAAGATGTTGAAGCTTGACAAAACACGAGATGACACTCTATAGAGGTCGAAAGGCGGGAACCCACATTTGGTGGAGCAGCATCAACTAGTCTTTCACTCGACATCATAGCCATGGAGGACCGATCGTCATCGCTGCAAATTTTTTATGAGCACATTTTCACACAGAAATGAGATGATGCATTAGTAGTTGAAGCTACGGTTTTTCTTGAAGGCTCGTTGCTTCCATTCATTCCATACTAAACAACACGTTTGACAGAATTACAATTTCACTCAAACTGAAGAAGCACTTTTCGGGGAATTCTTTCAGGATCAAAAAAACAAAAACGTTCTCTGTTCCAGTCTATGACATTGAACTTTTGAACTATCAAAATACGGTTATTAATCGATAATGCCATATTTTGAGCTTCTTTTGAACGAGCCTATCGTTAGCTGCTTGCGTAACGAGCAGGCAATAAATTCTGACTCACTTTAGCCTGACACGAAACTCTGATAGGAAAATGGGTGAAGTCATTTACCAAGCAAAGAGAGAGAAGGAGAAGCTGTTAATCACCTTGCTACCATTTGAATGTTTTGTAATTGAGCAAAACATTTGGGCTCGAGACGCAACAGTCGCCCTTTCAAGTGTTAGGCGTTCTGGAATGTTGTCGACACTTCATATAATACAGAAGATGCGCAGAAGTTATTCCTTTTGTTGCTGTGTTGGACATTTACTTCCTTGGGCATGGTCAACACAAGCCTTTGAGAACAGTGATTATAATGGCGCATAGCTACTGACTATGTTTTTCTAGAAAATAATTCTCGTTTCCCTTACGAGCACCACAACCTATGGTGTATATTTATCAAGTAGGCCAAGCAAGATTGTTGGGTAAGTCTAAACTATACCTAACAAGAGCGATTGTCAGCGGCTTCAGCTGTGTGCTGATGGTTTCGCAATACGTTTTCTAAAGAGATGCGCAACAAACATGGAGTCTGTAGTCTAGAGATCTTCAGAAGTAGATTCAACTGTGATCACCAGCAAAAAATCAACATCAGCCAATGCATACGATCGCAAAGGAACTTTTCCGTCTAGTACTCGTTCCTACTTCTCTAGCAGATTCTATAAATCAAAAGGAAACAACAAGCACTTCCTTGTTTCTTGGTCTACTGTACGACCAACTAATAGCTCACACGGCTATTGTATCGTGTTGGCACGAATCTTTGAATGAAAATCATTTTAAACAGATAACCAGATAGGTACGCTGTAATATTTCGATCTCTATGACTCAATGATACAGTTCTGTGAACCACAAAGAAAATCAGCGACATTTTTTGTTACCTCAGCGGTCGATGAATCACCTCTGTTTCAAAGTGCATTTGGGAGCCGCTAACTACGCCTCCTCATGTCACATATTTAATCACCCGTGAGTCACCGTTTGAAAAGTAAACGGGTGCAGAGCGATACATTTGAGCCGGCTAAAAAGCCCAAACCAGGAAGAGAAGAGTTCTAAGAGCTCCAACTCTTCAGTTCCCGTTTTCGAATTGATAAACATTTTGGCTGTACTCAAGAGAACTTGTAAGAACCTAATGCTAATTACCTCGCAACTCTTCCTCTGGCCATGCCGTACGACTGTGACAATACCGCTTTTGCTTCACCTATTGCATCTGTTGTCTTGTGCATCTAAACAATTCCAATGAACAATGGTCAAGATTCTTTACATCAACGAGAGGCCTGGTGCTGAGAAATGCTGGAGCGTACAGAAACAGATGAAGCTGCTGACTTAGCGTTTGATGCCTAAAAAATCTTCACATTCGTTTGAGAGTGGTGCAGTAATATATAGCTTACCGTACGGTCTCGCTCGCTTTCCACAATGCTGTGATGTTCCTAAATACTTTTTTATTGGTTTGTTATCTCTTCAAATTTCGAAAGGACAACAGTGCTCACATCTCCATGCACAGAGGTTACCTCAATGTGCCCTCCTGACGAGAACTGATGACTTTCCGAATGGCTTTCCTGGTGAAAAGACGATGTTTGCTTTGATTCAGCATGTACCACAGTTTCATGGGTCTCGACTGTGGTGCTGGATGTCACGACTACATCACCACCTTCGCTTTTGACCTGTGTCGGAGGCAAGTTGATTGGTGCCGAGAACACCATTGCGAGAAGGTCTAAAATGCATTCTTTGTCTGTCGGCTGATAATTGTTGTTACTGTGATTTGCTTCCTTGTATCGCCAATTACTTCAAACCTCGTGGAGAAGAGGATTACATACTACATACTTGAACTCAATTACTAACCACGTTCGAAGTCATCTGGTGCAAACGCACAACTTTATAAGTAACTAGTTCCAACCGCGTCGGCATGCTACGAGAGTAAGAAATTTTTCGATAGTTATTACTACTCTCTTTCAAGCAGATAGGTATAAATAGACTTATTGCACAGAATCTGATTGAGTAGAAGGATTTTATAGCCCTTTCAACCAAGGAGTTGTGTCGCGGTGTGCCACACATCAGCCAAGCACACTTTAAAACATTGATGGCCAAGCAAAATTTCAATTGTCTGCCATATGGGACCAATCCTGTCACGGATTAGTAAACATTTTTTAGACAATACACGCATATTGCCATCTGCAGTATACCTAGAGTAGTTTGTGAGGCTGACAAATTAGATGAAAGTTTCTTTTTATAAATAAGCGCAAAGTAAACTCCCGGAGTGAGTTTGTCCCAGAATAAATGGTCAACTAAATTCAAACTTTGTCAACTTTGTCGACTTTGTCGTATGTGGTAGTCATTGCTTGACACACATGTGTGTCAAGCGGTCGTCAACTTTTGAAGGTCTACTGCCGGACGAAGACAGGCGACCCATAAAAGCGTCGCGCGAGCGAACACCTCCTATCACTTACAGGGCACATTAGACGCGGGATCACTAGTTGGGTTCCCCACTTAGCTAACAATAAGTTGGGCGACTGCTTTTATTTGGTAAACAGACTACACACTTTATCATCTTGGGCAGTATGGCATACACATATTTCAATGTCAGCTGTATTACACGTTCCTTATATTGCCTGAATTTTCTTCCCTTCTTTAGTGGCAAGATATGCCATACTTCGGTGAAGAATGTGCGATATTCAAGCTAACAGCAAGGCAACTGGACATCCTTCAAATGCACTGCAGAAAAAACACAAAGAAATATGCAAAGGCCGCGTGCTTCACTCATATCAGATTTGAGTTGCTATAACTGCAGAATATTTAGTAGTTATCTCTGCCTATTCGCAGACACCAAAGTTTTACTTATTTTGTATCAATTTCCTCACATCTGTCAGCTCACATTTGCTCACAAATGTCAAATATGCCGAAATTCTTCTTGTTTGGCGCGGTATTGTCAAGGTAGCACCACCTGCAGTCGGGTCATTTCTTGAGAGCATGTGTATCATTGCACGCACTGTCCACCTTTGACGTATCCATCCTTGATTTTGGAGCGAAGGTCCCCTAAGGTAAGTCTTTTCCATGTATCTTTATTTTTCCCTTTATAGGTACCAGACCCCACAAACTGATGTAAGCGATAAAATTTGGGCATTCTCTCGCGTTTTTGCGACTGCAAAATCATGGGGACGCCAGATGGACGGTGTGTGCAATGATTTGATATACGATCATTTGAAATAACTCGACTGTACAAAGGGGATCGTACGCTACACCCGTTTGGCCGCGTGGCGCGTGCTTTGCAAACGGTCTCCGTACGGTCTAGGACTAGAGGATGCTCTTTGCAACAGGCTCCTGGGAGTCAAGAGGCGCGATTTTTCCAGATGGACAGCATGTAGCACATAATTAGTGTTTTATGAAATTCTAGAATAGCTTGAAATTTCAAAAGAAATGTGTTAGACAACTGCACGGATTGTTCGATCTCATCATCTTGAAATCGATTCCAAACAAATTTGTTGGAAGTCAAAACCCATGAAAATGCAGCTAGGAGCACTTTTGTAAATATGCCGGTCAGTTTTCTAGCAGAAGTCGTCAAACTTATCAAATTGTTACTTAAGCAGCTAGTAAGCCAATGGGCTTTGCCCGGAACTTTTTGAACACTTCCATAGCACGAAATTGGAGTTTTAAGTTGGTGACAGCCGGAAAAATCGCGCCTCTTGACCGTCTTCCCGGGCTTCTCACACTGGGAAAAGATTGCAGATCCCAAAAAATTCCCCTTTAAAGGCAGTGACGGCAGAATGGACCCCTGTCAGATTTTGGTACTGTTTGGTAGTAAACCTTCCGAGTACACCGTAGCCCAAACCCCACCCTCCAAATCACGCGTTAATTTCTGTAAAGAAGCTTCAAAACTCCACCAGCCCCGCCCATTCCATTGAGTGGGCGTTATTGGTGGAAGTTTGAAGCTTCTTTACAGAACTTAGCGCGTGAATTGGAGGGCGGGTTTGGGCTACGATGTACTTGGGAGGCCTACTACCCAACAATGCCAAAATCTGACAGGGGTCCATTCTGCCGATCCACCACCTTCAATACTGCACAATGGAAGCGTCTTTCTGATGAAATTTGATCTTGGTACCTCCAACAAAATTCTGAAGCTTTTTTGTCGAGTTAACCCGGAATATAACGAAGCGCTTGGAGTCGTCCACTATGACCGTCTCAACAACTTGCGGAAGAATTATAGTCTTGAATTCTTCAACCTTACCCGACACTCCTTCAAGTTTTGCACATGCTAGCTATTCGAAACTGAATTGCTGGAGCTTGAAAATCCATGCTTAAGGTGAATGCGAGAAACAAAAGATCACGTCATTTTGATCTAGCCTAACAACAGCTATCAAAAGATAAAAAATGGAAGATAACGAGTGGAAGCGCGAATACGAACCAATCGAACATGTTGAGCGTAGCAAAGATGGGGAAAATTTGTAGAGGACAAAATTTCTATCACACAAGTGTTTCAAAAAAGGTGATTCTATAACATTTGATGGCACCATTTACAGTGAACAACATCTTAAACATGAAACTCGTTTGCTTTGAACTGGATTCAAAATATTCCAAATCAAACAAATTGATATTATCACAGCGTTCGCGTCAAATATGTACAAACATCAAACTTTCTCAAAATGTTACAAAGCAGTTTTGCATTGCTTCTAGATTTAGACTATTTACATTTTGAAGAACCTATGATAGCACACATTATCGAGGCAAAATGTTGTAAATTAAACGTGAAAAGAAGCATAAAAATGGAGATGCCAGTAATTAACAGCTTAACAGCTAACTTGAATGGCACTTCGCTATGCTACATATTAATAAAAGTTTTGCCAATCCTTTGGCTGGCTGGTACGATTTTTCTGCGGGAAGAGGAATCCAGAGACATACGCACGTAAACTATAGTGAAAAGTGCACTAGAATAATTTGTAAATCATATTCACACCTATGAAGGAAACGTTTGCGAATGGCAAATCAATAAATCTCCAGCATGAAAGGCAAGCATTGAAATTCACCTTTGCAGTGAAATTATTGATAGTCTTCGCAGAAGTCAAATGTTCATATTCCTTTGTTCTAGAAAAAGACGAAGATCGCAGAATGAAAATTTATGCTTTGTTAAGTCTCAACATCATCATGCGTATACAGCTGTACCATGCAAATGCAGGAGAAATGATTCAAAAAAAGAGGGCAAGATTTTGCAGTTATTTGTCATCCCTTTCGTAGGTACTGCTTCCAGTGAAATAGCGAGATGACTATTCTACTTCACAGTTGTTACGAGCTCTTATTGTTCCTTTTTTAATTTGCATATGGGAACTGTGGGCACTAGGATACAAAGCATAGTCAAGACTTCCATAGGATTAATCCTACTGAGTTTCTTTTCAATTGAGGGAACTGATTATAGCTTCTAGCAGTTCAAATAGAACAGCGTTTGAATATCACCTTTAAATTAAGTTACGCTACTGATTTCTCTTTTATAATGACTGGCGGTGGATAAGATTGCCATGTAACTGACTTCATTTTTGCTTCAAAGTAAACAGTACTTAGGAGGTGCCGAACAGCAGAACGGTCAAACAAACATATAGCAGCACTTCTGTATAGCAGTTTTGTCCAGAGAAGCATGTCCTTATTCATTTTTTCGACAACTCACCGTCGCTTTCCTGCGTCATTTTATACCCTTCGCTTCGTCTGATCACTGAAAAGGGCAATTTTATGCGATTATAATGCAATGAGTAACCAGAATGAACACGCTTGAGTGCAGTATAAGAAGCGATAAGAGCATCTTAAATCCTTCTAATTTTCTGAAGCAATCCCTTAGAGAAGAGGGTTTTAGAGGGCAGAGTAAATAGGTACTCAAAAGTTATGAAAAGTCGACATTACTAGATACAAACATTGGTGACAACAAACGGTATTCGGTTGATCTTAGTACTCAAGCAAGAAACATGTCGTAAATGTAAGCCTATGAAACTGTCAGCAAGAGCGCGGCCATCGACTGCAACCTGAGACAGATAAGACATAGTGCTGGCAGCGTTGTGATAAATACGAGCAAATGCACGACCATAAAATAATCAAGAAACATGTTCTGCTGGATTAAGGTGAGCAGAAACAGAGCATTCTCTAAATTTAAACTTCGAAAAGAGGATTGTTCCCATTTGTTTGCCGGAGGTAAACACAGAAATGCATTAAAGTTTGCGGCAAAAACGAGGATTGCAGGCAGCCTCTTGCACCCGCAGCTTTGGCTGCTCGCTTTCGGCAAGATGTCCAGCTAATCGAGCAGACTATCCGGACAGCGTTACATTCGGGCTCGGATCCTTATCGGCACCTGTGACGTGCACGGCCTGCTACATATCATGCACACCACGAAAACCATTTCTTGATCGTTAGCCTCGCTTGCCTGATGAGATACGCTTGCTCGGGCTACGCGTACTACGAAGGATGTGCCGCCGAAGTCATATCAGCCAGGCTCGGCACAGTAGCTGTAAGTTGCGAAGTAAGCGATTATGTGCTTCCAAGACCAGCAGGGTGGGAAGTGATGGAATATAGTCCAACACTTACAATCGAATGAGCAACTGCTCATCGAGGAGCAATCAGTAAAAGCTGGCAATTTGAATAAGATTCGCAGCACCGATTTACTTCAATGGATCTCATTGTCAGTTTCAGTGGACCTCAGCTACACTGAAGTCCTTGAGGATAAGGATAAGCCAATGATAAGGCCTGAAAGAAACACTTATGTTCAACCGAAATGGGATGGCTAACGGTTGGCTGCACAATAAAGAACATCAACTTAGAAGTACCTTAAAACGTTGTAATCGGCTTTGCATTGAGGTAACCTCACACTCATCACAAATGGGAGTGAGGTTACCTCAAGTCTCAGTTGAGGTCCTGCACAGCCCACGATCTTTAAGTTATCTCCATTATGTGATGGTCAGTTGGTTATGGGTTAGTTATGTTGGTTATGTAGCACAGTATATCTCAATGCTCTCAAATCTCAGTTGAGGTCATGCACTCATTCGTCACTTTTAAGCACTTCTGCTCAGCTTTTCAGGCTCTTCAGTCGTGCTTATTTTGACTAGCTAAGTCGACATGTGACCTTCACTTTCAAAAGCTAGGATTGCCCATAGTTCGGCTTACGAGCTAATTCACTCAGCCTTCAAGATTCTACTTTTGGCCTAAGGTAGGAGAATGCAACATATGGGCTTTTTCTCCCATATAGATAGCTAGAGTTATACGATAACCTTTGCATGCTCACCATCGAGCTTTGCGAGAGTATCACAGAGATGATGCCCGCCCGCCTTTTCACGGCGGCTTATCCGCCTCTTCTCGTCGGATACCCTCGGTGCAAAACAAGCTGTTCGAAATCAGTTTGTAAAGTCATGTTAGATTTGTAAACTGGCAGTCAGCGATCTTAAAAATTTTCACAAGTTCACCGCAAATAGTATAACGCCTATCAATGAATGTTGATGTGGACCCCCACACCTGACATAGAACGAGTTTAGTTCAGTATGTTCCAAACTTCGGAAAAAAATAGTGTTCTGATCTTTTGATAGATTGTGTTCAAATGTAACCTACTGCTGTTATACGCAAACGAAAAAAGTCTGTTATCGCTCAGCGCGAAAACAACAGAGTCGGAGATTCTCTTTTCCGATTATTATAGCATTGCTGTCACAATTTATTTCACTTCTTTTTTTGTAGGAAGGTGCTTTTAGTTCAGTATGATATGATTCGCGTGTCAGAAGTTAGAGATATAGTCAGCTTTGAAAGCGTATAAAAGATAACACTACCCTGTGTTGTCACTTCTGAACTACCTATCGAAAACACTAATCTTGCGAAAATCATGGAGCATGTAAACTTTCCAGCATCGTCTTGCGAATTTCTGTTTGATCGATCAAAATCACACATTGAGGTGCTCTGACAATAGGAAACTATTTGCACTTCGCGGCAGCGATAAGAATGCACCATTAGATCTCAATAAACAACACGTACGTGCTTCGGCTAATAACCAGATTGTTTTCCCCAAAAACGATGTATCTGAAGAATTTTGGCGATAAGAGAATGTTTTATAATTCAAAAAGACGAATTCTGTGATAGAGAAAGTCCAGATGGCTCTGAAGCTGCCACTCCTGGAATAACAACAACTACACGAAAGCCCATGTCACTGGTTCATTTTCAGAAGCAAAAAAAAATGCAAGAGGTTATGGTAAGAAGAAAAGAGCCATTTTGGCTTAATCAGAGTTTACGCAGCTTAGGACACCCTCTTAACGCGCATAAAAAGATTGATACAAGCAATTAGCTCAACAGTATATCTTATAACAACTTAAATAAATTCCGGCAACTTTGCCTATTTCTTGCAAAGAATTGTCTACAGTTTTATGCTTTCGAGAAAATTTGGATGTTAGAAAGAAAATCATCTCGTTGCAACGGGGGTGCGCAGTCTTCGTAAGCTTTCCAGTGTAACTGATAATTTTCCGAATTTTCAGTATTTCAGAAGGACATGCAATTTGAAAACTTCCAGGAATTTTTCTTCACCTCCTGCAATGTCGTGTAGCTTCTTCACCTCGTATGCATACTTTAATCATAATAGTGATTTCCTGCCTCGCCTTAAGGCAGACTGCAAAGTGGTGCAATGAAACAAAGCGATTGCTCGGACAATGGCGACCAAACACAGACATGCAGGACTCCATCAACTGTTATCACAGTTTTGGGTTTTGAGTTATGAGCAGTTTTCATGACAAATGAAGCAGGTTCTGCGATATTAAAAACGCGCTGAAGATCTATGTGATAAGTTCAAAACAAATTGTGATACATAGTCTTTGGAACGAGTTCATTCTTGACGCTCTAAATGAGACCCCATTCCGCTCCATGGATGTAATACTTTCTATTCCAAATACCTGCACCCTATAGGAAGAATTTTTGCAGCGCCTTTTGTGCTAATTTTGGCATTGCGCAAGAGTTGAGGATTAGATCTAGAAGCGATCTTTTCAGTGGGAATATATTAGGTTGCCCCAAAAGTAAACCGTATTTCTAGATAAATCAAACTATTTCTGTTTTCCTGGCAGACTTGGGGTGCCATTCGATAGAGCGAAGCAATCTCTACAAAATGACCCCAAAAGATCCGCCCATGTCGTAATCCAGGTAAAGTTTGGAGCAAAAATCGAAAAAAAAATTATTACCTGAAAGTTGGATTTTTGCGAAGAACAATCGTAACTCAAACTTGGCCATTATACAGTAGACACATAGTTGTAACATAGTTGTACTCAAAGTTTATTGGATTTTTTCCGAGGTTAGAAAGCGAGAAAAAAGAGATAGTCTGAAAATGGCAAATTCCGCCCTAGCCCCTCCCACATATGTTGTATACTACAAGCCTTACTAAGTATAATCTTGTAACTTTACCCCTGTATGCGCTCTTATAATCGAGAAATACCAAGTTTTACATGAAAACCTTTGTCTCAATTTTGAGCTCCGGAAAAAATCAACCAAAACCATTTTGGGTACTTATGTGTATTATGTGTTTACTCTATAAAGACCAAGTTGGAAGTCCATAGGAATTTTCTGGAAGGAGATCCGGTTTTTGAGGTGGCTGAAAAATTTGATTTTTGGACCCAAATTTTACCTGGATTGCGACTTAGACGGTTCCTTGGTGGTCATTACGAAATTGAATGTCTAGATTGCCACGCAACCTACATAGGGGAGACTGGTCGACAACTCAGCGTACGTGTTATGAACAATTGGCCAGTAAAAGGCGGGCAAGCATGGCAAGTCCGTTAGGAAAACATAGGAAAGTAGATCACAACGGTAATGACTACAACATCAGGTGCATTATTCTGGGTTACGAATCAAGAATCGCTGCTCGCGAGGCGCTTGAAGCAGCATACATTCTTTCGCGCGAACCGAAATCAGACGGAAAGAATGAACAACTCTCCATCACCAGTGACTTGATGCCATTTCTATCATACTGTCACTTATAAATACGGCCATTACTCAAACTGACCATTTTGGTCGGACATAGTTACCGTCACTGGAGTTGAACATCTACAGTCGCGCTATCGGTGGAAGTTACGGTAGGCTGCTTACAGTCTTGAGATCTTGACGCGTTTACTCATAAGACATTGAACTAACTGATCAAGGGGAGAGATTTGACGGCATAGTGTGAGAAACAGGTGTAAGACTTTCTTCCAGGTCTCTGAGGAAGGCATAGTTGCCGAAACGGTAGACCAAATAAACATCGTAACAAACCTGAGTGGCTTATGACAAAGTATAAAACAGATACAATTTGATTTATCTAGGCATACGGTTTACTTTTGGGACAACCTAATAAAGAGCTACAACGTTAGGAGAGAGTATAAGATCAAGTGTTCTGTGGCAGCAGGTAGTTACCAATGTATGAAGTTTGCAGATAACTCTGTCAAATTTTACTCAATCCTATCCTTGTCGCATCACGAATAATTAGGCTCATGTTCTTTTCGTAGGTTACACAAGTTTCAGCGTACTTCACCTTGTTTCCGAATCCAGTGAAGTGAGAGCACTCTGGAGTACGCGGTGATCGTATATGAAGGGAATAAATTCTCGTGAGTGAGGTTCACAACGGCTAAAGCCTTGCTCCAAAAAAAGAAAACTAAGGTCTTCACTTCTTCACTGGTGAACTCGAAATGGCGTTCTAAAGAAAGTAGCCGTTGTAGAAATGACTACATAAGAGTACCGTTTGAAATCATAAGAGTACCGTTTGAAATCCTTAGAAGAGAAATTCTCATTTGCCAATTAAGATTTTCCTTTCTGAGCAATTTTCAGTAGTCTTTTTTGAGAAAGCCTGCTCTAGTCCGTTGCAGAAAAGACAGTTCTAGGTATTAAACAATGTCGTAAAAATTTTGTTTCTGGTTTCTTGCGTTTTATAAAATTTTACTAACGGCTCCAAAACCATAAGAAGTAATAATTTGTACATTCCCTCTCGGAAAGCGAACAAGTCAAGAAATGGCTCGACTGACTAGGTGCGCTTACGACTTGGAAAACGCGTGAAACCAAACGTAGGCTTCGCTGTGTCTGACTGTCACAGTTCCTCTTTAGCCCTTTGGGACCTGGCGGTGGCAATTACCACCAACTTTGAAGGACTGCAGCAACGCCGCTACAGCATGTTCCTGGCGCTCCCGATTACGGTAGTTCTAGATGGCCTATTGCTTTCTGATTGAGCGTCCTTTCGCATTTTTGTACGTTCTGCACCCAGTATCAGAAGCATTCGTGCACAGAGGAACGATGGATCGCGCTCGGCCCCGCAATCAGACAGGTTAGTGTAAATTTTTTTGAAGAACATTGAATTTTTATTCATACTACTATTGTAACTGTCTAGTATTGAGATCGTTAGAGAAATGTGTGGTAGTTGTTTGTGAGTCCACATGTGTTGACTCTTTGCCATCACCTTCAAAATTGCCTGCCGTACGCAATTGCCACCAGTGGCTTTAGTGGAACTTTATGGAAGGTTTTTTATTCAGAAGATAGACCGCCAACGTGCTTCGACAAGAATCTAGCTGGCATATCTCAACAAATCACATTGAGAGAAGCTGCGGCGGCATCATTGGCGAAGATGATGTTGACGAGGAGTTCGGAGACATTGAAGAAAGCGACGAAAAAGAACACGAAGATGAGAAAAGGAAAAATCTCTGGTGTCGCGAATGAACCAAAACAAGAAAGACCGGTGTCCAATTCTTCGAATATCATGATTGCAGCTACTGCCGTTCCAACAAAATGCGTGAAGCCCAGATTGATTCCTCTGAGTGAAGTTAGATATGACAGCGTCGGACACTGGCCGATACCTGAGGATGGAAACAAACAACGATGTAAACTAGAATCATGTGGAGGACGTTCACGAATTCAATGTGAGAAATGTAACGTTCGTCTTTGCCCGACGAAACATAGAAATTGCTTCAAAACTTATCCATTGTAAATAAGTGAGGTGTGATAAAAGTCGTTCCACTAAGGCCTGTTAGTGGCAAATGCCACCACTTTGTATTTTCTTACTGTATGGTCGAAAACTTTCCAAAGTTATCTGAAGTGTTATCTCTGTGCCCTTGAGTAAGAATCAATGAAAAAAAAGAATTTTATTCTTAAAAGCAAAAAGTCAGGTCCGAAAGGGTTGAAGAGGCACCAGAGGGTGGGAGAGGTGTACGTCGAAAGGCGCGCGTTTCGGCAGTCGTCATTGCCAGGAGGTGCTTGTACTCTACAAAAGCGAGATTTCCAAACTCCTTATGTTTTGTCATCATATCAGAAATAGTAACAAAGGATTGCTAGTTGAAATCCCGGTAGTACAAAACCAAATTCGAACTTTTCTGCTGGTTTTTCTGATTAGTGACAAGCGATCAATACGCGTCATTCGACCGTCCGCCATTCGTAAGTACTCCCATCATCACCATGAACACCTTGAACGGGAGCAAGAAGCTGTACAAGCCGCATTTTCCAGCTTTTTGTATGTCCACTGGTGGTGGCCGACCGTCGTTTTTTTAAAGTCATTTGTCTTTTTTCAAAGTCTATAAAAACATTCCAAAGTTGTGCTGTTTATCTAATTTAACAGTGCTAATCATGTTTCTGGTAAGAACAGGTGATGTTTCGAAGTCATGAAATTTGCGATGAACCATTAGCCGGAAGTTGGGAATATCGAAAAACGATAATTCAAAAATTCATTTGTTCTTATTAGCAACATGCTTAGCACTGTTGGGTTAGATGATCAGTACAGCCTTGGAAGGTTTTCGTTAACTCTGAAGAAAAAACGGTCGGCCGCTGGGGATCATCAGGGGATCGTACAAAAGGCTGGAAAATGCGGCTGTACAGCTTCTCGCTCCTGTCCAATATGTTCATAGTGAAGGATGGTGAGAATGCTTACCGATAGGTGAATAGCGTGAAATCCAGATATCTGGACCCTCAGGATATGAAGCTTTCTTCTGGAGCTGCGATCTCCTCCCCGGAGGGGATGTTAATGCATGCGGGCCTTAGTGGATTCGGCGAGTTCACAGTCTGGGCCGGTAGTAATCCCCCCGACCTGGCGGCAGGTCTCGTTGGCAAGTCGATGGCACCTTTTCCGTGAGGTGGCCAGAAACTAAAACCCCAAATTTAGGCCATCCCAGGCCTTTTTCCAAAAAATTTCTTGACGAAGATGCCGCCTCGACTCTGTAGAAATCTCCATAGAAATCTGCGGTTCTAGAAATCCTCCAGCAGGAAAATATTTGGAAGCGCAGGAGGAGCTGCCGGCAACTTCGCGATGTCAGTTGCCGGCAACCTGCCGGCAGCTCGTCGAAATCCGCGAGATGGCAGCTGCCGGCAGGTCAGAGAGCACGGAAAATAGCGTGTTCTTTTGGGAGAGGGAGCTGCCGGCATCTCGACGTGCCCCTACCACGTCGAGGTGATGGCACCTTCGCCGGCGGCGTCTGTGAGTTTGCGAATTGCGGCGATATCACACAATTTACGTCAGGCGAAAAAATCGAAAAACTCTGCTTTCTTCAAAAAACTATCAATTTTCTCATTATATGAGTTTTTTCTTTTTTAAAACGACGATTTTCTTACAGAGGAAAAATCTAGTCATGCCTTAGAATTATATAGAACACTATCTTTTTTGGCAAGCCCTTCTAAATCTCGTTTGCACCGATTTCGCCCCTCTCTCGCTCATATCAATCAGCTGTTCTCTCAGGTCAAAGTCTCTCGCGCAATGTATTGATCCATCTTACAGGCGGCCACTTACCGGTGCGTTCCTCCTATTGCTGGTGCAACCTATAACGGTTGCCCGAATGGTCGAATGGTTAACGGGGTGGCACTTGAAGTTAACGCACTTAGGTTCGGCTGCGCGCGAGGTAGCAGTTTTGCGGCTGTGTGCGTCATCAAAATTTGATGTACGAAATGATTGCGCACTAAGGTTACATAAGATTATTTTAACCCAAAGTCACTCCACGAGCTGCCGCCGATGATGGCAACTTCCCCGTGATGTGTGCCTACCTGCCGGCATCTTTGATGCCACCAGGTAGGGTAGATTACTATGGGCCCTGAAGTCAATAAGCGCTCAATTATATAGCGTGTCCCAAAAGTAAGTACACACTTTTTAAACGTTAGCAACTCTTTTCTCATAAAGCATTTTGCTTAGCTTCAAGTACCAGTCAGTAGGGCAAGCTTCAACTTGAATTTGCAGCATGGAGCGAATCATGTCGCTCTTCATTACTGTAAGATTACGGTAGGAATTTTAAAGAGGATTTTTAGCCATCAATGAGTTCAGTTTGCCCCGGTATGTATACTATACTTAACAAGTTGAAAACTCTATTACTAACCTAACCTGGGCCGTTGACTCTGAAAATAAAGTCCGAATCTCATCGTAAGACTCTTTCCATGTGTTATGCTAGGAAAACCGCAATTAATTTTTTCAGTGTTCTTTAAAGATGTGGTCAAAACATTTAAAATGCTTCAGAAACTCGTGAACTCATGTCTAATGACAGGAGCATGTCTGAAAACATTGATACACAACTTTCCAAATTTTTTCGCACTTTTTTCGGAACGGCCTCTTTCACGATGGTGTAGTGCTGGAAGTTCCTACCATAATCCTACAGTAATGAAGAGTGATGGATGATTCGCTCCATACAGTAAATCTAAGTTGAAGCCTGCCCTACTTGACCCTACTTGAAGCTAAGCAAAATATTTTTTGGGAAGAGAGTAATTAAAGATCAAAAGGTGTGTATTTACTTTTGGGACACCCTGTATATCTACTGTTGACACATTGACCAACTACTCTTCGTCCCAACCCGAATCAGCACTGACGCGCGTCCGCATCGCCATTTGATGCGTCACACGTCTACTGCTACGGTAAAACCCTGTTTGTTCTCTACTAATGTTTTTAGCGAAAAAGATTAGTAAGAGCATGATATAGTGCTGGGACGCGCAACCCACACTGATGTTTCGGCCTGACCTCACCTAGGAAAGACCGTAAATGTGCCCAGCTTTGTGAATTTACAGCTAAAAAAGCGGTAATCACAATCAATGCTTAATGAGACATGTTTCTTTTTTTTTCGAGATAAAAATTCAGATAGTGGAAAGGAAAAGAAGGGAGCACTAAAGCAAATAAAGGACAAGGAATGAATGGGGAACGGAATTTATCTACCCAGAGAAGTATGCCGCCATGTAATTAGCAGGGGACATGAGAGGTCATGAACTGTCAGCAACGCTAATTTGCACCCAATTTGCACCGAAGACAAGCAGATTTTGCTCACTACAGATACGACATCATCCTACAGTGTACGAAATCGGGATTTCATTGAAAAATTCAAAGTTCAGTAGTGAAGTTAGTCCAACGAGGATAAAAATTTGTATTTAGGGGTAATGTGCCATGCTGGTTCCAAATATGATGGTGGTTTTGCGTGAAAACTCAAAATTTTTGTTTTTTGAACTTTAATCTTGTTTTCAAATCTGGCAAAAAGCTTAAAATTGTGATTTGAGGATTTTCCATGATGCTGTTTTCGAATATGCTAATGTTTTCGCCGGGAACTTCGAAAAAAATTTTTTTCTTTTGAAACTTTGACTTTTTCATAAATTTCACTGCAACTTTGATAAAACTAGAAAAGAAATGAAAAATAAGGCTACTTTTAGAAGGACTAGGAAAAATGATATGAACTGCAAAATAAATTTTGAAATAAGGTAAGAAAAAATTCAGTGAAGCTGAAACTAAGTTTGAAGGATTGGAAATCATTCCCAGCTATCACTAAAAACTGTGTATTATTAAATTATTCTAGACACTACAATTAAATTGTTATCATATTCGTAAATAGCGTTCTTCAAAACCCCCAAATCCAAGTTTTTATTCTGATTTGCCAAATATCGCCACTGAACATTGATTTTAATCCCGTCACGAAGCTCGGTTTCATTTTCACGCAAAACCACCGGGGAACGGAACTTACCTACCCGAAAGATTTGCCGCGACATATTCATAGGGTTTATGAGTTGTCAGCAACGGTAATTAGCACCGTATGCAGGAATGGGTGAGGGAACCTACCCACCCAAGACTTGCCGCAAGCTACCTTAGGTGTATGAGCTGTCAGCGACACTAATTAGCCCCATGTACTAATTAGCACCAACATTAAATGAGCGGGGATGAGACGTTCATTCTCAAAAATTTCTGGTGTCTATCTTCGTTTTCGAATTTAAAATAATGTATTAGTGATTGGGATCAGATTCAGCTAATTCTCCCAATCTAAGCAATTTTTCGTTTCTTTTCCAATTTTCAACCTCGCAATGAAATTTATCACAAGAAAAATTCAAAAAAATGGGGGGGGGGGGCACTGAACCACTGCTTACGTACTCGAGAAAAACCTCTCAGAAAACCCTTTGTTTACCACCTTTCATCTTGATCGGGTATATAACGATACTGATTTTAGTTTGCAGCTATTCCGGGGTTCATGCATTGCTGGATAAGAACGGGCTCACTGTGTGAAGAGATCAGCCCTGCATACGGGGGTGCGGGAATTTATCTACCCAGAGAGGCATGCCGCCATGTAATTAGCAGGGGACATGAGGGGTCATGAACTGTCAGCAACGCTAATTTGCACCCAATTTGCACCGAAGACAAGCAGATTTTGCTCACTACAGATACGACATCATCCTACAGTGTATGAAATCGGGATTTCATTGAAATCTGCATTCAAAGTTCAGTAGTGAAATTAGTCCAACTAGGGTAAAAATTTATTTAGGGGTAATGTGCCATGCTGGTTTCAAATATGATATTGAAAGTATATATTGAAAAGTATATATTGAAATATTGAAAGTACCGCTAGTCTTGCATAAGTACCGTACAGGTCATGCTAAGCGTGACCTGCTGTGATATGAGTACCCCTATACAGGGCTCGGCATTATGTGGCTAGATGAAAGTGCAATAAACGAAGTCCCCTTGACTTTTGCGAAATTCTACGAAGTCCGCTTTGACCCTAGACC